ACATTTGTATGAGTAAAGTATTGATATTATACGAAGATATACTGTATCAAATTTCTTGTAATATATTCTACCTCATTTCATTTTATCATAGTATATGTCTAGTATAGCATTGTATTGTAGAGCCTGTTTCATACTATTGTATATATAAAGCAAATATTGTCATTTCAATATTTTATTGTATCTTATTTTATTGTGTATAATATATATATATAATATTTAAAATACATAGCCAAGGGGCGCTTAAGCCCAGCTGGCCTGGGTACCCCTGTGTGGAGCGGAGATGCTTCCCACCCACCTCATATGCAATTATTCCCACACATATACCACATGTGGAAGACCGCACTATATCTATATGCATTGCATGTCTGTGTGTGGGTTTCTTTTATCATACTAAGCATCCAGCGACACATTTCTTCCCCTGACGGTTGGTGTAGGATTTGGCAATCTCCAGCTTAAGAAAGGAGCGGACTCTGCGGAGCTGCTTCCTGCCAGATAGAAAAACATACGGGCTTATACTATGAACAATGTCAAAAGATATATATGTACCAAGAAGAAACATCTGGAAAACTTGGTTGGAATCAATTGAGCTTATTTCATCCAGGGAAAAGGTAGATATAAAACATATCTGGGGAGGAACCACTTTAATTTCCACTTATGCTACACCGGGCTTTTACTGCAGTGTTTAATTGGCTAAAACCCTATCGATGATTTAACAGTGAAAAAAATGTGGATACGTCAGCCCCTAAAATTCCCCAAAAGATTTTTCCCGAATGGATTTCACTATCTGCCACAACCCGCAAACTCCTCTTCAGTTTGCATGGAACTGGCTGGGATCGAATGAGGTCGGCAAGGAATGGAGCCGTCCCATAAAGGACAACCTTATTTTTTTTCGTGGGTACATTGTCCAAATCTAAAAACCATGGTGACGTGACACTGTTCCACTGAAAAACATATAAAGACTTTGCGCTGTTATTCTGTGTGCTGGGAAGAAGCTGGCTTCAAAGTTGCAGCATTGAACTCTCCAAGGGTACATTCTCCCATTCTGGCTCGATGGCGCTGCAATAGCATCTTAGTCGGGTTAAGGTGTCGATGTATGAAATATTATGAAATTACGTTTGAATCTCAAATCTGTCAAAGAAGCCCACGTATATAGTGCATTTGAGAAGCTTTCAAGGGCTTGTACTGAAACAACAAAGACGATGTCGGCTGTTCAATCACGTAAAAGATGCCTTTCGCATAGCATACCTCGAGCCTGAGGAAATCGGATGTCTATGTCTTCACATGGTACTGCCGATCGGAAACAACCGAGACTTCCAAAAGCCCCTTTGGCAGCATTGGGTCAACCGGCTGGGATCCCGGCAGGTAGCAAAGTCTGCGGGCAATTCTGTTTCCAGTTTTTGCGCAGTGAACATGTTTCCATCCTTGGGGTCGTAAAAATGATCGTTTGGAAGACCCCATCGACCTAAGTTCGTAACATGGGCAACTTTCACTCATACATTTGAAATTCTACTGTCTTTTACCTTCTGGCGTCACCAATTAAATAATCCAAGGCTCATGAATACCCAGCTGCTGCATGGTACTGCGAACCACATGCAGCCGTGCTTCTTCATGTGACGGATCTTAGATGATGTTTAAATGACCCTGGAACAACGCATTGATGTGAAACCATTTGTTTTGTGTTTTCATGGTTTTTCCACCCAAATAAATGCAGCCAAAGGAGCGTAGTTCAGGCAGAGGAGGAATCCGAAAGCTGACAACAAGTCCATCTTGCGAGTGTAGCTGATCTTAGATGAAATGCACACTTTATACTTCTTGGACCCGACCTTTAAACAGACCATTTGTTAACTTTCTAGTTCTACCAGGGGACTTGTGTTGGGAGTTGAGAATCTTATTTGCGGTTCTTTGGGGTTTTTTGAAGTTTTGAATGGAGCCAATTCCGGATACGCTGCATCATACCCAAAAAAACGAATACAAGTTGGCTAATTCAAAGACATTCCGACTTCACAGTGTTTCAAAAGTCACTAGGCCCATATTATATACGTAATTTTTAAAACAATATTTATCATATATATATATATATATCTAATAGCTGAATATATATATATATACAATAGTAATAAAATACAATATAATAATACAGTATAACATACTATAATATCATAAACTGTGATATATATATATAGAGGGTCTTTTTCAAAAATACAACCTTGGTTTGTAGCAACAGGGGTTGGTCGATGATCTCATGACCCATTAATACCTTGCAGATTAGGGGCATCATAGGCTCGGCTTGCAAGCCCCATCAGCTGCATGCCACTGTGGAGAACATGCTTTCCTGCAAACTGCGTGTGATGGAATATTTTTGTTTTTTTGCAACCACAGCCTGGAGAAAGCTCATATGAGGATCTTTACATACATGAATATAAAGAAAATAATAGGCTTATCGATATCTCCCTTTGATCCTGCGCATATCTCTGCAAAATCGGCGGTTTGACCAGGATGCTCCACTGGCCCCAGGCCTCGGAAAATTATCGGTTAAGGCTATAGGAGCCACCCTGTGTAAGATGACATACTGTTTGGTTCAACCTCCTGTTTTTTCAGATTTTTAGTTATCTAAGATGTTGTTTCAACATCAAGATAAAAACCGAGTTGCTTTTCAGAAGACAAGTCAACAGAAGCGCCAGCTGCGAATATCTCATGGTTGTTTCAGGTGAGACTGGATTTACCCCGGGGCAATGATTTGAACCACATCTGCCACTCCAAGGACTGGCCGGTGTCAACTCTGCTGACATGCTGGGCTGCCCTTTCGATGGAGGAGTGAATGCAATAACCCCCAAAGAGATTTAAAAACACGGGTATGCCTCAAAACAGCTAGTAGATCAGCAAAATCTTTTCTCAGAAGCTTTGTTTCCATCGCAAGTAGCAAGATCGATAGGACCACCATGAATGTGATCATCGCACCCCGGACCGGATTGGCCCTTAACAAGAAAGGATCACCAAGATAGTGATCACCAAACCCCGGACTTGTGTAGCCCGCAAACATGGGAAACGTAAGCGGGTGTGGAGTCACACACGCCAAGCCCAGAAGTAGTATAGTGAGGCTCCCTAGGTGAACCTCCTGCGCTTTCTCTCAGTGGGTGTCATAGACGACAGTGCTGATTCTCGAGCAGAGCTGGCTTTCCACCTGGCCAAGAATTTGAATTATGTGGAATAGTTCTTCTAGTTTGAAGAGGGTGATGTGGTTCATTGTAGGTGAAATTCAAACTCATATGTATAAATATATATATCTCTCTCTCTATATATATATATCTCTCTATATATATATAATATGTTGTATGGGCCTTTCTTCCCTCATCTTCGCATTCATGGTCTCTCCAGACTCCAACCTGGGTCAGCCATTGAACAGGTCAATATTTTGAATTCGTTTTGAAACAAAATGATTTTGCTGATGGCTAATGGGAAACAGTTTGAAACCAAATCATTGACTAGAAACAGCTGGGCCATAAACTCCTCTTTCGCTATGGCGTATGGTGTCTTTGTCGAAACCTTTCCTCGGCCTCGGCCTCGACCCTTCTTCCCTTTGCCTTTTCCCTTACCCCGTCCTTTTCCCGTAGAAGCTTTGGCTTTTGCAACGGGTTTCTCTGGGGCAGCTGGTGCACGCGGTTCCTTGCGAGCTGCAACCAGGAGCCTTTGGCTATGTGGTGTCACTGGTTTTTGCTTGCCAAAGACCCTCTTCAGGACAGGTGGTGGAATGGAAGACATGGGTGTAGTCACTTCCAAAGTGAATTCTGCCTCAATTGTGGCGTTCGATCAGCAAAAAGAAGAAATAACAGATTCAGTTGTTGAAATCACTAAATCAATTGTTGAAATCGCTAGTTCATGACCTTTTTAAGATCCAATCAAGGGACTGGGCGATCAGTAGTCCGTTCTTTCGAAGAATCCTGGTCATCCCAACCATCGACACATGTATTCTATATACAGTACATTTTAACAATGAGATATTGGGCAAGCATGGCTGGTCCCAACACAAGATGTGCTCTGTCCTTCTTGGCTTTTAACTTCGTGAGGGCCCTGAGCAAGCATATATAGGGCAGGGACAGGAACCCCCTTAATTTTCCAGAACCTTTTCCACATGTAAGACCCCTGCTTCTGGTTGGAGGCATTCTTGTCATCCTTCTCCTGCGGCAAAGAGGGGATGATAAAATCTGGGTGAGTACCAAACGTTTGTGTATTCATATAGTCTCATTTGTTTGCATTGCAAAAAAAAACGAATGTCTGGTGCATGGGATAAAACTGATATGTTTTTGGTATGTTCGGCGTTTAGTCGAAGAACAGCAGTCCTTCGGATCCTCATGGGATATGTCACCTTATAAAAGAGGCAAGGGACATATCTCAAGGTGTTCTAAATCTTGAAAGTTGTAACCTGCTCTTGATTCTTGATCGTTCATCTAAAACCAAAGTATGAGAACATTGCATTCAAGGGGCTTTCAGCAACTTTGGGTTGTTGGCCAGTTCCATACTCATCGGGCCAATTCCACTGAGAGTCGCCTGACTGCAGGCAAATAGGATTATGGGTCAGAGTGTGGAATAAACCTTTTGAAACTTTGAATAGACATTCTCAATTCAAGGGACCTGTGACGCTGTCTGTGGTTGGCTAACTATACCTGAGTATCAAAAAGGTATTATCCATATACCCAGCAATAGGAACAAAGTTTTGAAAGATCTTAGGTTCAAGTGACTGAACCCATCATATCCCGGATTGGTGTCTGCGTAGTGCTCGTGGGGCCAATCATCACCTGAGTTCAAGGGCTGCCAGAAGACAAAGTTTAATCCGTGGACCCTATAATGATTTGGTGTTGATCTTATTTCCCATGCCTCATATGAACACAAGAATGGGGTTGGAATTTGAAGCACCGTACCCTCCAGTAATTTAACATGAGGTTCTGAAAAGGTTCCTTTTAAAATGCTTTACCGATTAAGATGTTGAGTTTTGCAATGTTAAATTACCTGAGGGTAGGTCGTTTTGCTTGCAAAGGATCCTTCCCAATATCCAAACTCAGCCTCCTCCTTTTCGACCGGCACATCAGACGGGCCCCAATATTCGAAATCGCCTCAAATTCAAGATAGTCAGCATGGAACTGAACCTTAATACCCCAAATTGCAGGATCCCGAAAGGTTACATTCAAGGGGCTTGACCACTGTTCAGAATAAGCGTACGGGTAGTAGCACAGTTCCCCCGCCATTGGCACATCGGGCTGATCTCCATCGACATCACCTGAGTCCCCATTGGAATAATTTACCAGATCAATGGGACAAACATATGTTGAACATGGTATCCAGTTTCCATTAACCTATATTAACCTTACCTAATTCTGTGATCAGTGAGGACACATGTGATTTAGAATATGGTCTCAACATTACTGTTTGGTATTTTTCATATGCTGAGGGACCTTTCCAGAATCCATCGGTGTTTGGGTAGCAGTTGTCCTCTTCGAAGGGCACCTCCGGCTTGCTCCAATCGCCTGGGCGCCAACGGAGAGAACAGAAAGGACTGACATGCGAACTGGGAGAATTTGCTTGGGGATGGTCTGAAAAATTTACACTTGTATAATCTACGTCTATATGTGTTACTTTGTGTTGTTTCGGGCTGAGGGACCTTCATCCCAATCACAGTTGGCGTCTGGCTTTCGCCAATTGTCATTGGCTTCTTCCATCCAATTGGGATAGCCTCAGTTCCAGGGAGCTAGTGGTGAATAGCCCACATGAGGATGCACATTACTTTGTAACCCCAAAAAATCAAAGAACCTTCTTGGCCATCGTATCCAGAATGGGTCTCCAGGTTGTCCTCTTCCTCATTGAATGGCACTCCAGGCTGACCCCAATCGAGGTTACCTTAGTAACATGTCATCACCCTACCCATACTTGGTAATTTGCTAAATAAAAGATCTTGATTTGATTTTGTTTGCTTGCTATTGTCAAATTCAAGGAACTTGACCAGTCGTCATCCCAACTCCACGAACCAGAATCAGGGCAGGCATTTCCCGGGTCAGACCAGCGTTTGGCCTCGAGCTCTTCCACATCACCTCACCCAGTGTGAATATGTGATTACTTTTTGGGAGATAAGAAATATCCATCAAAATTGGACATGAAACATGATGTTTATCAATACTTATTGATGTACAACATGTTTCATTGACAATGACAGTGTTCACACATGATCTCATTCAAGGGACTGGCAACCAGGGCATCCATAACTTGCTCCAGTTCTGTCTCGACATGGTGGCAATCATCGCTTTCAGGGCCAGGGTAAGTGCAAAGTTTGTGGTTTGAGGAATCATCGTCTCGAAAATCCCACCCCAACTCTGTACCCCACTTACCACCATCCTGATCATCGCCATCCCACATGCCATCATCATGGCCCTCTGCATTGGTCTCTGTGGGCTTGGGATCCTGCTCGGGGAATTCGGTGTAGTCCTCATAGGTACCTTCCTCTTCCTCACATTCTCCTTCCTCCAACCCATCTTCGACGGGGAGACAAGTACAAATGGTAAGGGGGAATTGGCACCTGGCTGGTACATGCTTGAGCTCACTGGGCCCGACAAAATCTATGATGAAACCACCAGCACGCACAAAGCACTGTGACCACTCCCAACCCTCCATCACATGGGCCATGTGGTCAGGCCAGGTCTTGGTGTATGGGATATACCCAACCACCACCTCAGTCACCTCAGAGTTGTCGGGAGGGTACGGGGCATCCTCGGGAGGGTAAAGCTGAGAGTCGCCTAACTGGTTGTCAGGCCATACCTTGTCAAGGTCTGCAAGTGGCTGCGGGTTGTCATCACAAGAAGTGTCCCAGCAACCTTGGTTGGTCTCAACGAGCCACCTGGCAAAGTCCTTGAAATCCTCTAACGGGTCGCCATCAGCTGCACCCCATGTGTGTTCATCAGGGAGATCATCTTCAAGATCATACCGGGCAACTAACCACTGAAGGAATTCACCAAATCCTGGGTGCTCCTTGGCCCTTGTAATCTCAGCCATGAGATCAAAAGAATCCTCGTCGGAATCCCCTACAATTCCCATGGAATCACCACTAGGAATGGACCAGTAGTCCAAGACAGGGGGTCGATCAAGCTCCGTGGGAGCAGGGCTGATGTACATGGGGTTCTTGGATGAACCAGGAGTAGCCGTTGAAGCCATGTCCCAGTCCTTACATGTTTAGATTGTTTGACAAAACAAAAAGGAAATAACAACACAGAAAAATACTATGAAACCAGCTCTAAAAGGTTTCAGGAATTTGTTCATGTAGGCTTCCCTGCAACACCTGCCCATTTAACGCACACAAGACTCTGCTGAATCCATCTTCGCGAGCTCTCCAGGACTAGCATCGTGGCCAACCGCTGCATTGGCCGCCTGGCACAGGAGATGTGAGTCCAGTTCGGGGAAATATCAAAAGGAAATGTCATTCTTGACAACCGTGAGATTTGAGCATTATTTGTCATTAATTACTTATTTATGATTGAAAAGTTGTTCCTTAACGATCATCTCCCAACAATTTGTTTTACCAACTTGATTGTCTTAAAACAAACATGGGCCAACAGTCAACGCAGGGTAAGGCAGGGAATTAGTATATATAGGTATGCAATTACGAAATAGGATTCCCATTGGTTAATTCGTGTAAAAAGATTTTTTTAGAAACACCTGCAGGACCCCAATGAACCCACATATTCTCCTCATCCCACACTGCGTGTTCAGCCCAATCGCCACTGTTTTTCCTGAGATTGTAAGGTGTGGGATCCCAAGCTCACTGCAACAGACTGTAGTATATATACACAAAAAAGCTAGCATATGGTGTCAGGATTTAAGACTAGGCGAGTGCTATTCTTTTACCCCACAGCTCTTTTAAAACTTTTGCAGCAGGCTGCACCTAGAAAATGTTCTGGAAACTGCAATGCATGGGAATGCACTGGAATTGTCTACTCTTCAAATTTTGAAAGCGAATCCAAAATCCACAGCAATCCCAATGCAGGGCAATATTGGAATGTTTGAATAAATTGAATACAACAACGTTCAAAATTCATATATCACCGTTTTCTGGCGCTGGTACTTCGGACCCACCCATAAATGATACATGCAGGGCCAACATCCCTTAAATCAACACAGATCCAGGGTCACCTCGCACTGGCCCAGACACACCGAGCCATCTCGATCCCAGGATTCTTCCACTGCAGACCTGGCGCAGCAACAGATGTGAGAGGACAGAAAATTGGGATATGGTGAGCATGATCTTGGGTAACGATGTTGGTTATGGGGATTAGATCAAATTTTCATTGTTGGGATCTATGGGAATTGATGTTCAGTCCAGGGTCTAAAGAATATGTGGATCGAGATGATATAAACAGGATGTATAAATGTAGTGACCGGTTAAGAGGTTCAATGTGGGAAATATAGTTTAGATGTTCCATTTAGGCTTAAAAAATATGGTAACAAAAAATATGGCCCCAACAATTTGGCCAGCCTGGCCTCTCCCACTCCATGCTGCCACCATCAGATTCGTAGGGGCGATCCTGCAGGGCCGCGCATGATTTTAAAGGGAAGTTTATGCGGGACGAACATCGACATGTAATGTACAGAAAACGGGGGAAAACCAATACATTGTAAATAACTGATATATATATATATATCAATATATAGATATTGATATTGATTTGTATTTATATATATACACATATATACAAATCTTCTGTCGATATGGTTGTATGTTCATATATGTATTTGTATGTAACATAGATTGCACTAGTTTTTTCAAGACCACCAGGCCCCAGGCCCCGCCTCCACTGGTTGGGTTTCCTCCCAATCCATGTACTTCGACTGTTGGTAGCCCAAAAAGCGTAGGCTAGCTTGGCAATTTTTCCGGGCCCGCTGAGCCAATCGCATAACAGTTTTCGCTTGAGATTCAACCCACAAATGGTGAGGAAGGCCAACTAAAGGAATCACCATATCAGGCTTATCAAACAACAGTTGGACACCTCTTCGGCAAGCAGCTAGAGTGAAATTTTTTTTCCCTTCTCCCACGTGACCTGCCCATGCGAAAGCCTTTCGGGCTGCTACATGTTTGAGGGAAGTTGCAGGGCTAATTGCCCCAGACTTTTTCAATCTTTTCCCACCATCAGGAAGAACACAGTGCCTGTAAAGGGCATCTGCTATGAAGAGCCCCTTCAAATGTAGGGCAGAACCATTTATATCCATGGCACCCACCTATAGTTGACCCCCCGTGATCGAGCCACACAGCACCCAGGAGCTCAAAATAGGGCAAGGCATTCGAGATCAACACCGCCAAACGAAAAAAGGGGACAGCCGCTATGGCCGGCTGGCCAACCAGGTTGTGCAGGGGTCTTGGTTTACCACTATAGTTTACAGGTGTATAGTTTAGATAGGTCAGAAAATGTTCAAAATATTGTGAAGAATATGAGGTAAAACACCATTCTTGTTTGGGTACTTGGAATATATTAGATGGTAAATGAAATGCAATTAACATAGTTCATGCATCACCATGTATATAATTTACATAAGTCGAAAAAACGGTCAAAATATTATGAAGAGTATGAGGTAAAACACCATTCTTGTTTGGGCACTTGGAATATATAGCATGAAAACAAACAACATAACAATGTATATAATTTATATAAGTCAAAAACCGGTCAAAACATTATGAAGAATTTGGGGTAAAACACCAATCTTGTTTGGGGTACTTGGAATATATTAGATGGCAAATAGTTCATACATCACTGAATCACCATACCTGTATTGTTGGAAAATTGTTTTTAATGGATCCACATTTGATGCGCAAGCTTATATCATAGTTTAATGACCCAACATGACCCAACATCAAGATACAACCTTTGCCTTTATATCTATATATATATATACATACATATATAGATACAGTGATAAAAAAAAAAGGGTGTCAGTGTTTAACATAATATAATCCCAAGCCATTACTCCGAGTGATTCCCACCCACCCGGTTGTCCAGGCAGCTGCGTGGTATATATAGGCTTATATAGGCGCATGCTTTATAGCCAATTTTCCGACATAGGTTAATTATTCTTAGCCAATTTTCCCATTGGCAGCCCAAGCTTGACACCAGCAACACTATGTTGCCGGTGCCACTCTTTGACCTCGTTGGCTGACCCCACCTGGTATATGTTGCCGGTGCCATGCACACGTCCTGTATATACATTAGGCATGCCATCTGGCAGCCCCAAAGTGCCGGTGTCAGCTATGACGCCGGTCAAGCCACCCTGGTGATACAACGAGTGCTGGAGCTCACGCGCTTGGAGCCGCTGCTGCTTGCACGCAAGATCTCTAGCGTGAGAGTTTTGGTTTCGAGCTCCAGATCTCACTTCCTGCTCCTGATCGCGATGCTGCTCCTGCTGCTCCTCTGTCGCCTCTCCCTCCTTTGCTCTCTCCCTCTTATTCATTCCATCGCTCTCTTCATCAATTCGAAGCCTCTCATATATTGCCTCTCACTCACTCACCCAATGTCTGTCAGTGGTTTCTCATTCAGCTCATATAGGCTCTCACTGACTGTGACTTGCTGACTATCAGTCGCTCTCATTCAAGTCAATCACTCTCCTTCACTCCTTCATTCCTGTACAGCGTCACCTTTTTCCACTTTCAGCCCCAGATGTGGAGATATGTAAGGAGGTCTTTTCAATTTGACACATGGAAAGCAATTTGTCAGCGAGGGAATTCAAGAAATTCCAATTGTGAGCAAAAAAGCCAAAAACATCCATAAAACATTTGAGCACACATGCGTGCACTCCTGCCAAGGATGGCCAAAGACTACATATTCAACCCGCTGGCAGAAGCATCCGACGATGAGCAGCACTTGGCTTCAGAGCCCGACCTCGAGCCAGACTGGGATGAATAGCTAGCGACTGCGCCGTGAAAAGTGGCGTGTAATTCGTTCGTGTCTCCTGAAGAGACTTCGCATTCAGCGAGCAACTGGTTTGTTTTGACTTATCAGTTTGTTTGATGACAAGATGCAAACACTTATGGAATATATGCTCACGCCCGCGGATTCCTCATGTATGCTGCTGCAATGTTTTCCGCAAACCCATTAAGAAGCAGCAACAAGATTGGGTGCAGACTTCATGTCAGCCTGGCTTCATTTGACGTCGAAGACTATTGAAAAATGCCAGAAGCCAACGCAAACCATACTGCCTAATGTTGCTACGCTGGTGAGGGTACCAAAACCACACAGTCAGTGCGCTCAAAAAATTCAGCTTTGTGAAGGCCTCCCTGACTGAGATCTTCCCATGAACGTTAACATTGCCCTACCCCACCCCACCCCATCCTCTTGCGTAGCAGCAACATGTTTTGCATCGTCGCATGAACGTTAATTCTGCCCCACCCCACCCCATCCTCTCGCGTAGCATCAACATGTTGTGCATCGTCACATGAATGTTAACACTGCCCCACCCTTCCCCACCCCATCCTCTCGGGTAGCGTCAACATGTGGTGCATCGTCACATGAACGTTAACACTGCCCCACCCTACCCCACCCCATCCTCTCGGGTAGCGTCAACATGTGGTGCACCGTCACATGAACGTTAACGCCGCCCCGCCCCACCCCACCCCATCCTCTCGCGTAGCATCAGCATGTTATACATCGCCACATGAACAGGCGTTTAGAGGCTTAGAGGCGTTTAGAGGCGTAGAGGCGTTTCGACGTTAGAGGCTTAGAGGCGTTAAGAGGCTTAGAGGCGTTTAGAGGCTTAGAGGCGTTTCGAGGCTTAGAAGCGTTTAGAGGCTTAGAGGCGTTTAGAGGCTTAGAGGCGTTTAGAAGCTTAGAGGCGTTTAGAGGCGTTTAGAGGCTTAGAGGCGTTTAGAGGCTTAGAAGCGTTTAGAGGCTTAGAGGCGTTTAGAGGCTTAGAGGCGTTTAAAGGCTTAGGCCTTTAGAGCCTTAGAGGCGCTTAGAGGTGTTTAGAGGCTTAGAGGCGTTTAGAGGCTTTGAGGCGTGTAGAGGCTTAGAGGCGTTTAGAGGCTTAGATGCGTTTAGAGGCTTAGAGGCTTAGAGGCGTTTAGAGGCATTTAGAGGCTTAGAGGCGTTCAGAGGCTTAGAGGCGTTTAGAGGCGTTTAGAGGGGTTTAGAGGCTTAGAGGCGTGAGAAGCGTGAGAAGCGTGATGGAGGCTGACGGGCTTAGAGGCTTAGAGGCTTAGAGGCTTTAGAGCTTTCGTCCAACAATCGCGTGTTAGACGCTTAGAGGCTTACAGGCTTACAGGCTGCCTCCAGACATTACAGGCTTAGAGGCTTAGAGGCTGGTGGCGGACTGGAATTTCCATTTACGAGAAAAACATTAAATCAAAATGCCAAATATGCTTCTTGATAACATCAATACCAATGCCCGTTTAAGGTGACACGAAGGATTGATGATTCTTCATCATGTGGTCTAGCACGTTCACCTCTATAATGAAATTAGATGCGAATCTCTGTCATACATTATTGATCCAAGACTCAACTTTCGTAATCCTGGGAGTCGGAAAAATAACCTTGTTAAATATCCACAGGGGTAATGTTTTCATGCTCCATTTCGAGTCATTGAGCAAAAGTTACAAGACATGGGCCCAAAACGACAGCAACTGGTGAGACCTCTGCAGGATGGTTTAATACCAATAAATCACTACGTTTAGCTGTCAGTGGAACCCTTCCTCTGATGACTGCATAATCATGCTGCTCTCGCTGTCGGAGCGGAAACGTGACCTTGGCAAGATCCTGCAGCGTTGCGTTGCATGCGTCTCTAGCGGCGAGTAAAAAGAACCTGTCGCAGAAGACATGCTGCTTCCTGCAGCATGGTCAGCCAGCTTCCAACAGCAATACTGACACCAGCGACAGTTTCAGTCGAAACATCATCATCATTATCATCATCATCACCATCAACATCATTATCATCACCATCATCATCATCATTGCCATTCCTCTGTGAAGTATTTTTAATTCCGATGTATCACCCGTACTGGTTCATTCATAAAACATATTACCTTGGTTGAATCTTTGGATATGCCTGCCTTGCAATGCTGGAGGGCGCTTCAGGTGTGAAGCTCATCAATGGCGGCTGAATGTTAATGATGGATGATGATTGGTTGTGGCAAAGGATAGATGACCGCTAGTCCTGACTCCAGAGTTCTAAATTGACGTCATTCCATTATCCAAGTTTTTTTCGGGTTAGCGTCATTCCATATTCGAAGATACACACCTTCGAGAAGCCACATGACCTATAGAACGTTTCATATTGGCCGTCCTTCACTCAAAAGAAACTCCCTCAACATAGAAATGAGGACAGTACAGTACTTCACATTGCCAAGACTCCGCCCACGGAGAATGTTATAAATTTTCCGTGCGCAGCGCGCAGGCAACGGAAAATTCCCAATATTCTCCCCCCAAGAGAGGATGAATGGTGAAACATATAGTTTCACCCACGCCTGGCAGCCACTTGCAACCACTTGCAGCCACTCCAGTGGTCGCCAGTGGCCGCCATCCTTCTCTTCTCATCGGCAGCCACTTGCACCCCCTTGCGGCCAATCGAGTGGCCGCCAGTGGCCACCAGAATTTTCTTCTCATCGGCAGCCACTTGCAGCCACTTGCAGCCAGTGGCCGCCAGTGGCCGCCAGTGTCCGCCAGCGCCAATCGAGTGGCCGCAAGTGGCCGCCAGTGGCCACCAGCATTTGGTTTTTCATCGGCAGCCACTTGCAGCCACTTGCAGCCACTCGAGTGGCCGCCAGTGGCCGCCCGCATTCTCTTTTCATCGGCAACCACTTGCAGCCACTTGCAGCCAATCGAGTGGCCGCAAGTGGCCGCCAGAGCAAGTGGCCGCAAGTGGCCGCAAGTGGCCGCAAGTGGCCGCAAGTGGCCGCAAGTGGCCGCCTTTGCCAAAATCAAATTCGTGCCCTTCTGCACGCTCTCGGTATATTATATTATATATAGAGATGTATATATCTGATGGATATTACATCTATAGTAGATATGTAGATAGGTGTGATATATATATATATATATAATATGAAATTATAAATAAATTAGAAAGGTATTTAGTATATCATATTTTATCTCACATAGATTATATATTATATATTATATATATAATATATATATATATAATTATATAATTAATAAATTATATATATATATATATATATATATCATGGAATATAGGAATCGATGATATCTAACCAGCCAATGTCTAGATATGGGTGTGTCTGAAACTGAGGCATACTCACAGTTTATGGCACTTTGCGTAGGAAAGATGATTATTTTTTGGGGGATGATACCTCTCATATTTGGCACAACTACAAAATCCTACCAAAATCCACGTTTGGAATGTTCTGGAGGCTATTGGGTATATTTATATGATCATGGAAGGCCATCAGTGTTCACATCGAACTGGCAGTTTGGATCTTCATCCCTTCATGCGTCTGGTTTTCGCAACCATCACCATATCCCCATATGGGAGTTTCATCCAGAACAACATCTGTACAGTGTGTGGATTCTCCCTATTTTGGTTTCCATACGGCATGATGAATGGGGGATAGGATCAGGTCCAAGGTCATACCATGGCTGGGAAATCCCCGAACTCAATGGAGGTTGTAATGGAAGAATCACAGGAAAATATGGGAAGATAGAACAGATATCACTATAAATGGTAAAATCATGGAACGAAGTTATTAACGGGAATTTTCCAGCGCCATGTTTGATTACCGATTACCAAAGGGTATTTCTATGGTCAATCACCTTGAGATTTCGCGGCACCTGGCGCTAAGGAACGACACTTATGTGGGGAGCCTTAAAATGTCCACCCGTGGCGGGTGCATCATGGATATCATGGTGCATCTGAACATGGGGGATTGGCCCCTCAAGTGGCAAGTTTAAAGGGAAAACTGAATGAACATGAGATGTATAGGAGGATATTATATGTACATGGGATATCAATGAACTGAACATAATAATCATCCATTATTATCCCACTGGTGGAGGTGAACCCATTATTTAACCAATGGGAATTCACCAATGGATTTTGGGTATTGCGATATCTTCCCACTACTGGGTCCTTGATCTCCAGACAGGGGCGTAGAGAGTGATGTATCGATTGTGTAGATAAGTCCTTGGATCATGAAGCGAGAAACCTGGTGATATATGTCCATTTTGGTTCATTATATATATATATATATACATATGTATATATATATATATGTGTATACATATAAATATACATACATGGTCCATGATTATGTGTCTACATATTAAATGTATATATTATCTCTAGAAAAAAACAACTCTTGCATCATTAGATAAACATTAGTATACATTAATATACATATTCTACATCCTCCCTATTCCTGGCGCAGGTGGCCAACAAGGACTCCTCCAAGCGCGAGTGGGCCTTCAACCGCGTCGATGCCGTCCTGGAGTTCGCATCGCCTGAGGTCATGGCGTTGGTGGGGTGAACACCGAAAAAAAAGGGGATTTTGGGGATATTAGATGTTTAACCTTTACGATTTCAGATCTGGTTTTAGATGGATCCAGGATGGATTTAGGATGGTTTTATTGATTCTCTTGATGGCTTTACCAACCAATTCATGTGGACTGAACCTGCTTGCGAATGTGGAATTACCATCAAACAAGTGGATTTAAATGGGATTCTACCAGCAAAAGATCCGATGTCATCGCCATATTGAAGAAAAATATTTGAAGATAGGATTATACCACAGTTTTTTCGTTTCTTCAATAGGGATTATGCCTACACTGTGGTGAACATCAACCACAAGCATAGGGATATCAACCAAAAAAATCGGAGAAACAGGGTGCAATACCGGCAATCGATCCGCTGGGAACTCCCCAGAGCTAGTGGGACAGGGCGGAAGAGGGGATGTAAATGATACCCAGAAAATGATGTTTTTTTGTTGGTGGTGTATACTGTACCTGAATTTTGACCCACAATTCCGAACTATTTGTGATGTGGTGTTGGCTTGTTGGAAGATTATGAAGATAGAAGATCAAGAGGTGGCTTTGCCAGCAAAAAAATGCATTTTAGCCAAACATTTGGGCGTTTGTCTCTGAGACCTTCAAAATCACCAGGAATGGTATTCGGAGACAAATATGGGGATGCAACCGGTGAAAGGTATAAAGTACCAGACAAGAGTGAATATTGGTTGACTGGGACCAGAATGAAGTGGGATGCAGCAGTATTTCTTGAGCGAATCCCGAACCCTGGCAATAGAACCTTCCAGTTCTGTCCATTTCACTATTACAAATGTGGTTTTCCCTTCATCAAAAACCTTGCAAAATAGATGGGTATCCCCTGGTACACTAACATAGTTATGGAAAATCACCATGTCCAATAGGCAAAACAACGAACTGAATGGTCAGTTTCAATTGCTATGTGAAATTACCAGAGGGTATATCCCGCCAGTAATCATCATGAATCGCCAATACATCACAATTAGCCATGATTCACCACTACTCACCATTAATGGGATGTACATTATTAATGGTGAATCATTTTTCTAATGATTGGCGATTACCACTATTTAATCACACCAATTAGTGCTAAATTAGTGGTAAAATTAAATCAAAGTTGTTTGGGTATCTCCTGATCCAAATTGACGGCTTTCCCGGTCGTTCATTGTGGGAGGCGCATATCCTGCCTCCGCCCTTGGACATCCTCGTGTCTTCCGCACAGCACGGAGAGGAAAGCAGTTAGAGCAAAGAGGATACAGTGTGGGCCCCGTAATTCGACAACTAAGTTGGTTTACAACCTATAACATCCAAGAACTCCATTGTGGTTTATGATACTTGTAACTACAGATAACTATAGTAACTATATAGTTAATGGGGCTTATAACCCAACTTATAACTGGGTGGCCCCACATTGTAGCTGAGTTTGTCTGAAGATGGGGTATACCGCCCAAAATGGCAAGATTGGCAATTCACATGATGGAACTCATGATTTTGGAATATGAAGTTTGTTTTTTTTTGGTACCCAATTTTCAGACGCAGAATGCCGCGATTTTCATGAGCTTTCGCTGGTGAACTCTGAACTCCGACGTGTTTATCATTTTCAGCCCCAAATTGTTGCATTCAGTTTTTGGCCAATTCGCTACAATTCCTTAGTGGTTCCCCATTTTCTTGCCACGTGTTTCCTGGGTTTTTTGCCCTCAGGTCCATCAGACATCTCTGTGGTGCGGCGAAGCCTTTGAGCCGCAAGGTGTGCGACAGATGGTGAGTTTTCCTCATAATCATATGTGTGCCATGGTCAAGTTTGTTGGATTATTTATGAATGTGTATATATATATATATATACATATTTATATATACACATGTACTATACATACATATCCAGATTGAGAAGAGGTCATCCACCCATGAAATATATCAAAATAGAGCAATTCAGCAGACATTTGGCAGTAAACCTGAGGATTTCATCCACTGAAGAAACCCATCAACCAGCAAGAATGGGGATATCTAGCAAGAAAATTGGATATGATGATAGTCAGCAAGAACGAGGATTTTACACTCTGGGCAACAAACATGGTGACTCTACCAACAAACATTGTATTTAGTCACAAATAAATATGGATGCAAACAACCATAGAACCATTTGTACTGGTATTTGGTTTGGGATATTGTTCATCCCCACAAAATGTGATGGTGATGGTGATGATGATGATGATGATGATGATGATGATGATGATGATGATGATGATGACGGTGATGATGATAATGATGATGGTAATGATGATGATAATGAAAATTATGATAATGATGATGATTGATGATGATGATGATGATGATGATGGTGATGGTGATGGTGATGGTGATGGTGATGATGATGATGATGATGATGATGATGAGCCCAATCCCAATCCCAATCCCAATCCCAATTGACATTTTTTTGGGGGGATGGGTTGAGAGCACCAACCGAAAAAATAGGCAAGCAGATCTGATATATATATATATACATTAAAGGAAGATTGAGGGTAGCAATTGGCGCCAGAGATTCACTGTCAAATTGACAGAGTGAATTCCCCAGGGGCAAACCTAGGGGCAGATCAGCAGCAGATCCGCTGTTGGCCACTTGCTTGGTTGTAGGCTATATCTTGAACCTCCCTTCCCTTAGATCCAACAGTCATAGTTTTCTAGTTTTCTGACAATCTGATCCAGGTCTGTGTTTAGTTAAGTTTTGTTTAACTTATAAAATAGATTGAAATAGTCACATTTCTGTTATAACAAGTCCGAAGGTGCAAAATAAGGTGTTGCCACCAAATTAGTTGGTGTATAGACCGCCCCCCAGCCATGGGCCCATCTATATTCCTATAGATCTATCGAACATAAACTGTACTTAACTTGTACATAGAAGTATTATATTATACACATAATATTACACATCGCAATATACTTATACACTTATTATATACTTAGAACATCTTCTAAGCCAACTTAGCAAAGAAACCAGGTCCCTGTTTACGCTTGCCCCAGGACCAGCTGCATTACTGCACCCTGACGTCGGTGGTGCCGCTGGGTCCCCACGAGGTGTTGGGCGACCGTTGTTCGGGGCAGGCAGAGAGTTGCGCAGGCAGTTCCCAACAGTAGGATTTAGTGATTTGGGGATGGGTCAAAACCCTGGTACCTAGTGAACCCCAAAATAGCTGGGATTTATGGATGTTCATCCCATTAAAATGGTATTAATATAGGTATTGATCCATACCCATTTGCGTATCTACATTGGGGATTGAAGCAACAACACTGGTACTGCGGATTTATCCAACAACACTGTGAGATTTCACAAAATTGGGGAATCCACTAGCACTTCGTGATATTTAATGATTTGAACATGTGACAATGTGTATCTAAAATGCGGATTTAACCAACAACTGAGGATTGATCCAACAAAACTCGTAATTTCCACTGTGGCAAGCAAAGATGGTATGTAAACAAAACCCAATGTGCATGATTGACCTCTTGGGAATGGTTTGAGCCATGTGAGAAGATTCCCCAAAAATGGGAATAGTTTTGCCGGTTGGTTCCTCTGCCGATTTTTTGCTTCGTCCTCAAAATCATAAGACACTGGAACCGGCACAACTACTGGGGATGTTCACGAAACAAACAGATGCTGCCAAGAATTGAGGACAGAATCGCTCCATGTTGATGGGCAATGATGTGGCGATCTTGGTATTCGACACAGTCACATGGATAGATTTACAGTATCATGATTTATCCATGTGGATAATACGGGATCAGACTGGGCCTCTTGAGTAAGATCAAGTAAGTTTCGACAGTTTGACAAACCATCCATCAATCCCGTGCTGGTGATTCCATAGATACATATGAGTGTGTTCTCACAAAGTCCACAACTCAATGTGGTATCAAACATCATGGTCATGTATCCTACTGAGTCGGTATAGATTCTACTATATGATAATATAAATACTAAGCATTGTAAATGGATTCAATTGGTCTGGTATGCTTTCTGATTTGGTTTATCACCCGTCTTTCTCTTGGAACCCGCTGGGGTTTAGACGCGACGTCACGTAGGTGGAAATCACCATCGATGTGAAGGGCGGCGACATCCAGGTTGTTTTTCAGAGGGATTGCTATATAGAAACCCATGGGTAAAGTTGAAAATCATTGATAAATCATGTGGAAAGTCATGGAAAATCCATCGGAAGAAGAAAAAACAGATGGAAAAGTGTGCAACCAGGATAAATCAGATTGATTTTCCCCATTATTTCCAGGTGTCCATTTTTTAAGGATCTATTTTGGGGATTGCTATATCCCAGACACTTTGAATATCAGAAGATTTTTTCACGAGATGGGATAGTCTATGATTCTATGATTGGTATATGTTCCATGGCTTCATATTTTCAAATGTGTTTGTTGCTCCGGAGATTGCAGCGGATACAGGGATTCTAGCGTCAAAATCCCTTAAGATCATAGGGACTCTCGGAAAACATGCGCTGCAAAAGTTGGGACAACAAATGAGATTTTGCAACACTGAAGAACCATTCCCAAAGTTCAGGGTAGCGATCATACCAACATGTTTTTTTTTCAGGAGAGACCTTTGTTTACACATGTTTACACTACGTATTTTTGGTGTTTTCAGACCCTACACAGCATGTGGGAAGAATGATATATCCGGGAGTCAGTTCCCATTTTAGATGAGACAATGCTCTTACACCTCCCAAAATCAGCAAACGATCGAATCCCACACTACATACGTTACATTAAGTCACCATTTTCTTAACTGGTCCACATTCTCAATATTTGTTGCGCGTGCTTCATCACGAGGCAGCTGATTCCTCCCTTCTGGCCTGGGAGGCGCAAATGGCCGAACTTTTCAGGTCAGTGAATTAGCATCATTTATTCAACTGAAAATCCTGAAATTGGGGATATTCTTAAGCAGCAAAAGGTGCCAACGTCGGGGCCTAGTGGGGGCGTCCATGATGTTTTTCTTTCGCCTGGCTGCATGGTTTCTGTTGGTGCCCAAGTCTCGGAGAACCATGTGGTCAGACCAAAAGGTAACAGAGTCATCCAAGATGAGGGATCACAAGAAACTCATATTTTTGTAAGTTACCCTCTGGTAAACTAACATAGCTATTGAAAATGGCCATTTATAGTGGATTTTCCCATTAAAAATGGTGATTTTCCATAGTTATGTTAGTTTACCAGAGGGTACGTCCCGATGTGTGCTCTGCACTGCAAACCCATTTGCGTTGCTCGAAGTGTCCATTTGACCATTTGTTGTTTTTTTTACAGGTGGAACAACAAGTTGACCAACGTTCTGTGGGTCAGGCCCAGCCTCAAATTTTGGTGAGTCCCTGGTTTTACTGCTCAAAGTCCAATTTGTATCAGTTTGTGTTGGTTTAACTCTTTTAAATCCTACTTTACGTTGCTAAAACATGCTAAAACCCACATGTTTGCTGCTAAGATCTGATTTTCTTGCTGCCAACGCTGCTGATTTCCCTATCTTTAATCCATAATTCCCATTTCTTGCTCTTGAAATCCCTTCAAACGGCATCTCCATTCGCATTTCAGCACAGCGACAGGATGTCACCATGGTCCCCGACGAAGTGTCGGCGGTGGCTAAGACATGCAACTCTGCCGTGCAGAGACCCAGCAGACTCGCTGAAGAGCCAAGAACTGGTACCCTCTGGTAAACTAACATAACTATGGAAAATCACCATTTATAGTGAAATTTCCAATGAAAAATGGTGATTTTCCATAGTTATGTTAAATTACCAGAGGGTATCATCTTCAAAACAACCAGGGAAACATATGGATCAAATCACCACCATTCACCTTGGTTCCCAGCATTTCCCAGCATTTCCCATCCATTCCCATAGATGCTCCTGGCTTTTTCGGGGATTTCGTGGTAATTCAATTGCATACAAACGTACTATAAGTATCTATAAGTATCTATAAGTTAAACTTTCAGCAGCTGGGAGGCTGGGAAGCAACCAGATTTTGTAAAATCGGGTTCACCAACCAACAGTGGAGATGAACAGCTGAACATACAGAGATTGAATCAGCAAAGACAACTGACATTTCACTGCCAGAAATGGGGATTTAACGGGCAAAGATTGACATTTTGCAGGATCATTTAAGCACCAAATGTGGAGAATTTCTAGGCAAGACATGGGGAGAACCATGATATCGTGATGTAATTAAGTGGGAGTGAGCTTTTCACGGATCACTGGCACCTAGACAGCAATGAAGGGGACAAACGTGGGATATACAGTAAAACCAACAATAGGGAATGTAACCAACCGAAAATGGGTACATGAACACTTATGAACCGGAGTTCTAGCCACTGAAAGATTGGGATTAATCAATAAATCACAAATAGATTATGGGTATGTTTCTGGCTAGTGTTACTGAATATTTTAGTGTACGTACTTACAATACGGCAGTTCTGTTCCATACGTGCAAATGGGATGATGGTTCCTGTTGACCAACGAGCCAATCATTTCCATTGGAAGACTCAGGAATTATGGTAGTGAGATCACTATCACATGGCCCGTCTGATTTTCGTGGTTTGATCCTACGCAATCCCATGACAATCAGGGCCCAGCTTTGTGGAACCAAGGTTTTGTCTGAACATGACTGAAAAGAATACTCTGGTCCTTTACAATTTGATGTTTCAGCATCATGTTCCCATTAAAACGGCTGTAAATTTAATATATAGTTTATTTATGTTTATTTTCAGACACATTCAGACACGAACAACTAGCATATCAAGCTGGTGACATATAATTATATATATATATATATACATTCATAATTCAGTATACATACAGTATACTATACATGTATAGATCCCACAATATCGCCATAAGATATCCTAGGTCCTGGTCTATCGCAACGTGGTCCTGTGCAAACCTTTGCATTTCACCTTCGCTGGTAAGGCAGGGCAGTCGCCTTGGGAATTGAAGCGGTGGAATCTGAAGAAATGGCCACATCATATTTACATATGAATGTGTATATACAAGTATACAAGTACGTATATTACTATATATATATATACACACTATACTATACACAATTAATATTATATATATATATACATACATCCAAGATCAAACATTGCAGGTGTGGAGTGTGGAGAATATATGTTTATTTTGGTTGGGGAATGAATGTATGGATAAGACATTATTATTTGTCACATTGGGATGGCAGAGAAGAATACTACGACAACATGAACATCATGTGACGGACTGTGGATCCAGAGTTTCCATGGTTTTCTGGCACTGTATTATATTGAACCAACAATATATATATATTATATATATATATACCGTATACCATCCCCAGTATTCCTACAAATGGATATAAATGGGTTGTACAGACTGTGACTAGACCTTCCCTAAATCGTCCGTTGATTATTGGGTTTGCCACATCTCTGTGTTTTGTTCCCATGGGTTTTCCGGTATTGCCATGGTTTTCCATGGCCCTTCTGTCCAACGTTCCCGGATCCGAAACCGTTGCGGACAGGGCAGCGGCTATGAGACGGTTCAAGTTTCCCTTGACGAGGTGGGTGATACCGATGGGTGCCACACCTTGCCAGGTAGTAGCTTGATGGGTATGCTTAGTTAAAAAATGTTCGAAATGGATACGTACAACATTGATATAAAATGGAGATACATCAAGGAATGCGATTTCCATCAGAATTCTGGAAAAAATGTGTTGATTGCTTTTGTTGCCGAGGTCTAGTAAAGATCAACGCATTTAGTTTAGCCAAAATACACCTCCATGATATTGATATATATATATATATAAATATTATTATTATTTATTATTATTATTATATATTATTATTAGTAGTAGTATTATTATTATTATTTGTTTTTTATATATAAATATCATTATATTTCATTGTATGCAAAATCTAGCCACATGCAAGTTCGAGTAACTAACCACCGAATATGAGTTTGGTTGCCTGAGTTCTGTAGGCTATAACTCCAAGTTCAACTAGAGACGATCAAGTGCTATGTTTCCAGGTGTGTTCAAAGTCAAGACGGTTACAACACTTGTGTCAAACGTTCTCAGTTCTCAACTGTGGATGCATCCAATAATTGGTATGTGATAGAAACATACAATTGACACTAGTGTTCGACACTGTATCCCATTTGTGCCGTACAGATTTGTATCGAGGACAGCCAAGTAGACAAAGGCATACAACGGACATTCCCCGTGAGTTGATCCTGGCGTCCACAGTCCACAGTCATATTTCATAGTGGTTCATATGATCATATGAATAGATAGTGGTCATATGACCATATATGATCTATCAAATATCTAATAGTAATATATGACCATATATCACAGTTGGATATTAACCATATTTAATAGATATGATCACAACGTGAGTTGTTTGCTTTCAATGAATCCATTATATTGCTGCTCCATTTGTTGCGTATTGATACTCCGGAGTCCACCGATTAATCTAACATGATAACGTAGCTATGGAAAATGGCCCAAATTAACATTTGCATAAGAAATGATTTATCATGATTTACCTATCAAAAATAGATAAAAATAGTGGTTTTCCAGTTTTCCATGGCCTTTCTAGTGCCTATACGTTTGGTGACCATGGCTGCCGTGGCAAACCACTGCGGTTTCATCCAGGACTCGTGGACACGGCCCTTGACGCGCATGGAGCAGAGACATATCGCCTTTCTTCAACAGGACGCGGTGCATGGCCCATGGCGGGGTCAATGGATATAACCATGGAAGAACCATGGGTATTTTTTCAGGTTCATGTGAAATTTAGGATATTTAGGGGAATTGCTGTACCATTTAACCATGGGCATTTTTCAGGTTGTGAAATTTAGGATATTTAGGGGAATTGCTGCACCATTAACAAACAATAGCAAGAAAAACATGGTGGTTTGACATATTTTCCACACTACGAACTTCAGATGATCCCCATTCACTATATGAAATCAGTTGATGTTTCAGACGGTTTTTTTTCCCACCAAGCAACTACACATTGCTGTAAATCAGTGGTAAATCATATACATACACACATTTGTATACAGTTACATATATATATGTATACATATATTATGTATGTATATACATATAAATTCCCCATGTCTATCTCTGAAGAAACCCTTGAAGAAACCCTTGCGCCCAGTGTTTGCAAGGAAGTTCTGGAGCAGGAGGTGTGGATCATCGTGGATCATCGTGGATCATTGGGGCCGGGAAAAAAGTGATACTGTGTTTAAGCAACTGTATTTACACATGGCTTTTAGACAATGGAGATGAAACACATTTAGAACAATTCTTTCAACAATATGGCACTTCAATGGTGATTCAACAGAGTGTTCCAACAATATTGGCGATTCAACAAAATCAGAAACTTAGAACCTGATGCCGTGATGCATTGGAGATGCGGGGAAAAGACATTTTACCTCAACTCACCGGAAGCGATGGGCCAAATACATCCAAACACTATTATTATTCATAATAATTTATAATGGTAATAATATATAATAATACATGCACCTGTTAACAATGTGTTTGATGAGATCTATGTTGCAGAAAATCTAATCTCTCAGCAATCTCATACGTACATACAAACGATATGTTTTAGAGTATATGTGTTTTTGGATATGTAATAATATCTACCCTCCTCTAAACCAATATACAGATGTGGAAAACCCACCATGTGTAGATCATTGTCCGAAGATTTCCCCACGGATTTTCCACATCTATGTTAGTGTACCTAGGGTACATTTTTTTTAATGTTTACCATCTGGTTATTTAACATAGCCATGGAAAGTCACCATTTTCAATAGGTAAACCATCTATAAATGGCCATAAATGGACCATTTTCCTTGGCTATGTTAAACAACCAGAGGGTAATATTAATATATATATATATATAATAATGATCCAACTATTGATTATATCAAACCATGTTAATCTAATATCTAATATTGAACCTGGTTATAGTATGTCAATCCACGTTGTACGTCAACCCACATCACGATTCCGCATGTTAATCTCATAATCTACTATTGAAATATCCAATCAACTAATAATATATAACCAAAATTGATATATAGTTATAGTATGTTATAGTTATATTGATATTGATTTGTATAATATTGAGTATGATTATAACTATAACCAATCAGCTACATAATTCAATGATGGTCTAATTTCATTAACATAACAATCAACTATCACAATGATAGTAATAATCATCAACTGATATGGATATACACTATCGTCAACTATAAATACTAGTAACTATTGATTACAAGTGTTTAATTACTTTATATAAACAAGTAATCAGCTCTAATATACAGTATATGTGATTATATGTGTATATAGAGCATACAGTAATGTGGGTAAAACAATCATAAACTATCCCCAGTCATCACCATGTTTATAGGTGGTATAAAAACCATTCCCAAATGGGTGGTTTATGGCATTGTTTTACTCGCATTGTTGATCCACAGGCGAACGATGTGGAGCCCCTCGAGCAGCGCAACGAAGCCTTGGAGCGGGAGCCTAGCACGCGTGTTTCAGGAAAAAAATCAAGGGGAGGCCGGGGAGGGTCTTGAAAACTAGTGAAATGTGGATTTAACCAGCAAAAATGGACAGAAATTGGGATTTAACCAGCAAAAATGGATCGATGGGATCTAACCAGCAAAGATTGTGATTTGACGAACACAAGCTGGGGTTTAAGCAAGGAAACAACGGATTTCATAGGCAAAAATTGGGATTTGATTCATTCAAATAGCGAGTTGGTTTGGAAGACATGTTGATTTGATTAGCAATAATAATAATGGCGCCAGCCAGCAAAATTATACTATATAAGTGTATATATATATATAATATATAGCGAAATGACCCAGACATGTGGTAAGTCAGACCCAGCCAGAGCCCATATCCCCATGAAGTTTCGTATCGCACACATTAAAGGACCCGAAGATGTCCATATGGTTATCCCATTAATCCAATGAATCCCAAGTTTTCGTGCTAGAACCTCGGTGTTTTGCGGGCAAAATCCCATGTTTGGTTGGTAGAACATGGTAAAACCATGTAAAACCATGCATTTTTCATCATTGTTCATCTTTTTTTTTAGTAAATCAACCCCATCATGGATTTTTAAAAACCATGCAATTTTGATGGTAAATCCCAAGCGTTTTGATGGTAAATCAACCTGATCCGGGATTGGAAACCTCAGGTCGTGGAGACGAACCAGAAAATGTCGCTGGCAGTGGCCTCTTGGGCCGGTGACATCAGATTTCACCATGGAGATAGAATGGGAATATCATGGTGATTTAACTAACAAATTATAGGAATGGTATAATTTAACATAATTTACCCAAATCGATGGTGGATTGTTCAAAATTTAGGACCAAGAAGACCACATCATATTCATCCATTTGTGACTGGAGATGGTTCAAACCTATAACACGTTCATTTTGTTTGGGATGAACATCCATTTGCCGTCATTTCCCCACAATTCATGTGCACCAAACCAGATTTTGATCCACAGCCATATCGATTGTGGATCCATCAGTTCAATCATCTATTATGTCAATTGAAGACTGACATCAATCGGTCAATTTGGATTATGATGAACATTATCTTCATCAATGTTGGCAAAATTCCATGGTTTTTTAAGGAATATCTCAAACAAATAGAAAGTAACGATTTAAATCCGTTTAAATCCTAGGGGCGGGGTTGAACATGGACCCAGTTATGATCCGTCAACAATAGACATATTCTAGCCAGAGTAGTTATTTCAAAATAGTGTTGTTGGATTTCAGTACGATCTTGAAACCCGTTTAATCATTATGACCATGATCATCAGCAGCAGCAGCATCATCATCATCTCTAGAGATAGTATTTCTAATCTAATCACCCCCCAGATAGTGAACATACAGGAACATACTACTACAGATCCCAATATAAAAGGGGTAGATGATGTTCTCAACCATGTATTGGTGCTTATATGTTCCCACTATATCCATCAATGTCCCTATGATATCATCATTTTTGCTGTTTAAATCAGTGAATGTTCATGCTTAAATCAATGAATGCCTATGAAATCGCCATGATGATGTCAGCAAAAATCACGTGTTCCTATTGTTTCTCTCTCTCTATATATATACATGATATATGTATATATGTTCATGCTATTATCATGCTATTTTACATGATCTTTATCATAATTTTGGTGACATTTCCATGGTTAAATCGGCATACGCCTTCAGCCATGGCAACGATCAAGGACGAGATCACCCGTTTATCCAAGAACGTGGCGCATCTTGCCACGCAGCTGCAGCACCAGGCACGGCATTCCCACGGCATTCCCACGGCATCCACACATGGAACATATTAGGGCATTGAAAAACAGCACCTAAATAGATTGAGACATTAATGTCACCATCGTATTAATAAACACCCCCCCAAACATTAAGAGCATCAGAATAAAGTTAGGGCCAAACATTCAACTATCATTAATGATATATTTGTAATGGATAGATCCTTTTTTTTGCACGATTTGACCGAGTGAAATGTCGGATAGAAATGGTTCATATCCCAGGTCACAATCAGGTATTTAAATGTATGTATATAACCATGTAAAGGGGATGCACAGCAACAACAAGTATGGGAGATCAACCCTGAATAACATGCTTAGGAACAAAATTGATCCAAAAGGAATGATTCGGGGGCCCGGGGCTAACCAATGGAAACCAGAATTTCAACCATCAGTCCATCGGGGTCAAGAATTGTGCCGATAAACCTTGGTGAAGTAGTTAAATACTTGAGTATTTGGCCACAATGGGGATACAAACGAACTAAGTCGCTAAAATTCGCTAAAAACCAATTGGGATATTCTATATATCTAGAATTGACCATGTAAATAATAGGTAATGAGGGTTTTTGGCTTGAGAGAAGGGAATATTGATTGATCTTGATTAGGTATCGGAGGACTTGAATTATGGTACAAAAGAGTATAGCCCAATCATCATCTCTATTCATATTTACATCCAGATTGTTTTGCTAATCTCTTCCCCTTGATATTTCATTCCCATGTCCTAGAAACCCTGTTTTGGTATTGAAACCATTCATTTTGCGGTTCGTTATTCGGGCTGGACATTGCGGGAATGGGATCACTGGTCATACACGTGGGATCGGGATCCCTCTGAAGTCCCAAAAGTAAGGACAAGCATCCTGAGGATTATAAAGGTTTAAAGGTGGGAAGTTCAAGATCTGGCAATAACTAAATTATAATATAGTTTGCAAGGAAAATCACGTTTTTTTGATAGATATATATATATATATATTTATCATCGAACTAAATGTTTCATGTTCCATAGCTATGTAAATTACCGGAGGCTAGTAAAGCGGTAAGCGCTGAATCTGTTCTTTGATGGTAGGACCAGAATGGGCCTACAGATGATGTGAATTGGCTAAAAATAAAGTCAATCACATTCATAAATCCAGTCGACATGTGATATGTTCCCAGTCCCCGGCTATGTACGACTGGTCCAGCTATGTCGTTGCCGCTAGGTGGAAAAAACCAACGCCCTGCAAGATGAGCAGCATGTCGTGAAGGGTCAGGGGGATCATACTTCGAATGACGACTGGATCCATGGAATTGGGAAATATCTCATATTTTGAGCGATTTTGAGGGTATAATGTGATTAAAACAATAATGAACAACCCATTTGGGAATGGTGTATACAACCTATTTATGGTGATTTGGGGGATGGTTTATTATTGTGTCGCCCACAGAGTGCGCATTTAAATCCTAGGCTGGGGGTTCAACATGGGTCCAGTAAAGCTGCTTCTTGATGGGTTGCTGGGTGCACTATTAGCTACTTGGTTTTGTGGGGAATTGTTACAATTCATAGAATCCCTGTTCATAGACCCAATAGAAACAATCCAAGGGTTTGAGTTGTGTTTGCATGCGAATCCTGTATCAAGATTTTGTAGTACAAGTCTGCTTATTACATATATAGTTGCCTAAATTGCTAATATTGTGTAATTATATGTAATTATACATTTAACAGAGCTCTTGAAAAATCGAGCAAGTGATTTCATAATGACAACTGTCCATAGGCCCAGTTGTCGTCTTTTGCAAAATATGAAACCATTTCAGTTGGTAGCTACTGTGTTTGCCAATATTTGGGGTTGGTTTACTCCAAAGTATCGTTGTGAACTTCAAAACATGGCGATTAAGCAGAAACTGATGTTCCAAACCCATTTTCTGGGATTCCATGTCCAATTTGAGCAGGGCATAAACATGCATAAACACCATGATATCTTGTGGCACATTGCTGGGTTGGAAACTTAACCTCGGCGAACGACAACGTGCCTTATACCGCCTTGGCACAATACGGCCCACGACAATTCAGCTTTGTGAACTATTTCCGGGTTTGGCTCAAAGTTGGGACCTCATTGACCGGCAATTGAGATACTTTTTGAATCTTTTTGAGCTCCAGATGCGAACATTGACTGAAACTGGTTTCATCAGCCCGGTGTCTTAATTGGATTGCAAGTTTGCATTTCAACAAATGAGGGAATTATGACAATCCATACTCGTAGGATCTCGTAGGGATACCTAAGAACCAACTAGTATTAATGGGATGGGAAAGTGGTATCTTTCATGGCTCAGATGGTTTCTAAAATTTGCTCCAGTACCAATGATTGAAACCTCCAACCAACAAGATGAGGTATAGTTCAACCCACCAAAGAGAATCTTCAATAGCCTATAGAAATCAGTTAAATAGTTAAGGTCTTTCTGTTCCAATCAACAGCTACAAAAAAATGATCATATCTGATCATATTTGATCATATCTGAAATCCTAAACCGTGCTCCAAGCTCCAGCTTCAACAGCTTCCGCGAGGATTCGTCAGCTCAGCGTCAAGCCTGAGTGAGATCCGTAGCAGGCGGCGGAATCGGCCACAAGTGCCTCACGAGATCGGCTGTCGGCTGTCGCCTGGTGCAAGGTCAGCGGACGGTTCTCAACACATTGATTGAGCAATGTTCAAAACTGTGGTTGCAACCGGGATTCGGTGAGTCAATCGGTGATTTTCTCCAACTTTGTTGTTATCATCACCATCGAAACAGCATTGAATGGGATAGTTCTCAGAAAAAAAAGAAAACAATTGGTATACTGTGTGCCAAAAAAAATCTTGGCACACCCAATTGGTTGGTTTGTGCTGTTCACTTGCTTGCTAACAACTTGCACATCTGTTAGCAGGTTTGAAGGACACGGCACAGTTGTCTCAGTCCTTCTTGTGAAAATGTCCATGGTAATTGTCCTAAAAGACCAGTACCTGTCATGCTGATGTTAAATGTATGTACATGGCTGTAAATGACCCTGATGTGTTTTTTCCTTCGCAACAAGTTGGTTCAAGTTGGTGACATTTCAACCTGCACCCGGTGACAGAAATAGGTGGACCTGAAAACGGTCTGAAACCAGTCGTGCTTTGGCGACATCGAGACAAAAGCGTGCAGCCTTTCCCCACTTCCAGGTACTGACTTCAACATTTAATCTGGGTAAATTATTGCGACCTCACTGGAAACATGGTTAGTAAATGTTAGTAATGGGAATTATCCCAATATGGCCAGATTTATCCAAATTTCAGGTTAATAATATTATAGTTAAAATATATTAACATATATTATCCAGATTAATCCAAGGACTAATGTAGGCTATGACGGTGCAATTTTACAGATAGAAACATCGATGACATTTCGTAAAAATAGATGAAAATAGCACTACTAACATCTACGAAGCATGTTTATACATTTGGGGACCTCCAATATACAATCTTCTGGAAGAGGTTTCGCACCGCCAGTTTCTGGATGTTTGGTAGGCCACCGCCTCCAAATGGCTGGATCCCAAAAGTGAAAGGGCTACCTATTCCTTGCTTGACTCACTGCGACTCCCACCTACAATATGGATCACTTTTATTATAGATTTATAGGATTTTATAGGTGACACATCAAAAACAGCACAGTTCAATCCAGGGATAGAACGTATTTCTTCCAAGGCTGCCTCGTGCCGACCAGGCAACTGATTCGAGACAGGAGGCTCCGAAAGGGAAATGTTCAAAGTGGACAAGAGGAACTGGTGACGGGTATACTGTACCAATAAGAACAGGCTGGCCCTCTCAATGAACAAAATACATTAAAGAAATACATGTATCTCCATTGATAAATGATGTTCACTATCAAAACGGCAATCAAACATGGCAATACTAATGATTATAAATAGAACGGATTGTAAATGGATATAAATTGGGGATAGCTGAGCAAATCGGGAAATTCACATTGCCAGTTTGGATTGCCTCCCTAGGTAGCCAACAAAGATTCTAAGATGGAGGATGTACGAGTCAATTCACACACACAGTCATCTTGACATTGGTTTTGTACAGCAAGCAAGCTGATTGAACATACATTCTTGGTGCCTTAACTTGGTGTTGTTTAGTTGTTTCCTGGTTGCCTTTGACCTCCTGAATTCGCAAATTTCTTTGGAATCATAATGAATCATACATTTTAATGGATACAGAGCGGAGGGATTGTCTTTTTTCTTGTATCTCATGACAAGGACCAATGTCCGACATGACAAAGGATTTCTGGCTTTTTTGTCCAGATGACCAATGCTACCAGCTGAGTGATGCTTTGTGGGCGAAGTATCAATAACATTCGACTTCCTTTAGAGGTTCAAGTCTTGCGGCAACTACTTTAACGTCGCAACCGTTTAACGTCGCAGACCTTTCCCGGGCACAAACCGGGAACGGTGGGCTACTGGCCTCGGGTAGTGAGAGAATGAAGGTCGCACTACCCTTACCCGGGTTCAACCTGGTTTGGCCTTGGGTAAGGAGAGTGTCGGTTGTAGTAAGCATAGTGTCAACTTTGAGACTATCCTTAACACGAAAGACGCTCCCCTTACCCGAGTCGAACCTGGTTCAGACCTGGGTAGCCGGAGGGTGAACTTCGCACTGTGCTTACTCGGCACACGTTACCCGGATTTCTCATGTTTGTCGGAGGCCTGGATGACAGCTACAGCTACAGACACGGTGCACACACAGACACCTTCGCAAAGTCCTGCGAGAAAAAATGATGCGAGCGCGGAATTATTCGATGCAGCCGGCCATTTCCCACATTAATTTTATTTCATTGACTGGTTTCAAACCCTATATAGCCCCATGGGTTTAATCAGACATCCATTTAATATCTCAGATATTTTAGTTTGGTCACTGAAGGATTCCCGAAACTTTGTATTCATTTTAATTAACATCTTGAAATTGCAAATTCAAGAGATCAAAGGCAACCAGGCAACTACTAAACAACGCCAAGTTAAAACGTCAATTTTCTTGACTGCACAGAAGGCAGGTCCATACGTATATATGTTTGTGCAACTCAGCAATACGCAAACTGAACTTGGCGTTTGCGGTGAGGCCTTCCTCAGAGTACACATAGTTTCCAACAATTTTGCCTCTCATTCAGCAGCTAGTCTTGGCTTCAGGGCCTCAGGGCACAGGCGCTATGTTGAGCCCCCCCGTCAGCTGCGCCATGTGCCGCGCTCACCTGCCTCGGCTGCAGCGCATCTGCCAGCAGCCCAAAACACCGCCGCGGCCACTGCCGCGGTGGCCGCTGGCGCTGCTGCCGCTGGCAATGCCCCAAAGCTTGCGCCGTGTCACGGCCATGGCGCGGTCCGAGGGACAGCTCCACCTGGCGTTGACGGAGAACAGGGCCGTGGCACTGGAGACCTCTGGGGAAGCATGCAGCTTGGCAGGCCGCAGAAGATTCTGAGAAGATCCTGAAGATTCATGAAGTCAGGTGGTTTATAGGCTCCTCAAAGATGATGTTCATCATCGTCGTCATCATCCTCATCATCCTCATCATCCTCATTCTCCTCCTCCTCCTCATCGTCATCATCGTCATCACCGTCATCATCGTCATCATGACAATAAAACTTTCAATTGCAGAGATTTAGATATAACATATGTTTATATGATTAGATTTACGTATATGTTTTCACAATTCACATTATATATATACACACATATATATATAATTATATAATAATTATATATGTTTATATTTATAATTGTATTTATATATATATGTATATACAAAGGCATTTACATATTTAAACCGTTTTTTCATATACATATATACACCCTTAACTTCCTCGACTATATCTGGTATAGCCTCGAACATACTGGGAATGCTCGAACATACCGGGGTCTCGCTCGAACATACCAGGATAACACCTCGAACACACCAGGAAGCTACGAACGACTATACCGGGATTGACCTAAAGGCTATACCGGGATACTGGCCCAAGGACTGGCAATCGGATACGTTAAGACCTCTGTGGATTGGCCACACATGCCCAGCCAAATAAAACAACTGACAATTTTCCTGGAAATGGGCATGCGCTCGCGAGCTTGAGTTGGGAGAGATCGGAAACATTCAGAGAATTTCAGCAAGAAACTAGATGATATTGTGAAAGCATAGGGAGTCGTGGACAACCCGTGGACAACCCGTGGACAACCCGCGGAACTCCTATACTGGGACGTGGAGCGCCTACTGAGACATGGAACGCCTATACTGGGACCTGGAACGCCTATACCGGGACATGGGCTGCAGAATCAAAAAAGTAGTCCGAATTCGTGCTGGATGGATTTTGATTTGACTTCTGTTGGTCTGTTGGCTTGTTTGTGCCCCAAATATCGGTTTCGCCCACACACTTGAAATTGTTTGTAAAAAATCAGTCACTTGAGGGGCTTAGCGCCTATACCAGGAAACCATGAACACCTATACAAGGATTGCATGAAAGCCTACAATTACTGCGAAAACTCCTCGCCTATACCAGCAAAACATCCTGGTATAGCCTCCAAAATCCCGGTACAGGCTAGCACGTAACGACTATACCGGATATGTCCTTTGGAAGCATAGGGTAATGGAAATATCTGGTATGAATAGATATACCATATACCAGATAATTATACCAGATATATCTGTGTCTGTTTGAAATCTGACAAGCGCGGGACATGCTTATCTTGATGGCCCGATGGCCCACTGAGCCAAGGTGTCGACTTTCTGTTTCTGGTGGTTCCTGGCATCAAGCGAGCCCCTCGACCCAGTGAGTGCATCCCAGTAGTAACTGAATTACGAGCCATACCTACCCGGGGATACCCCATACATACATAATTGGGTGAATCTAGCTTATAATATGGTTAACTATGGTTTGTTGTTAGCCACTTACAAAGTGAGAAACAGATGCAGATATCGGATCGTATTGGAATGTCTTTGACAGTATGGTTGAGTCAGATTGGGTGCCGCTTCCTGTGCCATACGGAGCGCAAGGATCTAAACTCCACCCAATGTTGGTAGTTCGTCCCTGGAACTCCAATGGCTATTGAATTGTTCCCTTACACTTCGCAGCTAGTTCTTCAGGATCATTGGATAAAATCAGACACCCAAGGTTTAATCATGTCCACTCCTACTTTTGCTCGTCGTTTGGTCATATCCATACTGTATTGGGTCAGACACCAAGCATCACAGAATATAAACGTATACAATATATGACATATAGCAGTCATACAGATTGTGTTTCGTTTTTTCTCAACCTTTGCCTTGGGGCTGTAGCCCACAGGATCACTTATTTTCCCTTCTGCGAGCTGCGTGGAACGAGGATCCCCTCTGCACCTGGGAGTCCGCGTCGCCGGTCGGGTGGTCGGTGAGCCGGTGCCCCGAAGAACCAGAGCTTAATTAGGTCTTACCAAGCCGCAACAATCGGGTTAATTAATGACCAAATTTTGGCTTAATGACCGAATTAAGCTTACTGATTACGTGGCTTAATTGGGGTAATTCACTAGTGAAGGCTTATTAGCGATTTATTCTGAATGGGCGTGGATCAAGTCCTTGATTATCTAAAAAAAAGGATTGCTGGTACTGAAAAAGTGAACATGATCCAATTCTGATGATTTATCCAAACAATGTGTGGTGTTCAGGGGCTTCAAAACTGGTATATAATTGCTGTATGTACTAGTAATGACATGCTGCAACTTGCCAAATTTCAGGACATAATGAAACATGCAGACAGAACTGCCAAGATCATCCATAATCGTTGGCCGCAGCTTGTCTTGATGAACTTGTGTTTGTTGGGAGATGAACCAATTGCAATCACATTGTGTCCCGATTTTGCTGGAACAAACCCAGGCCGATGGTCTTGTTTTGCAACAAATCATACATTTTCTTTTTGGTCGCTCACTCTTGGCCCATACCCACTTGGCTATGTCTCCACATGATTAATCCTCCAAAAAAGGGATGCTTTAAGACATTGCCAAGTGCGTGGCTCCATTGATACAGTATATTATAGCCTTTATTCAATGATCAAGAAGACTTTTTTTTAAGTTTCCCGTTGATTTGCCGTTTAACCAATGCAGTGAATAACCGAGAGTTTTGTGAGACCCCCATACCCATTGCACATGCTGTTGTAAACCCCACATAAAACTATGATAAACTTATAATAACCCCATATCAACCGCAATATAAGTCCCCATATAAAATCTTACTTGCCTATTATAAACCTACTGTAAACCTATGAAAAGCATATAACATCATATAACCCATCTCCTTTCCTTGATCCCCAGGCACCATGAAGCTGGTCTTTCAGCTGGGCGATCCACGCTGGGGCAAATCGGATCGTGACAATCACCAGCGCCAAGACGAGACGACCATGGCGACACGGGACACCATGGGGACATGATGGGAAATGTCCAACTTCAATGGGGGTTATAAGTAAACAATTGGATTTATGTGGGATATATAAATATATATATGGAAAAACGGGATCTATATAGGATATATGCAGGATTTGCAATAGGATTTATGGGGGTTTAAGCTGCGAATGATGGGTGGCTTATCGAGGTACCAAACATGGATGTGCAGTACCAGCAAAAACATATTTGGAGCACTGCAGTTATTCCAATTAAAAAGCCTTACGTGGGCGCTCGCCAGTTTTGCCTGTGAAGTGCCTCAGTCACCTGAATTTGGGTGCCTCCTTGCAAGCCCAATGTAGGTATTTAAACCAATGAAATCCATATTTCTTGGTGGAAGCCCCATCTTTCTCGGTTCATCTCCCCGTATTTTGCACTTTATCTGGCCTGAATGACGTGCTTCATCTCCATTTGCACCTGACCCGGATACATTGGGACATAATATGACATAATATGACATAATATCTGTTTATAGTATATCTATAAATATATTTTATAATATAACATACATATTATATGTATATATACACAGACACATGTATGTATATGCATTTGTATATGTACTGTATATGATTGTATATGTGTATGTGTATGTGTATGTGTACGTATTTGTAGTTATTTATGTATATGTATTTAAATATTACATTATTGTTTCGTGGTATATTGTATAAAAAGTTAAATTATATGTGTTTAAATCATATATTCTATTCTGTTTTTCATTCTTATATTTTATTATATTAAATTATATTATATTATATATAGTTTTTATTTATTCTTATATTCTATTATGTTCTATTATATTCTATTATATTATATTATATTATATATAATATTATATTATACTATAATATTATATTATATTTTAATTTATTATACTATATTATACTCTATTATATTGGATTAGATTAGCTTAGATTAGATTGTATATGTATATGCCTATGTCTACGTGTATGTCTACATATATGTCTATCTCTAAATGTCTAAATGTTTGAATGTATATGTATATTATACGTATATGTATGATGATATGTATATGGATATGTATATTGATATGAATATGTATTTACATACACATCAATTTGCACCATTGTATCCATATATATATATAGAAAAACATATTATGTATTTATTTTCTCTTTACATATACATTTATTCATATTTATATATTAATCTACGTGATCATTTGGGACATGTTTTATTTTTTGCGTTTTGAGGGCTGGAAGATCAAAGCTTTCCACTTTCGCTTGGCCAGCGTCCTTCAAGCTCAAGAAGCCCAGGAAGAAACACAATTGAGGCGCACGTCGGGCGTGTGCAAGGGAGTGGTGAACAAACCTTTAGGTTGCAGATGTCAATCCTTCCCCGCATATGTCTTTACTTTTGGGTAAGGAAGGGTGGATTCCATTCGTTGAAGGGTTCTAGTCTACTATCATGAGTTGACTATGGGGCCATGTCCGCTGTCCGGTGTTTTGGCATCTGCTGCGGCTGCTGCGGCTCTTCCGGCTGCTGCCGCTTTTGCGGCTGATCATCATCAGCTTGCTCCCTTCACACATTCTCGCTGGTAGCTGATAACCTTGGATCGTTCTTCTGAGCAAAGTCTCGAAACAAAAACTGAGTGCTGCGCGGAGCCTTATCTGGGAGTCATTGATGCTGGGCCATGTCGGCAAATCTGGGATTGAGATGAAGTTGCGATGAGGTTTTTTTAGACAACTTCGATAGAAAATGGCAATATTTACCAAGATCCTTTCCATTTTTCGGGATCATTGAGTTGCTAAATCTATCTACTTATCTATAGATATACACATACATACATGCATGCATGCATACATCCATACATACATCCATACATCCATACATCCATACATCCATCCATCCATCCATCCATCCATACATACATACATACACATACATATTTATACATCTATTTTTTGTATACATCTATATAATTATCCATCGCACATATATGTATGTGTGTATATATATATATAAGTATAATTACGGTTACATATGCAGCTCTTTACGTGCCACCACCCAGGCTCTGTCTGCTGTGGCTCTGGCGCCACTTCCCCGCTTCCGTGAAGGAGAATGTGGGCTCCGGTGCGTTGGCGGAACACACGTGCCTCAAAGGGCTGCTGGATCTCTTGATGTACGCCGCGCGGCTCGGCAGAATTTCTTGGGGATGACAACATAGTTGAAAAACAGATTTGTGTTGGTAAAGTCATTCACCACCCTCAATTGCGGTGAGGATGGGGGACTGAGCAACTATTTCCGGTAAGATAGGGGCTTTGCCACATTACATCGTTCGGATTTCAATGCCAGTGGCTGAGAAAAACTTGTTCCAGTTTGTTGATTTGAGCCTAGTCTATTCAGCAAAGATAATGCAAAACTTGAGAATTTATCTACCAGTATTTCAGACATGTGGATGTGCAGCAATTGCAGCAATCCACCAGATTTGTGTTTGTTTCCCACGTCTACAAATGTGATTGTGACAGCATCAAGTGTCACATACCTGAAATGGAGAAATGGATGGAAATGGGTTGAAGCCACTGACCAGACAAAGACATAACATTGGGTGGTACCAGATTAGAAGCAGGAGTGTAAAGTGCAAGGTGTAAAGTGTAGAGTGCGGGGTGTAAAGTGTAGAGTGTGGAGTGTAAAGTGTAGCGTCTAAAGTGTGAAGTGCAAAGTGTAAAGTGTGGAGTGTGGAGTGGAAAGTGTAGAGTGTAAAATATAAAGTGTAAAGTGTGGAGTGTAAAGTGTAAAATGTGGAGTGTGGAGTGTAAAGTGTAGAGCGCAAAGTATTTTTATTGTAAAGTGTGGAGCGTAAAATGTAAAGTGTGGAGTGTGAAGTGTAAAGCGTAGAGTGTAGAGTGTGGAGTGTCAAGCGTAAAGTGTAAAGTGTGGATAGACTGCGGAGTGTAGAGCGCAAAGTGTAGAGTGCAAAGATGTGCAAAGTATTATATATTTAAAGTGTAAAGTGTGGAGTGTAAAGTTTAAAGTGTGGTGTGTGACGTGTAAAGTGTAGAGTGTGGAGTGTGAAACGTAAAGTGTAAAGTGTGGATGGAATGTGGAGTGTAGAGTGTAAAGTGCGGAGTGTAAAATATAAAGTGCAAAGTGTACAGTGTAAAGTATGGAGTGTGGAGTGTAAAGTGTAGAGTGTAGAGTGTAAAACGTAAAGTGCACTAGCCAATGATTTCCCCCAAATGCGGCTGGAGTCTGTTTCTGATTGTAATTCGGGATGAGTAACGTCACCTTACAGTGTGTTTTTTGATGTTGTATGCATGATTGTACACAAAGAATCATAGAGACCTTGTACTGCACATGAATGTCAATTTTGCATAGTTGTGATGTCTTTGAACCACGAGTGGTTTCTCCATTTGAACATGTTTAACATTGTTCAACCATGTTTTACCGACAGGTGGGATGATGAAAAATTTATTCACCTGGATTTGGAGGAGTTTCCACAGCGAGGTGCCGCCGAGGTTTTGAAGTTTGTGTCCATTCCAATATTGGGCAAAAATTGTGGATCAAATCCAAGATTTGGTAGATATACACAGTAAATAAAATATATGTAGGTTTCACCAGAATGAATAGGATACTTGTTGATTGGGTTCACCTAGAACTGCCCATAATTGAAACTAGAAGTTGATTGGGATTTTTATTCCACTGCAGAAGTGGCAACTCATAGAATAGACAGGGGCGATTTAGATCGATGTAACATGACCTCACCAGCCAAACCATGTAGTGTATGTTTGCTTGGGATATACAGTGTAACCCATCAAGATGTAGAAACCGCTTAAAAAAATGGTGATGACAGTGATGACCACTATGTGAGTGACAACTGTTATTTGGAGAAACAAAATGTAAAGAGTAGTCTTGGGGCGTACCTTCGTTTGTCGGAAGCACCATATTTAATATTTGAGTGGCACACCGGGTACAATGAGGTATGAACATCCCGAGAACAAGGTAGGCATTTCATGCGTAGCATCCAGCAATGAGAAGCAAGTGCAGCGTTGGAGAACGAGATCAAGCCCCATAGTACGGGAATGGAGGTACATAGAGGCATGAGCCCATGAACATCAGGATAGAACGTGATATGGATATATGGCCAGGTTCAGATGGGATGGCGTGAGGTCGTTAAAACAAAGTGCCAGTGATATTCCCCAGCATACAGTGCGTGATTCCAGCGAAAGTACCTCCAGGGAATCATGCAGGCCATGAACAATTAATTACTGTAGTCCCTGATTGTTCCCAAATGTAGCAGAGGCTGTGGGTGCCAATTCAGTTGGAAAACAACACTGGAACGTCTCAAATCTCGTACTGCAACTGCAACAGGCCCACATGTTTTGTCTGAAATTCAGGTGTGTTGGGTTTTAAAACCGTTTTGTGAGCGAAAGCTCCCTTGTCGTATATATATATATTGTATAATATTATATTTGCATCTTATATAAATAATATATATATATATACATAATTTTTAGATATTATATTAAATGTAAGTTATTAATACATATTGACAATATAACTAAATTTAAAGGGTTTGCTCAGGAGCGTGATTGTAGGGGAAAGATCATCGCTTGCAATTATCATTGTATCAACCAAATATTCCCCAACCATCCCCAATCTGTGTAGACACCAAACATAACATGCTACTCTGTACGGTCTTGTGGCAGTTTTCCAAAATTGAAGCTAGTTCAGAGAACATGTAGTCACATATATATATATTGTTACATATATATATAATCTGTTACATATATATATAATATGTTACATATATATATATAATATGTTACATATATTTACATATACATAAATACATGATTTTATGTGTATACATATCTATCATATTTTATATATATATAGTGAATGATCATCATCCAATATGATCCAACGTCTCTTGGCCACTGCGTTCTGCAGGAACTTGTAGTGACTCCAAAGCTGACAAGAAGTCTGAGAGATTTCACCAGAGAAAGATGCAGTAACCTGGTGGCAGAAACCCTCACAGATTGCAGATTGGATTGTAAAAGGCTGGCGAATGGTGAGTTCCCTGACGAAAAAGAGTGAATCCTGAAGCTTGAAGCCCCCGAACGTCCAGTTTAGTTTTGCTCGTTTAGCTGGGGCACAAAAAAGGCAGAGGGTTGCTGTAGCATCTAATTTGACATGTCGGGTCATTCAGTAAATGTTAGCTCCCAGCCATTTCACCCTTTAAGGCCTTTAGCGTCGAGAGCCAGATTTAAGCTAGACTTTTGTTTGTGGTGGACGAAACACACATACATTTCTAGGGTTCAACTTGGTGCTGGCGCTATTGTGACAAAATGTGCCAGTGTTTCCCCAACAACATCACTAGCCAAGGGACTTGATCAATGTTGAGAACACACCGAGCCACTTGCTGTTATCCTTGCTAAGCATAGTCTCCAATAACAGAAAATCAAAGAACAAATCCAAGACTCGCCCCTTCGCCAGCTCCTTCCTGCAAGGGATCCAGTCATATCTAGAAACCTTCATTGGCGCAGCTCAGATATATCATATATCTTTGGAGGATTATGCAGCCTGATTCTTGTGGTGACCTCAAGGTTGACCAAGCCCCATATCATAAATCATGGTTCATGACATCCTGGAAAAGATTAGTTTCATGGCCTTCTCCCCTTCCCCAGCTTCCAGGCTTCTTGCAAACCCTAACCTTAGGCATGCCATCTGGCAATTGAAGACTTCCCTGATTGTTTCATGGTGTGGCTTGAGCCCACCAACGAACATCATATCTAATCACAATGAATCGTAATTATGTTGTGTTTATGTGTGTGTGTGTGCATAAGTCTATAGATTAGTTTTATATTGTTATTTGTATATATATATATACACATATCCTTATTAGATATGTTGATCTTATATCCCCGGCTTGTACATGATGTTCCTTTTTTGGATCCAGACTCAGTGTCTCAGGAATCCGGAGCGACGTGAAAAACAAGCAGCTGACCGAGACCTGTCCAGCTGAGATATGTTCAATCAGTTGGAGATGTGTTTGTTTTTGAATGTATTTGTATACTAAATGTGAAACCATATGTATATATTGTATATATATAATGTATATATATAATGTATATATACAATGTGTATATATATATATATATTGTATATATATATATGCATAAACATACATACGTATATGCCACATATATGTATATATATTTATATTTATGCGTGTGATGCATATTTATATATTTATATGTATATTTAATTATACATATATGTATATAAATATATATATATATAATATATATATATATGTATATACATATATATATATATACACATACACTATAGACTATATACATAATCACATGTGTGTGTGTCAGTTCCAGATTACATAGTCAAAAACATTTAACACCTTTGTCAGACAAACACCCAAAAAAATGTTGTTCAATTGGAGGAAACATATGATCATCCTGAGTTGACATTGCAGCAACCTCAAAACATAGAAAAACGAGTTAACTCTATTGTTGTCGGATTGTACTTTTCTATCTTTTTGGGAATGTTGTATAGTTTGTTTGGTCGAGGTTTTTGCTTGACATGATCCGAGGACAAGAACGTATCAGGCGCTTCTGCAAGATCTTGGAAGCGGAAGGGCTTCAGTCGCTTGCCCCATCGACATGGTGAACTACATGACTGGGCGTTTGATGATTTTTTTTGCATTTAACCAACCAAAACAAGCAATGTTACAACCATACATGGCCTATATACAAAATGGGGTTAGATATTCTATGCGGACGGATATGATCCCTTCTCCCTCATGTTTTTTCACTCCCATTCGTATAGATTCAATGCAGCAATGCAGTACTAAACCTGGGTTTCTGGCAGTGTGCTCATTCATTGTGAAATGCATTGCTGTAACTAAAACACCAAATATGGTTCAATATCCAGGGGTGTCCTAGTCACAGTTAATCCCTTCACTATTGTTTGTTCAAGTTTGTTCATCAATGGTGGAGGCGACTCAAACACCAACTGGATATTGAACTAAGGCCAGCTGAGATCCGACGTCACCGAACCTTCCATGACGAGAGCGTCCCAAAACGGATGCCCTGGATCGAGAAAGAGGACCGCGGCAGGGGATCTATGGGGTCGGTAGGGCCAGGGTATGGGTTAAAAGCTAAGCCCCATTCCCAGAAGTCTGAGGGAGGATGTTCAAGAAAATATGCATACATAATCATACCTAATTATATAATATAATATATATATATATAATTTTATTAAATAAATACAATACACACTGTATGTATACTTATGTGATCATATATGATTTGCATCGGTGGCAACAATCGCGGTTTCCTGCAGCATATATTTTTGCATCAAGTTAAGTCAGGGAAGCGTAGAATGTAGGTTATTTCTACGTGTAAATTATTTTAACCATCTAATGTTATTAGAGATACAATTCTTGATTCAATCGCAGATCTGGAGTACTTAGAAGATAGTCGGATGATCTATGAAGTTTCGCAGTGGCCACTAAGTGGGCCCCAGTTAACGTCCTCAATATGGTTCGGTTTTGCTGAGTTTTCACTATTGAGTCTATGGAGGATTGACCACTTCAATGCTGCAACAAAGACAGGGCTCAAGGAACCCGGAATTTGGCATCCATGATTAGTAAATCATTGGGTGCATTCAATTTCATTTAATTACTATATATAGGAATATATCAGATTCATACCTGTTTGTTGTTTTCAATGTTGTTCTTGTTCTTGTTGCTGCCGTTGCTGCAAAACCCCCTGTTTATAAGTTTGGCTGTCACTGTTTCGGTGGGTCCTTGACGGTCAAACATCTAGTCTTGTCTGTGCATTTACCAATGCGGTAGATTCTGTCACGTTCTATCCACATTTATTCTTGATCTGAATGTGCTTTGCTTTATGGTTCATATCTATTTATCCCCATTTTCACGGGCCACTTTACGTGACCGCCCAGAAATGGATGTTGAAACATACCAAACATGACAAACCAAAAGGACCGTTGTTTTTTTTTCATGGCTGTTGCTCAACTCCTGGCAGGAGTGGGCTTCAGAGGACATCAAGGGTCGCTTCCGAGTCTTCTGTGAAGAGCTGGACCAGGCGAGGGTGACCGGTTTCGGTCAGCGGGGGGATAGGTTTAGCGATTAGTGGGCGAAGTCCGACCACGACAGGTTTTCATTTCAGGAACCGATTATTGGAGTTACCAAGCACAACATATATACAGTTATATATATATTCACATGACAAACTATATATATATATAATGTAATGTAATGTAATGTAATATAATATAATATAATATAATAACATATAATATGATATAATATAGTTTAATTTAGTTTAATTAAGTTAATTACAATAAAATATATACTATATATAATATATATATATATATATATATTTTTTATATTATATATAGTATAATATATACATATATATATATACATATATATATATATACATATACATATCTTATGTAGGGGCTAAGTTTCAGGGAATATCGCCATAAAATAATGCCTGAGAAAGTACAGTACCTCCATTTTAGGGTCCTGAAATTCCCACTGATGGCAGGGGCAATTCTTGGCGATGCTTCATGCCACTGATGATTGAAGCACCGGCTATTTTGATGTATGTCAGGGCATCAAGTTTTTGGTATTTTTTGGTTTATAGGCATATGGACTATTATAAACTAGCAAAGTAATGACAGATGAGGACTATATAGTTTGCACTGCATAAGGTGACTGAGAAACAATCCGACTCAAGAACTGTTTAGCCGTCGACATCGCTGCATGTCGCTCCTGTTTCGCAGGCAAGAAACCAGAAGATTCACGAAGAAGTCAAACAAAGCAGGAAGATGCAGCTGGAACAGGTCCCTCGCACCTGCATCTCAGTTCGCTCCGTTTATGAACTGACATAGACCCCATTCGCACCCCTCGTTTTCAACAGCATCATGCTCCATAAGGCCCAGGGAAGACTTTCATCAGAAATATATTTACGTGACATAGTGAAATCATCATATAATCTTCCACTTCTGAGACTTTCGTGACGCCCAGTGATAATATTGGTAATATCGGCATTCCAGTGGTCAAGAGAGGCTCTCAGCGCTTTGCCATGGTCAAAGTCCAGCTGTGCAGCCAGGTGAGAGAGAAGTATGAAACAGACCAAGAGCTTGCAGAACTGTACGTGACTGGATTGATGTTTGGTTCTATCCAGAATTGGGGTATACATGGGTATATATATATATATATGTATACGTTGGGAATGGACATGACATATTTTATGGGGAAATGATGATAACCATCAAAGCTAGGGATAGCCCAATGGTAACCCTTGTTGGACACACTCAAGTGCTTGGTGCTTTCAATGGAGCTTTGGTACTTGGATGCCCCTTAGTAAAAGGATAAGTCCACAATGCCCAATATTCTTGCACTACCAAACCCAGCATCTAGCATTGTAATGTATCATAATGTAATATAATGTGTGTATTTCATATATCATATATATATATATATATATGCAGTTTTGCCTTTTGAATGAACCATTTGATCCCATGGGGTAGATTTTGGGATGAGGCATTCCACCAGGTCCTCGATATTGTTGATGGCAAGGGGAGCTTGTGCAAGATGTCAATTCTTCCCCGTGCATTTCTTGTGTTTTGTTATCTCTGTGGAAAGACAGAGAACATCATACGAATACATGTCGCATAGCTATATATATATATATATACAGTAAACACATGACATTTGATTGATATATACATATATATATATATACATACATACATATCATATATAATCATAGTTGATCTTAATACTCTACAGTATATCTATGGATATGTACACAGGGGTGAATCTTGCTCTCTTGACATGTTTCATCCTGGCAGAGGTCACTGTGGCGGAGGTCTTTGCCGTTGCCCTGAGAGGCCTGACGAAGATCATGCAGAAGCAACATGTCCCAGATGGCGTAAATGGAGGTTTCCTGAAATGGGGGTACCCCTAAATCATCCATTTTAGTAGGATTGTTCATTATAAACCCAATCATTTTGGGGATCTCCCATTTATGGAAACCCCCAAATGGGCTATTCTCGGGGTCTATGTTAATTTGGGAAATTGTATATTTTAGTAGATTTTAGTGGTATTAAAGCATGGTTTCCTGTAGATGTTCCAAATCATCCATTGAGCATGGTCTCAGTTGGAGCAGTGCTGGCCATCAAATAATTCAGAACATGATGATGGACCATTGGATGGAATGGGTTTTCCTAGTTCCAGACAAACCCATATATTATATTTATATATTGTTTAGGATTTGAGTCCCCATGTGAATTTCCACTGACAAAGGGAAATTGAGTGCGCAATAAAATAGATTTTGTTACCCTTTTGATAAATTTGGGAAAAACATCGGGGAATGTTCTATGTTCGGTATAAACAAGTCCAGCGTCTTATCATGTTGGGAAATTGTCAATTTGATGTGGTTGGTGGTCATCTGGAATGACAACCGAAGCGCCAGTATGTCACCGAAACCACCTGCAGCACAATCCCGACAGAAAGAGGACATCAAGCTCAATCGTAGAACAGAATCTGGTGGGTCGCCCAATCATTCACAGCAAGTAACAATATTTAGATGTTCTCATTATATCACACTATGTAAATCCCTATGACATTCCCATCACATCCCACTATATAAATTCCCATTTTCTCATGTGGGTTCAACCCCCGCGTCGATGACCCCTGCACGAATGTTTGGGTCAGTTGGGCGAATCTCAAGCACTATGAGGTCACGTTTATGAGGGCGAATCGTAAGACCTAAACCATCTTTTCAAGCAGACTATGGTTGAATCTGCTGGTGAAAAACCTCATTTTGTAAGCCATTCTGCTGGGATTCTTTTTTTGATGGGGGGATCGGGCTAGCCATTTTTGGTGGATGCTCCATCTGTGGGCACCCAGGCAGAAGAATGGGCATGAGCTGTCACGGGAGGAGCAACTGAAACTGACTGGAAGTTTGTATCCAAAGTGGGCACCGACCAAAGACGGTCCCTTGGCACGCTGAAAACAGGCGGCGCATGTATCATGAATGGCTGATGTTTATGTTTTTTGTGACGATGTTGCAGTGGACACTGCAAGACTAGATGATCGAATAAGAGGGAGTATTGGTAAAACATTGTGTATATATTATGTTATAATTATAATTTTTAAATATACATAATTGTACATGGTGTGTTCGCGCATACTCAATGGAAAAAGCATGTGCATTTTACAGTGTGCGTACAATGTTACAATGTAGTTCTCGTACACCGATGATACACCAAACCAAAATGATGAATGGCGTGCACCCACAGGTCTAGGTGCCAGGTAGGGGACTGCCTCGCAGAAATATGGGTCCCAAATGGTTCCAAACTCATTAGTCTATCATAGTCTATCTGTTTGTTGGCAAAATGGATTAGAGTATAACTGCATTTCCCCTTAGTATCCCCAGTGTATCCCCATAATATCCCCGTTTGTTTTGTGGGTTCTGTTGGGAAATCTTGGGAACCGCTTCCCAAGTGGCTTGCTGCATCACTAGGTATGCATGACAAGAAGACAGACATCGTGCGCGGAATCGTAGAACGCATATTTCCGGAGGAGGAGTTCCGGCTTCCTGAGGGGACGCTGCCAAGCTGAATGCTGCCGGGGAATGGCCCATATTGATGGTTTATGAACTGGGTACATATGTATATATATATATAATGTACATATAGTATAATACATATATTATAGCGTTTATGTAATTAATTGTCATTTAGAATAATGTGAAGGTTTCCAGACAAAGACAATGCAAGTAGGTCTACACGGTGCATTACTGGGCTATACCACAGCTGGATGCCATAGACATGTCCTGGAGATGGACGTAGATCATGGAATAGTCCATATGAACAGTGTTCAAAAGTCCTGTTGGTTGATCATATGATATATCGTGATGAATCATTATATGGGGTTTTATGGTTATAGATCATATGGGGGTATGGAATATTACCCAATATGTTGGAGATGATCAGAGTCCAGTATGGGAAATTCGATGAACCAGCCAGTACAAAGGAATGGCAGAGGATTTTGAACACTCATATGAAATCAGGCAAACTCAAAGTGAAAGGAATGAAATTGACCTTCCAGGTATTTCCAGGTAGTAGATCAGAACAATTCGGCCAATGCCAGAGTACTGATCAAACATCGTTAACATTTGTCAAAAATATCAACCTATTTAATCCTATTTATGTCTGCAGAATTCTCGTCAGCACCGGGCACCCAGGTACGATGACTACATTTCCTTCATGAAAGACAAGTATCGGAAAGAGGTACTCACGCCTTTGAGACGACAGACGGAAATTGTGGAGTCCTTCATTGGGTCGCAGAACTGGGAGGAAATCAACTACAACCGCACCTGGACGGTAGTGTTGTGCGAACGATGGCATCCAATCGCCCATTTACTGCACGATGACTTACCGAACTTAGAACGTGGTGTTATTTGCTATATTATGTTAAATTACCAGAGGTTACCTAGCTTTTCTATGCTTTTCTATTGTGATTGTGATTGACACACGTGCTGGAGAACTGAATTTGTCTCCCAGCACTTAAATTCGGGCAGTGAAATATGTGATTTAAATTTGTCAGATGTTTTTTTGAAAACCAACTGGCTTCACCCGGACATGTTGCTTGAAGTTTTGGAGCAGTTCAGGAGGGTACTGGAAACCCTGGTTTTGTGTTTCCCCTAGTGCTACCAGGCATGCCTGCTCGATGTCGGCTTTTGTACGGACAGAGCGTCTATGCTGAAAACGATCGCACGAGGTAACTCGCTTCCAGAGAATCATAGAGAATGTTTCTTCTGTTTCGGGGCACATGTACTTTGGCACATTCACTGTACAAATTCAAAAGAAATGCTCTGCAGGGCATTTAATAATTAATATCTAGTTTACTTAGTTGACATTGTTTGTCACATTTGGATACATTTGGGTCCTCTTTTCTTTTCTGTGGTGGCACTGATCATTGCAACCATGATCATATTTGTTGTCCTTTCAATCTGGCAAGTGAATCTGTGATGGCAGGGAAACCTTTCAAAATAGAGGGGACGGGTACAAGCTCGACTGCCTTGCGACTCAGGGGATGGATGATATAAGTTGGAGAGGGGTCCAATGAGGGTTTCCATGAATGGAGCTTTGCCATTTTTGGACACGCTAAGATGAAATCAGCGCGGTACAATCCCATGCAACTTGTCGCCATTGGTGGTTGCTTCTAGCTAATGACTGCCTACTTCGTGATTAACATAGAACTACTCCACCCCCTTGCAGCTGGTGGATATTGTGGTGGAAATTATTATATGTACCTTTTTTACCTTTTTTTTTGGGGGGTGATGAACATCCATACCTGTATCCCATGAAATCCCAGAGATCACTGGTACTTTGACACCATCCTGGCTGAGGTACGAGCAGCACGTTGAAGCAGCCCTGCAGGGGGGTGCCACTATCAAGGGCCAGGTGATGCCACACGAGCTGGTGGGCAAGGTGGGCTTGGGAGACCAAGGAAGAACATCTGGTGATGTAACGATTCATCGTTTCACCAACAAACATTGTGCTTTAACCGTTTATATAAGCCCAAAATAAATCAAAATAACGCAAATATACTAATATACTCAAATAAAATTGGTTTAACCATTTTAACCCAAGTAAAAATGTGATATTGTGGTTTAACCCACAAATAAAAGTGTGATTTGAGTTATGCGAGCTTTCCGAATTTTGGTTTAAGGGAAAACCTGCCGCAACCCTCTTTCTTGGATTAAACTAACCGCATAAACGTGCCCTTAAACCAAACCATTGTGTATAAATCATTATAAATCGTGTTAACCAGCAACACAGAAATGAGATGCAACCGGCCGAAATGGAGATTCAACCCTCAGATTTTGGGATGTAAGCGATAGAAAGAGGACTTATAACCTTACTCAGCCAATGCCATTTTGTTTCCTTGGGTCCGCACGCGCGCGCGCCCCTGAGTACATTTAAGTACCCCAAAACACGCGCGCACGGACCCGATGAAAGATGTTCGCCCCAACCCGGACGTTGCTCCACACTTTCAATCGTCATGATGATGATTATCGTCATCATAATCATCATCATCATCACATCATGATCATCATCACATTAAAATTTGCCACCCCCCTCTGAACAATATGTTGACTGGGGTAATAAAATCAACTTTATCTTCATGAGGGGTCAAAATTTGCCACCCTCTCTGAACAATATGTTTGTTGGAGTAAAAACATCAACTATATCTCCATGAGGGATCACAATTCGCCACCCCCTATCTTCATGAGGGATCAAAATCCGCCACCCCCTATGAACAATATGTTGATTGGGGTAATGACATCAACTTTATCTTCATGAGGGATCAAAATTTGCCACCCCCTATGAACAATATAATGACTGGGGTAATAACATCAACTTTATCTTCATGAGGGATCAAAATTTGCCACCCCCTATGAACAATATAATGACCGGGGTAATAACATCAACTTTATCTTCATGAGGGATCAAAATTTGCCACCCCCTATGAACAATATAATGACCGGGGTAATAACATCAACTTTATCTTCATGAGGGATCAAAATTTGCCACCCCCTATGAACAATATAATGACCGGGGTAATAACATCAACTTTATCTTCATGAGGGATCAAAATTTGCCACCCCCTATGAACAATATAATGACTGGGGGTAATAACATCAACTTTATCTTCATGAGGGATCAAAATTTGCCACCCCCTATGAACAATATAATGACCGGGGTAATAACATCAACTTTATCTTCATGAGGGATCAAAATTTGCCACCCCCTATGAACAATATAATGACTGGGGTAATAACATCAAATTTATATTCATATCCACCTGAAGTCAGACGCGGCGCAACATCAGGGTTGCAGCGAAGAAGTTTAAACTTGTTTCTGGGAGATGACCCACTGAGTAAGTATCTGCGCAAATACGAGGGCTCGTGACTTGGCAGTTGCTGCATGGAACCAACAGATTGCGGGATTGACCAACATTGGGATGACGTATTTCGGGTGAATAATAACACACATCTCGCAGCCATGCTTCCATTGATGAAACTTACGTTCTTTCAAGCTGGTGAAGAATTCAATTCACCCGTTGACCATTTTTTCAGGTGTTCATTTGAAGGAGTTCCTGGTTTTCTGATGTCACATCCTGGAGTTCTGCCTGCCTATCTCATCTACTGTATTTCAGCATGGGGAACAGCCTCATTATACTATGTACCCTTCGGTAATCTAACATAGATGTGGAACACCCACCATTTCTACATCATTTTCCTAAGGGTTTCCCTCATAGGTTTTCCACATCTTTTTATATGTCTCCCCCTAGGGTACGTTAAACTACCAGCCAGGTTCACCCGATTACCCCAGCCCAGGTAGCTTTATGATGCTATAGGTAGCAACATGTTCATAAAATCCTCCTGTGGGATATGTGATGATATGTCTATGTTATTATGTCATTCTATGTCATTCCGTTTCTTCGGTTTTCGTCTTGAATCACGTTGCAGGGGGTAGCCCATGTTTATCCATTTTTGACCAACAAACACTGTGGGGAACTCCACAAACGTGTTGCTTCGATCCCAGTAGGCGGCTTCGTGTGACGTGTCGGATTTGGAGCTGAAAGAAGTGCAAGGTCAGTGGAATGACTTGGTGCGAGAGGTCAAGGTGAGGATTCAGGGATTCCCATGGATTCCCCACGGAATCCAATGGTTCCCCTGGATGAGTTGGTTGATATCAGCATCTGCACCGAACATGTGCAAGCATTGAAATGTGCTCAGTGAGTTGTTTTTTTTTATATATGTGGTTCATTGTCATGTTCATGACTAACATCAGGCCGAATAGACAAATCCATGAATATTCCCTGCATGGAGCAGCACATATGAGTATACACGTGTATGTATATACATCAACATCTATACTACTATACTTAATGTAATTTCCAAATTACCACAACAACACCGATATTTGGCAATTGTCAACAGAACCGGATTAAAGATGTGGTGAATCCCTGACATGACATTCCCCAACGAACGTAGACCTGAGAATTGCCCACTCATGTTTAGAGGAAAGCTGTTTTCCAACCCCCAACTCATGGACGGATCTATCTTAATTTGGCAGTATCTTCAAAATTAGCTTTTGTGGGAGGAACCAAAATCTTCATACCCAGATCTTCAATCTCACCTATTATCATAGATCATTTCCATTATGTTTCCGTGATATGCCCATTATATCCCGATATCCCCTTCATATCCCATGAATCAAGTCAGCAGCCCCATGTTTAACAATAAAATAACAATTTTTGACGGTAAAATCCCCAATCAATCACGGTTGGGGGGGGGGGGCAACCAATAGAGTCTGCATCAGGCAGCCGGACATCTTGGCCAATGCCTGGCGGTTTGCGACGTCTCCGGCTCGATGGAAGGGTCACGTGGCACCTGTGGCACACGTGGCACCGCCTCGTTGAGTGATGGTAATGACGGAAATGTGGAAGCAGCGAACTTGGGGATATGATGGGATAAATATAATATACTGTAATTGATGTAGCCATCAAAAGTGCTGGTTTTCAGACGATTCAACAAACAAGAAATTGCATCTAATGGGGTAGCCCTAAGAATGGGCCCGAGCCGCAGGGCAAATCCAAAGGAACTTGTTCAGCCTCTACGTAGAAACTGTTTTAGGTAAGGAAATGCTGTCCACCCCCACATTTCACTAGGAAAAACGCGGTTTCCTGTAGCTGTTTCCTTGCTCAGATCCATTTATTGGATTTCTTTGGTGGTGAGATCCACTTTTTTGATCATCTTTGGTTGATTCTATGAAATGATAAACAGAGAATGTGGTGCCACTGTTTCTTTCATATCTTTTTGGGTGGCTTGTTATCTCAATGAACTACCACCTTTAAGAGCTGCCAAACCGTTGAGGCCTCCCATGAAGGCGGCAGTGGCCTTATCCCTGCTGATCTGTGAAATTGCCAGAGATCCATGGAGCGCCTGGGTATTGATGTGGCTGTTGCTGTGAAACAAGTGATTACCATTTGGTAGACTAACATAGCTGTGGAAAATCCCCATATTGAAGAGGTCACTCAAATATACATGGTAATTTCCAATAGCAAACTGTTAGTCATTACCATACCGGGTAATGGCAAATATACAAGGGAAATTGACATTTGCTAAGGTTTGATGCACTGAATCCTCCTGGTGCTTTTTTGGATGCACCAGGAGGATGACCACTGGGTCGGTAAAACTATTGATAAACTAAAAATAGGTAATGTTCCTACAGTGAATGATAAGCCTCATACCGATACCTATTGTATCCTATTGTAAGTCAACTATTAACTATTATGGTTCCACTATTTACCAATAGTTAATAGGTAAAGCAATGGGTAATAAACCATAGTAGGTTATTGATAAACCAATGGGTAATAGGTAAATAAACTATAGTTGGAAAATCACCATGATTGTGTTGGAAATTCACAATTTGTAATAGATAAGCCAACTAGAAGAGGCCATGCTCAACAGCCCTGCTTAAATTTCCGGAGGGTATACAGTGACAGTATGAAGCAAGAGTTGATACATTGATCCGGAACGCTTAGGCGTGAGGGTCAATTGATATCATATGGAGAAACATGGAGAAACAATTGTATTGTAGTTTCACTGCCACACATATGTATAATCATGATTAATTATGTACGTGTAATATATATATATATATATGTATACATACAGTACATACACAGTGCATACATATTGTTGAAGTTTATCATTGCTTCCCTTTAGACATTGACGGGTTTACCAGGTGGAAAATCAAACATCATCCTAGCAATCCATGGATGTCGTTGCAAGGGCATGGGCCTCTAACAAGGAATGACACGTCGGTTTAATGATCGAAACTCTGTATCAGGACCACCTACTGGATCCACACTTTCTTCATACGATAATTCAAATCCGCTTTTCATAAAAGAATTCCAAGCTGTTGAAATCACATGTTTATCTATGATGATATAAAATGAATGAACATGACATGATACAAACATAAATCTTTCCTGAACTCAGCACAACTCTGGAATTTCATTGTGAATGCAATGGGAAGTTCTGTTCAGGAAGGAATCTTTAAATGTCACCTTCACAGACCAAGTTGCTGAGGAAACCGCATTTGCACCTTTTCGCAAGATCCGGCATTCTGCGAGATACCTGAAGGTTCATTGCGGGAGCCTCACCTCAAAGCCTTCAAATTTGCGGGACATTGGTATGCCCAGCGGGGGATTTTTATCCAAGCTGGAAACCAAGGACCGCAAGAAGGTCCATAGTCCCTACAATCGGAATTAAGATCTATGAGCAAATCGATTGTCATTGACAGTGTGACAAGACATAATATATATATACTGTAATTAATCATAATCAATCATTTCATATCATATAACTGTATGTTGTGTACGCATGCACATATGTACAGAGCACCTGGCATCAATTCTGCGGCATCCAATGCTGTGCTTCCAAGACAAGGACCGAGCCGAAAGGGTCGAGTCCATGCCTTGGGGCTTCAACACCAACTACGAGCGCCTTGGTTTCGCATCGCAGGGGTCAAACTGCTATTGAAAATGGCCATAGAAATAGTGGATTTTCCCATTAAAAATTGTGATTTTCCATAGCTATGTTAAATTACCAGAGGGTAAATCATTGGAATTTTCTTGAAGAATTTGGAAATCATTAGGCCCAAGATGATTTCATCCCGAAGCACCAAGCACCAGCACTTTTCTAAGCCATATAGGCCTGGCCATATAGGCTTGGCCAGACCTTGTTGGAAGGGCCCTGTTTCTGGAAAGCTGAATTGCTGAATCCGATTGAATCCGACTGAATCCTGTGGATTTTTGAATCACTTTCCTAGATTCACACTGCTTTCGTTGCCGGTGGTGTCCTAGAGTATGTTCCATTGGTTTACAGTTGGGCCCTGCGATGTAAGAGATCATCTATTCACATTTCACAATGTATTTCCGGTGATTCAACATAGTTTTGACCTATTAAACAAATTGAATTTCCATAGCGAATTGTGAATCTACCAGAGGATAGTTCCTATATCCTCCAGTAATCAATCCTGGTTTGCCTGAAAACCTCAATTCAGTTCGATGCTTTTTCCAGCCATCTATCTATCTATCTATCTGTCTATCTATCTATCTATCTATCTATCTATAATATAATATAATATAATGTAATGTAATGTAATATAATATAATATAATGTAATGCAATGTAATGCAATGTAATATAATATAAGATAAGATAAGATAATAGATTATAATATAATATAATATAGTATAATATAATATAATATAGTATAATATATATATATAGACCTCCACTTACAATGATTTTCCCAATTGTTTCTGTTTACCAATGAAAGCTTCATGTTTTTGGCTGGTCATTTCCCAATCTCAGGCGAGTCTTTGATCGGATTCTGGAGGTTGGAGACCTCGTTGTGTTCTCACTGGAATGATGGGAACTCTAAGGGAGAACTATTCCCAAATGGCTGATTTTTTTCAGGTGAATGAATTATGATATATGATGATGACCATTTACTTAGATGAACATCAAATCGCTTTTTTTGGGATAAAATCACAGCGGGATATCTATTGATGGCAACAATAAAAACAAATGAATATAAATGAAACAAGTTCCTCAAGTTACTTGCGTTGATGTTCTCTATGAACCTGGGTTATTCCTGGGTTGGCCCGTGGTGAATACCTCCTGCAATTCTATTGTGGAAAATGATAAACCATTGGATTTCGGGATACAATATTGATCTATTGACTATTTTCAGACACACCTAGTCCAAAATAGCCGGTCTTTCCGAAACTGCCAGCAAAAGCATCAAATTTCAGGCACCATCTGGCGATTTTGGCATCCCTTTTAGGTAATCAAAGGTGGACTGAAAATACTCATCCAACCCTCTGACGGATGATGTTTGCGTTGACTAATAGAGATTCCACTTACCTGGCGGGTCAAACTCCTCAAGTAAAGGTTAGGACCTGTTGTCCTTTTGTAATTCACATTGCGGTATAGGTGTGTCTGAAACAAGGATAGATCCCTAAAGTCATGTGGTTGGTCATGGTTACGAGACCTACAACAAGCTGATCATGGGGATTCAACCAGCTGTCCACAACAAAAATTTGGGCCCTGTCACAGTCCCGTCCCATTGTGATACCACTCGCTCGCATTCTTGGACAATGTTAAATGGCTATGGGTCAAAATGTCATGCACAAGACCGCTTTAGTGAAGCATCCCATTTCAAGGTGTCCAAGACTAAGCCGACCCTTGCTTAGTAGAATTCAGGATTGACTTCCTCAAATCCCAGACGGTTTTTCAGAAGAATGCCTATTTGGATCTACTTGGAGGTTTATGCAATTTTATGCCACGCCTTGCGAGAACGTATATATATATATACATATTATATATATATATATATCACTATACTTACAATTATTTAATATGTGTATATATATTATAATACATTATGTTATATTATATTAAATTATATTTTATTACATTATATTATATTATATTTTACTATAATATTATATATGTTAATATAACTTATATATATTATTATTATATATTAAAATATAATATATTATATCATATTATTTTATATTTTATTGTATTTTTTTGATATTTTATTACATTACATTACATTATATTTTATTATATTTTATTATATTTTATTATATTATTATGTTATACTTTATTATTTTATATTTGATTACATTACATTATATTTTATTATATTATATATTATATTATTTTATATTATATTATATATTGTATTATATATTATATTAAATAATATGTTCTTGCATTATATTTTATTATATTGTAATATATTATATGTTATATAGTGTGATATATATATATATTGTAATTTATATAATATTATATTTTATTATATTTATATCTGGCACATGTCTACTTCCCATTACCAATTGCTGCGGATGCGAACTGAAACCTAAATGATGTTTGTTTTGAAATTTTGGAGCTACAAAAAGTAGGGTACGGTGAACTTGATTATGGCACTGGATAACATTTGGATTCTGGGACCTTTCTTGATTTGTGCTTCGAGATGCGAGTTCTTTTTGGTATTTGGAATGCTGATCAGCGAATCGACTCATATACTGTAACTTTTTGGGGTTGGGTGGAAAGCGTCAACCAGCAGAAGGTATTATCTAAAGCTGTTGGTGCTTGACCTATTACAATCTAAAGACATCTAAAATTAGCAGAAGGAAGTTTAGAAGTCAAACTTCCGACAATATGGACAGATGGAAAAAAGCAGAGGTGGGAAGAGTCAGAGAAGAGAAGAGAAGAAGAGAGAAGATCAGAGAAGAGAAAGAGTCATAAGAAAGAAGATGCAGGAATGGAATGGTTTCCTACAGAGCGAGAACATGAGCGAGGTATGGCTTTTGCGAGACTACAAGATCTTGTGCAAAACGGGAGGACCTCCGGCCTACCCGAGGTGCCTGGTGACGGAAGGAGATTGCAGCAATGCTCTCGGCTTGGTGGAGAACTATCCGATGAGCCGATTGACACCAGACGAAGCTGATTCCGCAGAGGTGGTGATTCACAACCACTGTGGCCAAGACTTGACGGCTTGGATAATTCGCGCCAGTTGTCTGTGACAACGGAGCCGTACAACGAACTCCATTGGTCCAGCTGTGCCTTTCCAAAACCCGTCCAGAATTGCTGGTGAAATGTGTTGGTGATGACATCCACCTTCTCTTGCTCAAGCACGTGTGCCATTTAGAAGTTACCTGCCTGGTTGGCATGGGGGCTACTTCAATCTCCGCACCTTCGCGCCGGCAGAGAAGAATACTCCCGATTCGCAGTACCTTCGCTACATTCGCTACACACCTCATTTTGCAGTGCCACAGTTGCCAGACTATCTGCATTCGCTCGAGGACACGGTCATGCTCTTCTCCGTGGATGGGGCGATTCCTGCTGCAACGATGGAAGTTTTGCAAAGCACTCCATGGCTGCTCCACAAGTGATTTGGGTGTGGGTGTTGACTATCGATATCGGACCTGCCGACGTGAGATGCTTGCCAGGTTCGCTGAGATTGACACAAGTTTTGCAAGAAGGATTAGAGAAATGGATTGTCGTGGTGCTTTTGCACCAGCCACGTGTTCGAGAAAGCCGCGACAGTAGAAATATCATATTTGCAATGTTTCTGAACTCCATACTGCGTTGTTCAATGAGGCTTTTCTTCTGTGGCTGTAGAGGCTTCCTACAGAGACGCTGCACAGAGTTATGGCACTTGCAGTCCTGCGGCGTGTGGCTTCCTGGATTGATTTGCTTACTGCACGTTAGCTTTTCAGTGCTTTGAATGTGGACCTTCAGTCAGCAGCAGCTATGTCGCAGGGTCAGCCGTAATGACTGGACTATATGGCAATTTTCGGCCGGTGTTTGATTCGCATTGAATTGCAGTGTCCGATTTTTTCGGTCAAGGCAGACCTGCAGTAATTTCTTCCCAGGAGGAAGTCTGTGTAGATAACTGTAAATACTAAGATCACTAATTTCAGATATTTTCACTTCAGGCACTAAATGAAAATATTAGTACTTATTCGAACTTATCATAAAACTTATTTGAACTTATTTTAGCTTATTTTAACTTATGTTTTGAAACATCCAAAGGCTTAGAACCTATAATGTGAAGGATTTAATTTTTGTGCACATGTTTCAAAAACGATTGAATATATATAAGAAATAAATTTGCGGAAAAAATCGTTTTAAGTTTAGATAGTGTTTCTTTGTCTAGGATAACGTTTTTGTCGTTTGGCAAGTTTTCTTGGTAGATATTTTCCTTTTCAGGATACTATCCTGTTCAGGACATATCTTTTCCAATAGATTTTCTTGGCAGAAAATATTTGGTTATTTCGGATTTTTATTCAAGCAGCGCGCCAAGAAGAGATGATAGCTATAGAGATGACAGATTTGAATCATAACATATATTGTGTTTTAGTTGTTTGTAATTGTTCTTAAATATAATTTCTTTTTTGTATTAGATATTTGGAAGTAAAATTAAATGATAAAGATTAAGAAGGAAATAAAATTACAGGAAAACATAAAAATCAAAAAAAAAGGAAAATAAAAATCAGAAGACCCAGAAAATTCAGAAAATCCAGAAAATTCAGAAAATTCAGAACACCCAGAAAATTCAGAAAATGCAGAAAATGCAGAAAATTCAGAAAAATCAGAAAACAAAAAAAAATCAGAAAATTCCCAGATCCCAGAAAATTCAGAAAACCCGGGAAATTTGAAAAAATCGGAAAATTCAGAAAATTCAAAAACATCAGAAAAGGGAAAATAAAACAGAAACTGCGGAAAAATCAGAAATCCAGATAACCAAGAAAATTCCGAAAATTTAGAAAATTCAGAAAATTCAGAAAACACAGAAAATCCAGAAAACACAGAAAATTCAGAAAATTTAAAAATTTCATCAAATTCAGGCAATACAGAAAATACTAATACAGAAAATTCAGAAAACCTGGAACATTAAAGAAAAATACAAAAGAAAACAATGAAGAAATCAAATTGTTTCAAGTAAAGTCATCTTCCAAAGAAATTTGAAATGCAGAAAAACAAATAGCATTCCTCTTGAGGAACTATCTTGATCATAAACTGTTCTTTGCAGAAATTTCCCTTTGCAGGAACTATCCTGTTCTTGAGCTATCCTGCTCTTGAACTGTCCTTTTCTTGAACTATCCTTTGCAGGAATTATCCTTTGCAGGAATTATCCTTTTTTACAACTGTTTCTTGGCAGCAATCATTTTCATCTCTCATCGTTTGGATCCTGTAAGTTTTGAGCACCTTGTGCTTGCCCCCTTGTGTGAGCCAAAAAGTCACCGTATCATTGCAGTACGCATGAGGTTCCCAATCGAAAAACAAATTCAAAAAATGCATTGAACTTATTTCCAAATATTTTCGGATATGTTCATATATATATATATATTTATATATATATATTCATTTACTTTAGAATAATTATGTTCAACTAAAGACTCTATTTGACTATATCTTCAGTACCATGTAGTAAGTTCAAATAAAAAATAAGTGGAACTTAACACAGAATAAATTAAACAACCATTCAAACAAGATATTAGAAGGGTAATAGCAACTTATAAGATACTTTTTATCATCCTTAGTGCCTGAAGTGAAAATATATCTATAATTAGTGGCCTCAGTATGTGCCTACTTTAATATATGGTTACTTCATTTCTGAAGAGTTGCACCTTCGATGCATTCTTCGTCGCATCCTTCTGCAAGGGAGGGCATAGTGGAATGTTTCAGCAGCAAACAACAGACGAAAGCTGCAACAAGTCGCAGACATGCATGCGTATTCTTCACTGCGATGAGCAAGTTGAAATACCTAAGGAGAGATTTGCCGTTAAACTGCAGCTAGCACACTTCCTACAACAATATCAAGCTCTGTCCGATTTGGTGTGGAAAGTGCTCGAATCTATCGATGTACCGCCATCACGGCACGCATTCCATCTACCATGACCTATTGACACCGATTCCGCGGCCTGCCATGCCGAAAGCATGGAATCAGCGCCGCGCACGTGCTCGCCAGCGCGTGCGGCGAGCGCAGGCAATGCTGAAGCAGCGTGCTCTCGCGCGTACGCTGGAAGCAGCGACGTGTCCGGGTGCTGATGTGAATTATCTTGATCTCATGTCCATTGTTTCTAAGAAATGTCGGCAGGTGTCACAAGCTCAGGCTCGCGCTTGTGAACTATGCTAACTATGCCTAGAGTGACGTTTCGCAAGACTGCTGTCTCGCCAGGGCATTGGCGAAGAAAGTCTTGTGCCGCAAAGGCTTCTCTTGGCGGTTTCAAGCAGCAAATGCACCAGCGCTGTTTGAAGCACGGGAGCCGCTTGAAGCACGGGAGCCGCTTCCAGCTGGTCGCAACTTCAAATCCATTGGAGCTGCCTTCATCAACAGGCGAGCAAGCTGATTGTGTCTCTGATTGTGTCTGTGCGTCTAGTTCTACGGGTCCACTACTTCCTGATTCTTCATGCTGTCTAGAAGTGTTCCATTAGCACAGACATCCTGGAGCACGCGCCCAGAATCGATTAGCAGCCGAACAAGCACCGCCAGGTACTATGAGACAGCGCAGTGGCGTGCCAGCCAAGGTTCTGCGGAATTTGTTGGTCCTCGCGTCGCAAAAATTCCTCTCAAGTGTACGGTCTGGAAGCACGGTATGTTTCTCGTCGCTGCAGGCGATATGTTGAGCAAGCTGTCTCTCATTCCATGCAACAACATCCTGCATGTTTCCTCCACAATCAGGCTAGCAAAGCGCCGACTACGGGGATTCCAGCTGAGCATCACGGATGGCTCCGTCAGAAACTCTGCAATGTGCCTTGGTTTGTTTGCTGGCACTCACAGTTCATATGGAATTGATGTTCCATGGCATACCCAGGCCAGACAGACAATAGTCTATTTTCACTACACTACACTACACTAGACCACGCTACACTATACCACAATACAGTACACAACACTACAGTACACTACACTAATTACACCATACTACACTACACTAATTACACCACAACTACAACTGCAACTACACTACAAGAATTACACTACATTACAACAACAACTCCACTACACTACAACACAACTACAATTACAACTACAACTGCATTACACCACACTACATCCAGGAGTTGTGGTGAGGTGACCACTGCAACCATTGCAACCACTCCAAAAAGCACAACTCCAACCACCTTTCGGTCCATCAGTGGATCCACTCTGCCATCCGCGATTCACAACAACCAACCTCTCCTATAGAAACTTCCGCCACGGTCTTGCGCGGCACTACTGTATCCAAAGTGGCGGGTTTTTGCAGCAGACACAGGCAGCGTCTAAACATTTTTTTGGAATGTTTGTAACAGGGATGGTGGTTTCATTGTGTAAGTATTCGAAATAACCATACTGTAGTTGGTGTTCCCTTTGTTTTAAGCCATGACTGGTTTAACTTGGTTTAACCGTGCTTCACCGATTCTAGGTTATCAATGGATAAACGTGTACAACACATAGTTCGTCATGAAACCACCAACAAGTTGTCTCCCAGAGGATGGTGAAATCCATGGTTTCCAGTTCCACCAGACGCGCGTTCTTGCTAGTTACATCCCCTTTTTCATATTTTTGTCTGAATCAAAATCGCCCAAAATCACAATTATATAAACCATATATTACACCAATTAAAACTCACTAAATCCCCAAGAAATCAAAATCCTGGGTTATTGGTGCTTTGGTGGTTATTTAAGCGATCCAAATCGCAATTCAAGGAATTTTTGGCCCTCGGCCCTTCACTTCGCCGTTTCTTCACCGCCAGGTGGCGACCCAGCATCGTGTGGCGCCTGATGACATGCCGGAACTGCTGGTGGTTCTCTCCGACATGCGGCTTGGCTGGGCGGAGCTGGCAACATTGTCAAATCAACCACATTGGTTCATCATCATTCCGTATGAAAGTGGCACAAAGTGGCCATATTTAGATACCCTCAAGTACGAAGTGTCTAGAATGGGTACCCCCCTGGGGGTAAATTCTAGGGTTCTAGAATGGGTACGCGATATGATTGTAGAACCCTGACCTCCCCCCATTGTAGAACCTTGGAGGTTTTGGTTCCTAGAGTTGTTTTTTTTGATGTTGTAATTTGCTGTTTCCGACCACTTCAGATATCTATGGATCATGTGGAAGTAGTTACCTGGAAAGCCTGGTGCCCATCATTTTGTGCACTGTCCAAAGTGCCCGGAACTCTTGTCATTGGAAAATGTGCCATTTTGGGAGTAGGATTTCTACGTGTGTTTATAGCACTCTACGGGTATTTGTGGCATTTTTTTTCTAGACATGGTGCGCCAAAAGATAAAGTGTCGTTTTTATGTGTAAGAAGGTTTATGTTCACATGGGCCATGGACCATGGATATGAAATTATCGCTTTGGCTGCGCAACCTCCTGAACCAAAACATGCAAAGTGCATAAACGCAGATAAACAAAACAGGATGCCAGGTACCAATCACCAATGCAACAAGAGGTCCTGAAATGATATCTCCCAACTCATTCTGTGGATTTATCTTCACCAGGCCAATAGATATGAACTTAGACCCGCCATTCCTGTACAACCCTCTGAACTAAAATGTAAAAACAATATGCTTTATTACTCGGAAACGGTTGAGTTTTACACACGGTTCTGAAATGATATCTCCCAACTCATTCTGTGGATTTATCTTCACTACTGTAGGGCCTTGGATATGAACTTAGACCCACCATTCCTATACAACCTTCTGAACAAAAATGAAGAAACCAATTTGATTTATTACTCCGAAACGGTTGAATTTGCATAAGGTTCTGAAATCATATCTCCCAGCTCATTCCGTGGATTTGTCTTCACAAAGGCCCATAGATATGATTTTAGACCACCCAATCCTGCAAAATCCTCTGAACCAAAATGAAGAACCCAATTTGATTTAACTAAAATTAACTACTACTCGGAAACGGTTGAGTTTTACACACGGTTCTGAAATGATATCTCCCAACTCATTCTGTGGATTTATCTTCAAGGGGGCCTTGGAAATGAACTTAGACCCACCATTCCTATACAACCTTCTGAACAAAAATGAAGAAACCAAATTGATTTATTACTCCGAAACGGTTGAATTTTGCATAAGGTTCTGAAATCATATCTCCCAGCTCATTCCGTGGATTTGTCTTCACAAAGGCCCATAGATATGATTTTAGACCCCCCAACCCTGCAAAATCCTCTGAACCAAAATGAAGAACCCAATCTGATTTAACTAAAATTAACTACTACTCGGAAACGGTTGGGTTTTACACACGGTTCTGAAATGATATCTCCCAACTCATTCTGTGGATTTATCTTCACTAGGGCCTTGGATATGAACTTAGACCCACCATTCCTATACAACCTTCTGAACAAAAATGAAGAAACCAATTTGATTTATTACTCCGAAACGGTTGAATTTGCATAAGGTTCTGAAATCATATCTCCCAGCTCATTCCGTGGATTTGTCTTCACAAAGGCCCAAAGATATGATTTTAGACCACCCAATCCTGCAAAATCCTCTGAACCAAAATGAAGAACCCAATTTGATTTAATTAAAAGTAATTACTACTCGGAAACGGTTGAGATTTACACACGGTTCTGAAATGATATCTCCCAGCTCATTCCGTGGATTTGTCTTCACAAAGGCCCAAAGATATGATTTTAGACCACCCAATCCTGCAAAATCCTCTGAACCAAAATGAAGAACCCAATTTGATTTAACTAAAATTAATTACTACTCGGAAACGGTTGAGATTTGCACACGGTTCTGAAATGATATCTCCCAACTCATTCTGTGGATTTATCTTCGCTAGGGCCTTGGATATGAACTTAGACCCACCATTCCTATACAACCTTCTGAACAAAAATGAAGAAACCAATTTGATTTATTACTCCGAAACGGTTGAATTTTGCATAAGGTTCTGAAATCATATCTCCCAGCTCATTCCGTGGATTTGTCTTCACAAAGGCCCAAAGATATGATTTTAGACCCCCCAATCCTGCAAAATCCTCTGAGCCAAAATGAAGAACCCAATTTGATTTAATTAAAAGTAATTACTACTCGGAAACGGGTGAGATTTACACACGGTTCTGAAATGATATCTCCCAACTCATTCTGCGGATTTATCTTCACTAGGGCCTTGGATATGAACTTAGACCCACCATTCCTATACAACCTTCTGAACAAAAATGAAAAAAACAATTTGATTTATCACTCCGAAACGGTTGAATTTTGCATAAGGTTCTGAAATCATATCTTCCAGCTCATTCTGTGGATTTGTCTTCACAAAGGCCCATAGATATGATTTTAGACCCGCCATTCCTGCAAAATCCTCTGAACCAAAATGAGGAATCCAATTTGATTTAATTATATTTAATTATTACTCGGAAACGGTTGAGATTCACACAAGGTTCTGAAATGATATCTCCCAACTCATTCTGTGGATTTGTCGTCACAAAGTCCCATAGATAAAGTTTTAGACCTCCCAATCCTGCAAAATCCTTGAACAATAACTGGAAAAAACAAATTGATTCATCAACCGAAAGGTGTTGGGTGCCAGAAAGTTCTTTTTAAAACAGATTAAGGCATACTTTAAAACTGCTACTTGTATATGTCATTTTTTTGACATATTGCCAAAAATTGTCTTACGACGCTTTCCCCTGATAACTACATCGACACCTTAAGTACTAGTCAAAAAATGAAATGATGTCATGGACGCGAGTAGTAACCAGTCCCAGCCAATCAGTTTTTAGTATTAAGATGATAAGATGAACTGGGATCTTGACCCCAAAAAATGTTTTCTAAATGCGATTAATTAAAGATCAAATTGACCAACCTGAAATTTCCCGGAAATGACAACCGGGATCTATTTTTATTCATTAGGGGGGTTAGAAATAGGAAAAGGGGATTAGCATGGGAGCAAAGGAAGCAGGCGGATAATTGAGTTTGTGAGATTGCGGGTTTTGCTTAGGTGTAATTGTTGACTTTGTTTTTTGATAACAGAAAGGCTCCAAAATGAAGGGGTTCTAGGATCATTTTCCTGATTCCCCATGATATGATTCCAGAACCCCCCTAACACAAGCTGCCAAGGTTCTAACATCATCAAGTTGATCCCCAGGGCCCCCCCCTGGGAAAATGATTGTAGAACCGTAGGGGTTCTAGAATCCCCCTCAAGGGTCCCTGCTCGTAGTTGACGGTATATATTTAGGGGGTTCCCCAAGCCAGAGGCAGTTCGACGAATCCAGCAGTTCGACGAATCCATGGGCCACGAGCCATGAGAACATCGAGGCCAAGTTCAGGCGGGGCCGCAAGGCCCGGAAAGATTTTGTTGATGGTTCGATGGTGAAATGTTGTGCTAAAAATGGTGAAACATGGTGATTTAGCCATCAAAAAAGGATGAAACATCGCGCGGAAAACCATGGAAATCCATGAAACATGTGGATTTTTTTTCAGAATAACACATGGCTGATTTGATGTGTTTACCATCAAACGTTTGGATCTAACCATCGAAAATGCAACATGACTTGAGCTTCAGAATTTCGGATTTGAGCAGAAAACATAAGTGATTTAAAATGATTTATCCATCAAATGTAGTGTAGGGGATATCAATGGGATATTCATGCGGATATGATATGGGGAAATGGGAAGTATAGATATTTCACAAACTTGATATGATATTTGGATGTGTTTGAACATGTGAGAGGCACCCAGCAATTGCCATTTCATTGAAACAAGGTAATATATGTATATATATATATGATATAGGATACACCATTGAATTATTGTGGTGCACTCTATTTTCAGAAAAAATCCCACATGTTTAGCTGGGCAAAGCGAGTTTTGACCGGGTTCTATTGGAAAAACCCCTGAAGATAACTTAGGTAGGTACCATTAGTCGTCAGGAATCATCCCACTGGGCTGATGGGATACCTGAAATGAAACATGTCCCTTGGCTGTCCATCGGAATGATTCTCATTGTGGATTCCATAATGGATCACCCATTATCCGAAAATCATTTGGTCCATATTTTTTGCGATTGCCTGAACCTGAAACGACCCATCAGAACAACAAACCCAGACTGGTGTTACTATCCTCCGGTTGTGATTTGTTTGGCTGCTATGGCACGTTGGCTGTCAATGCGGTTCTTTCTATTGATTGGTGATATCATCTATCTATGTTCACTGCATGTTTCAGGGCGGTAGTATGAGCACTGCCTAAGTAGGAAACGTGATGACAACTTTCATAATAATTCAGGAAAGCCGTGTTTTCACGAGTCCCCAGGTCAGCAGGCTACAGCATGCCTGAGTGGCTCAGCAACAGGATGTGAGAGATGGTATTTGTTTGAAGACAAAACTGCATATTGACCTTTGGGCAAATTAGATTAAATTACTGTGCAGTGCTGTAACAAGCTCACAAGGACTTCACCATACAAAACTATGATGTTGTTTCGTTTCAGGTTTCAACATGGTTATAATCTGCCTACTTTGCCTATGATCCTGTATGCTTATATACAATATAACATAATGATACATAATTTATGTCCGTTCCTGACCATATACCATAGACTTGGCATGCTACCGCAGATTTTGCAGCAGTTCAGTTCTACCGGATGATATAGTATAAACATGGAATTCGCGAATGAAAGCAATATTTGCGAAGAATGGCCGTTCCTGGATAAAGGAATTTTGATCAACCATCATATACATATTATATATATATTATTTATTTATTTATGTGTGTGTGTCATTCAGCCTGCAATCCACCTCTTTTATTGCCGAAAACATCTCAACGATCGCACTATCCCATACTATCATATACTATCCCCGCTTTGCTTGATTCATGTTCCATATTTCTGACATTCCGATTACCTGACTGGTAACAGGTTCCTGCAATTTCAATTGATGTTGATGATCTATACCTCTTGAACGTTAAGGCTGCCACTTTCACCGAGGATCGTCTATTGGAATCTCCGTTCATCAGAAGCTCATGGACGCGTGCCGACGCGATCCACAGAGAAGGGGGTGGTGATGCTTAGCGGGCTGAGCCAGGGGCTTTTGAAGAGCTTCTTGCAGCGAAAGCTGCTTGGCCAAAAAAGCTGTCTACTCATAAAATTCGGGAAGCATCATGAAGTAGATGAGAAAGACAGCCAATTAAACTGGTAGTTTCAAAGATGTTTTGCGTTCAACCTTTTGGGATGATGATTTTAACTGACGAAGAAGTTTTCATTGGGATTGAAAGTGCAAGAAATGAGTCGTTCAGCCGCAAGAGGTGAGACAAAACCAAAATGGATGATCATCCCTTGTGAAGACATATCCAGTAACACATATAGGGACAAAAAGTGATTATAACAATGAGTGTGGGCATATTCACAGATCAAACTGGTATATCAAAAGCTGCTTGGAGACTTCTGGGATACGTTTTACCTTGATATTGTTATTTAGTTATATAATATTATATAACCATAAAAATCAATATCATGATCCAAACAACAGGGATGTAAGCAACAAGAATGGAGCAAATACCTAAAAGATACAGCATCCACCTTAATGATTGTTAATGGGCACTTTGGAGAGTTCTGGGATAATGTGTGAATGTTTTGTGTCATGGTTTGAACATGAACAAGTGGATATGCATCAAGCAGAATGGGTGATACCAATGAAACGTTGGATTTGGCCAACAGCAGGGTGAAATACAGCCACACATCATCGAATAGTATGGGACGAAGCAGGATGTTTCTCTTTAGCAACTTGTAACTTCAACATGTGACATGCTCGCAAAAGGGGATGCACCTGGGTTTTTCCTGCATGGTTCATCCAAAACCTCAAAGGTCATCCCTGGCACTGGGAAATCTCCTTGGAATGGTGGATTGTACAGCCATGGAGCTGAGAACTTGAGATCTGAAATTTTGGGAAGCCTCCACATGCCAACTACAACTATAAAGTACTATAACAGTTGGACATACTTTGACTTTGAGAGGAGGTACCTCATGGAAATTTAGAAGTTTGTTGTGGTTTTTTTCAGTTTTTAGTAGGTAAATGAAGTACAGCATGGGGTAAATCATCACCAGGGCCAGCGGGGTTTTCGCTGCATTCCTGAAGCCCCTTGGATGCCCCATTTTGATCCATTTTGTTCTCAGGTTGGAAATTCCAACGCCCCTGGAGCAAATGCGAGCCATCGTGAACACCAGTTGCTCACCATGTGGAACCGCCTGACCGTTCCAAAGAGATCCTAAGAGTTTGCGAAAATCAACATCTGTGGGTGGGACCGCAAATTTTGACTGAGGGGTTATTCAACCTTGCTGCCATGGGTTCACATCTCAATGATTTCGCTACAATCGGCTTGAGATAATATTTATTATTGATTACTGGGATATGAACAATACAGATCCTGCTTGCATCTGCGAGTATTTTCGTTGGTGTCAAATTGTTCACCAATCTTTATGTGCGTTTGTTGGAAATTGGACGAAGTTCACCAATTCATGGCGTTCGTCATGGTCGTCCTTGTATCGCTTGTATCCATTGGACACCCCCGCGATCCTGGTCTGACCTGTAATTTCTACGAGGGGAATCACAGTGGTTGATGAGAGCCAACCCGCCATGTTAATCGGTCCCTTTTGTTTTTTTCTCGAAAGATCATAATGGAGAAAAGGTACAGCAATCCCAAGGATCATTTTGCATGATCTTCCATTCCTTTCTTCAACACGTCACCCAAAATTTCTTAGATATACTATTCCGCAGGTATTTTCTGGAAAGCTGCTTGTGCGAATTTGCAAAAACATGCAAAAACTATCAAAAACTATCTTTGCAGGGTACTATCTGAAAAAGATGCTGTTGCTCTTCCTTGTAGGTTTGCTTGAAAATCAAGGTATGTTTTTCTTCACAACAGCCATTTGCCAGGCTATTATGAAGATGTGAAGATCGCCCCTGATGATTTACGACTCGTTCCTCCTCCCCAGTTGGCCGACTTGCTTTTCAGCTGAGAGGATGAGACCCTGCCAAGCGGCGCCGAGAAATGAGGTCTTGTTATATGGGTATATAGAATGGTGTATGTATATATATATATATATATCTGATTGTTGGTTTGGAACATTTGGATTATTTTTCCATATATTGGGAATAATAATCCCAACTGACTTTCATATTTTTCAGAGGGGTTGAAACCACCAACCATATATATATATATATATATACATGGTACATCAAGATTCAATATTCCCTGGCACACAGATGTTGGGCATATGTGTGATGCTGCCTGGTACTCATTGAATCGTTGGTACAGTACAGTACCCGAGTTGGAGCAATAATTATCCATTAGTTGTGCTTTGTTGTGCATAGGCACGTCCCACTGTGGAATTTAGTTTTCGTGCAGTGAAACACACCCCACCGTGGGATTCTTGCTTGGAACCGCGAGTTTGGGAAACACCTTCAACACCCTAAAATATGGCCATTCAAGAAATACATTACAGTAATCATTATATATCATTACGTATATTTAATTGATTTTATTTAACAAATTATATATATATATACATGCACATGCATTGTTATCACAGTTGATTCCTGACATTATGTATTCCATTGTTTGGTTGCTCATGTCACATCGCTAAAAAATGGGACGTAGCCTGGGCATTGGGACGTGGCTTGCGGAGCCACTGGACTTTGAAGTTCCAAGCAACAGCTGCATTTTTGGTGGGTTGGCTGCGGGTCAAACCGTTGGGACCAGTGCCCCGGTTCTTCATTTTTGCAGTGGAAAGCCACAAGAATCAGTGAGGAACAACTGGCAAGAAATGATGGTCAAACTTTCAACAGGGGACCAGAGATTTGGTTAGTCTTAAGAAAAATAAAGCGGTACCCAAGTTTGACCCAGACTCAAATGAAAGGATGCCTGAAAGGGTTCTGGGGTGAACCTGAGTTGTGGTCCTCACTTGAGCAGTGCTTAGTTGTTATTCCAATGGCCACTGTTGGTTGCTTGGAGTAGTGAAGCCATGAACTGGGAATTCCCATGATGCACCGGAATCTGAAGATATCTGAAGGGCACGGCAGCAGATTCTCACTTCCACTGCAAAGATAAGAAGCCATTGCACAAAGTTTGCAGGTACAGCTCGCCATTTGTGCGAAACAAAGACGGTGGCCCTGGTTTGGTCTCAAAGTAGGGTTTTAAACATATTCGGATGGCGTGTTGAGTCGGACTTCCATAGGCATCCTTTGGAAACTTCGTGGCGACCACGTCGATCTATTCCAGGGTGGTTTCTAGAAAGGTTGGAAAGTAAATGAAGGTAAATCAGCATAAGTATCACAGTTTCATGGTGATTTATTTGTTGCTTACTTTTTGAGAGCTGCCCCTATATAGCTGCACAGGTTTGGTGTGCCCGATGCAACCTGCAGGTGTCCCCTCCTTCCCAGAAAGATGAGAGCAGCCAGCATACAGCCTCCCTGGCCCAGATGCTTGGTGGCAGAATTAGTTGGCAACTCCATTTCCGAACTGTGGATTTAACTGATAAAAATCCGGATTTCAAGCAAGGTTTTAACAGCAAAGTTGGTGAGTTTAGCAGCAAATATGTGGTTTTTGATTGTGCCAACAAAATTTGGATAGAACAAACAAAATGAAATCTGGAAGTAAGCATAAAGCAAGGGAGCGATATAGGCAGCAATTGCGTCAAGAGTTCAAACCTGTTTGGAGTCAGCAACAGGAGTCATATGATGACCTACTAATACTTCTGCCATGAAATGACTCGGCCTAGAGTAGGACCTACTCTTCAGGGGCTTCATCAAAAGTCAGCTATTGGAGAAAAAGGTACGACAGTGTCATGGCCTCCTCTTTACCGTAATTAGTTCTGCCGTTGATTTTAAGACCATCTTTGTGTTGTGGCCTCATATCCTTTTCGGGTGGTGGTTCCCAAGTGCTTGACCGTTTGCCCAAATAACCAACAGTTCTTGATTGCAAAGCCACCACCAGACCTCATACCTGGATGGTGATGTCCAACATGGGTATACCTGGATGGGTTTTCCATAGCTGGATCGTGAACTCTAACAATGATGACCATGACCCATGTCACATTTGTTGTCACAATTGTTTAGGTCATATATATATATATATACACATTATATATATATACACATTATATATATATTTATTTATTTATATCATATATATATATATATATATTTATATCATATATATATATATATATCATATATATATCATATATATATATATATATGATATATATATTACCTACAGATGTGATCTGATGTGTATCTTTGATCACACGACAACTATGTTTGGGCTGGTCATGACTGGGTTATAATCCCCCCACTGACAGTCCCGGCCAGGAGGGTCATCTCGCAGGCCATGATGGGCATCTCTCGGGTCCAGTGTATTCAGTTAGTGTGGCTAGTCAAGGAATTTCAAACCATAAAATATCATAAGATATTGCAGGGTTAAGCACCTAACTGTCGTGAGATTATCGGTATAGTCTATTGTTAAACCATTGAATCTATAATTCCTATATATTCCTATAATCAGAATGAATCAGATAGAAATATATATATAGTGTGTGTCCACAATTTGATCCCACATTTCCAACAATAAACAAATGGATGGAATGTCTAACCTCCAAAAAGTATGGTTAGCCAAGTGGATAGCCGAGCCCTGGGCCCTGGGCCCCGTGGCAGGGGTCGGACACGGAAGAGCCGGAAATCGCACAGCAAGGCGTGGTGGAAATCGCAGTCGGTGATATTTCAGTGGGATTCATGGTGATACTGTAGATGGATTAATGGTAACTATTGGTAGTTAATTAGTGGATATTAATGGATATTAATGGATAATGGTAATGGGAACTATTGGTATTGGTACCTATTGGTAATTAATTCATGGATATTAATGGATTATTTCCCTCAAGTCCAGACTGCAAGGCGCTAACGCTCAAAGTTTCCTGTCAGACCTGTGGGTTTCATTCTATTTGATTCTTGATGTTTAAAGTTTAAACGTGAAAATTGCGAGCTCTAAGTCGGGCACCTCAACATTCCATAAATATTCACACATCCATAAACGTAAACATTGGCAATTGGAATTCTCATTGCGACTTTGGTACTGTAATTGGAATGTGCTTTTGAGAGGTAGAATCTAGAAGGTCAAAACCGATGCCAACAAAATCAATGACAGGGATAACATTGACACCACATAAAACCAAATCAGGATGAATCAAAGAATGCAAGTGATGTTGGTATAACTTGATACAACTGTGTCAAGCTGTGCTTGGAGGTGTTTGGGGCTTGGATTGAGCACCGGTTTTTGGAAGATTGTATGATATTGTGTATGTATGTGTATGTATTTATATCCGTGTTCAGCAGATTCTAGTATATCTTTTTGTTTTTTTTTGTAAATGTTCTATCATGTTCTATTTATTTGTGTGTCACGGTTCTTTATTATATCATTTGTCAACAGACCAGTGTCTGAAAGAGACTCGTGTTCTGACCTAGAATTTGCATCTTATGTTTTCTTGTGATCTTATATCAGGTGTTTTGCTGTTTGAACATTGGTTTTGCACATGTACGATATTCTATGCATACCAGGAACACTGTAACTGTATATAAGAATGGTATACTATATCATAGTTAGAATTTCGAATATACAAGTTATTGGTCTTTTTAATGGGTCCCCAGAGGTTTTGGCGTCAACCCCCATTCACTCGGAACCAGCAGTGATGGCAGTGATGCTGAGGACATCCTCGGCATCTCCATTCAAGTTGAACAAATTGTAGTGAAGATCTAGAGGGATTAATTAGTTAGATTAATAGTAGTGGGAAACTAGTGGGATTAATGGGAAACAAATCATATAAAGTTTGTAATAGAATTAGTTATGGAGGTTTAATGGGAAACTACCAACTTTGCTGCTAACTTTGCTAGTTCTATTGAACATTTTGTTGGGATTTGTGTTTATTGTGAATGACACAGTCAAAACGGAAGATTTACCACCAACAAATAAAATGGTAGAGACCGTAAAGACAAAACATGGCGAGAAACATTTGACCTGAATTGTGTATCAATGATAATCTAAGTTTTTTTGCAGAAAATAAAACTTGTATGAACATTAGCTTGGCACTGCTACCATTCGTCCTCCACCAACTTACCTCCCACCAAATTTGAAACACATCATTATCACTCTCGGGTTTCCAGCATGTTCATTCTAGGATTGCTTTAAGGACAAATTGGCGGGACACCAGTCTATTTGGATCTATTGGGGGGTGGTAAAATCAGGCTTTCCTCGTAGAGTTTCCCTTTGCCTTCCAGTGACTTCAGGTTCAATTGACATGGAGAGTATGTACTTCCGAACCAAAGCCTTGTTGGACCAACGAGAGGAGCAGCAATCACAACTTGAGGAACAGATGGACGCTCGGTCTTAAACGAACACAGGGATCCTGGTAGAGTTTGGTAAAGTTAGTCTTGAGTATTGCTACTTCATCTAAACATCAGATTGTTCATGATTGTTCCATGTTACTGGCGGACCCAATCGGCACATTTAATGGGAGCATGATCAACATAGGCAGAAGCTGGTGGGTTTGGCTTTTAGCTGATTGGCATTACTGAGACTTACCACTAACAGCCACTTCTACAGAACCTGCTTGCCCAGATCTATAGCCAGAAATTCACAACTGACTTATTTTGGCACTGGGTTGTGGATTATCATGGATTATCATTCCTTTAAGGGATATAATATATATAATATATATATATATAAACATATTTGTAGAAAACTACATATCAAGAACACACATACGTACAATCATAATATGTATCATATAATACATATATTATATACTCATATACACATAATTATATAATTATATATATATATTATGTACATCAATGTTCAACTCCTGTCACTGATTTAAAACCTTTATTTCCACCACCACCACCACCACCACCGCCGCCGCCACTATCATCTAAGGAGAGCGCCTTGCGCGCGAAGGCCTTCCTCGAGGCCGAGATCTTTCGACAGCAAGGGCTGAACGCCTCGTTGAAGGCCCAGCTTTCTGAAGCCAAGTTCGAGCTGCTTCGAGGTCGCGAGGATGCCTTGGAGGCAGGGAAAATGCTGGGATTTTTAGGTGTTTGAAAACCATATCAAACATTATCAAACCAACTAGTGGGAGGTAATCACTATCAATGTCACTATCAATTTTACAAATCAAACCAGATCAAACCAACTAGTGGGATGAGTTGAAACATGGCGGAGTCCTGGACTCTGGTGACCCTGGCGGAGATTGAGGACATTGAAAACAGCTGAGATTTCACAATTAAACAGCATAAAGAAAGGACACTTTACAATATGGGGGACATAAAATTGAACGATCAAAATTGGGAAAGAAGGTGATTTAGCAACTAAGTTTGGGATTTATGGGGACGTGATATGTTTGAATTGACCATTTAAGATGACGGATCAACATGGTTACAAACCCAGATGGGGGTGCAGATAGGCAGCAAATACACGGGAGTTTAGATGATTTTGTGTGGAAATTCACAAGACAAGATGGAAACGGATGAAGCACCGGACTTGATCGGGAGACTAAAAGTAGTCGAGGCCGCTATGGCAGGGTGGTTGCAGCTGGGTGGTGATGTCGCCAGTGAGATCAACTTATCCCTTCGATGCCTTTCACAGCCACGGCACATTTGACATTAATCACAAACCGTCGTGCTTGATAAGTACTAGTACTGTATGTGAATATTTGTGATTAGTGTTGCGGCGATTACTTATTCTAGTTGGCATTGCGTCTCCCCTATCACATGCGACACTTGCGAGCGAAATGTCCAAGAGTAGTTGCATCCTCACATGTCTCCTATATTACACATGGCATACACTACACACTACTGTACGTAAGTACGCATGATACATTGTGTTTAAATCTATATATAATTATATATAAATTTGTTGTATAATTCTACATTGTACTCATGTGTACACATGAGTACGCATGTGTACGCATGTCTACACATGTGTATATATTCAGATCGGTTTGAACGACAAAGTAACATGCTGACCATCTCCAGGTGACGTCAAAGTTGGAAGACATGGAGGCGACGCTGAGGGACCAGGACGGGGAGAAGCAGAAATTGCAGCAGGAAGTGCAGAGCTCCAAGGGCGAATCGGAGCGGCTGCGTGCAATGTTGAGGCTGGGACCATTTTGTTGGTTCTATAAAACTGTTCAACCACTGTTTGTAGGTTCAAGCGAGTGTTTGCAGTGTTTGCTGTTTGAAACCGCAAACATGTGTTTGAAACCGTAAAAGCCATTGTGAGGCTGTGTACAGAACGAAGCCAAGCCAGAGAAGGAAAGATGAAGACATTTATCAAAGAACTGGCCCAAAAGCATGAGCAAACCAAAGCTGTGCTTTCAAAGTCCCAACATCGTGAGTTGGAGCTTCAAGCGCAGATTGCAGAAGTCCAGAGTGCCCATGTATCTTTGCAAGACCAGTTGTCCAAGCAGCAGGCAGAGAATGCCAGTCTGAAGGAAGATCTGCAAGGGGTGAAAGCAGAGGATTCCTTGAGGACATCCCAGGACTGACATTGTTTAGAAGCACGTTCAACAAGAGCACTATAGGATACCACTGTTCTCGTGTTGTTTTGGTTTTTGGTTTGTTGCACTGATGTTGAAAACAGAGACTTACCCGCGCACACCTTGACAAGGATGATAGGTTATGTGGAAAACACTTGTCAACAAGCTATGTCTCACCTGGTTTCAACATGATTCAACGAGTAAGACCCTTCTTGGACTCAAGATTCAGTGCAGTATTTCAGCGAAAGTTGTGGCAGGAATTGCAAAGCTACAAAGACGAAGTGGAGCGCTTGAGTGCGAAGTTGAAGCAATGCGCAGAGCACGGCAAGGGCTCAAATGAAACCTTGGAGGAATCTATGGCAGAACTTGCACAGAAGCATGAGCAAACCAAAGCTGTGCTTTCAAAGTCCCAACATCGTGAGTTGGAGCTTCAAGCGCAGATTGCAGAAGTCCAGAGTGCCCATGTATCTTTGCAAGACCAGTTGTCCAAGCAGCAGGCAGAGAATGCCAGTCTGAAGGAAGATCTGCAAGGGGTGAAAGCAGAGGATTCCTTGAGGACATCCCAGGACTGACATTGTTTAGAAGCACGTTCAACAAGAGCACTATAGGATACCACTGTTCTCGTGTTGTTTTGGTTTTTGGTTTGTTGCACTGATGTTGAAAACAGAGACTTACCCGCGCACACCTTGACAAGGATGATAGGTTATATGGAAAACACCTGTCAACAAGCTATGTCTCACCTGGTTTCAACATGATTCAACGAGTAAGACCCTTCTTGGACTCAAGATTCAGTGCAGTATTTCAGCGAAAGTTGTGGCAGGAATTGCAAAGCTACAAAGACGAAGTGGAGCGCTTGAGTGCGAAGTTGAAGCAATGCGCAGAGCACGGCAAGGGCTCAAAGGAAACCTTGGAGAAATCTATGGCAGAACTTGCACAGAAGCATGAGCAAACCAAAGCTGTGCTTTCAAAGTCCCAACATCGTGAGTTGGAGCTTCAAGCGCAGATTGCAGAAGTCCAGAGTGCCCATGTATCTTTGCAAGACCAGTTGTCCAAGCAGCAGGCAGAGAATGCCAGTCTGAAGGAAGATCTGCAAGGAGTGAAAGCAGAGGATTCCTTGAGGACATCCCAGGACTGACATTGTTTAGAAGCACGTTCAACAAGAGCACTATAGGATACCACTGTTCTCGTGTTGTTTTGGTTTTTGGTTTGTTGCACTGATGTTGAAAACAGAGACTTACCCGCGCACACCTTGACAAGGATGATAGGTTATGTGGAAAACACTTGTCAACAAGCTATGTCTCACCTGGTTTCAACATGATTCAACGAGTAAGACCCTTCTTGGACTCAAGATTCAGTGCAGTATTTCAGCGAAAGTTGTGGCAGGAATTGCAAAGCTACAAAGACGAAGTGGAGCGCTTGAGTGCGAAGTTGAAGCAATGCGCAGAGCACGGCAAGGGCTCAAAGGAAACCTTGGAGAAATCTATGGCAGAACTTGCGCAGAAGCATGAGCAAACCAAAGCTGTGCTTTCAAAGTCCCAACATCGTGAGTTGGAGCTTCAAGCGCAGATTGCAGAAGTCCAGAGTGCCCATGTATCTTTGTAAGACCAGTTGTCCAAGCAGCAGGCAGAGAATGCCAGTCTGAAGGAAGATCTGCAAGGGGTGAAAGCAGAGGATTCCTTGAGGACATCCCAGGACTGACATTGTTTAGAAGCACGTTCAACAAGAGCACTATAGGATACCACTGTTCTCGTGTTGTTTTGGTTTTTGGTTTGTTGCACTGATGTTGAAAACAGAGACTTACCCGCGCACACCTTGACAAGGATGATAGGTTATATGGAAAACACCTGTCAACAAGCTATGTCTCACCTGGTTTCAACTTCAACATGATTCAACGAGTAAGACCCTTCTTGGACTCAAGATTCAGTGCAGTATTTCAGCGAAAGTTGTGGCAGGAATTGCAAAGCTACAAAGACGAAGTGGAGCGCTTGAGTGCGAAGTTGAAGCAATGCGCAGAGCACAGCAAGGGCTCAAAGGAAACCTTGGAGAAATCTATGGCAGAACTTGCACAGAAGCATGAGCAAACCAAATCTGCGCTTTCAAAGTCCCAACATCGTGAGTTGGAGCTTCAAGCGCAGATTGCAGAAGTCCAGAGTGCCCATGTATCTTTGCAAGACCAGTTGTCCAAGCAGCAGGCAGAGAATGCCAGTCTGAAGGAAGATCTGCAAGGGGTGAAAGCAGAGGATTCCTTGAGGACATTCCAGGACTGACATTGTTTCGAAGCACGTTCAACCCGAGCACTATAGGAAACCACTGTTCTCGTGTTGTTTTGGTTTTTGGTTTGTTGCACTGATGTTGAAAACAGAGACTTACCCGCGCACACCTTGACAAGGATGATAGGTTATATGGAAAACACTTGTCAACAAGCTATGTCTCACCTGGTTTCAACATGATTCAACGAGTAAGACCCTTCTTGGACTCAAGATTCAGTGCAGTATTTCAGCGAAAGTTGTGGCAGGAATTGCAAAGCTACAAAGACGAAGTGGAGCGCTTGAGTGCGAAGTTGAAGCAATGCGCAGAGCACGGCAAGGGCTCAAAGGAAACCTTGGAGAAATCTATGGCAGAACTTGCACAGAAGCATGAGCAAACCAAAGCTGTGCTTTCAAAGTCCCAACATCGTGAGTTGGAGCTTCAAGCGCAGATTGCAGAAGTCCAGAGTGCCCATGTATCTTTGCAAGACCAGTTGTCCAAGCAGCAGGCAGAGAATGATGATCTGAGTCTTGCTCTGAGATTGATTCCTTTCGTGGATTTGTTTAAAGGTTGATTAATCTTGCATGAAGCAACTAACAACCCAAAATTTGATTAGAGTTCATCCTGGCCATATCGGGCCTATGTCATAGTGATGTAGTGTTGGCTGTATGGAGGTTTTCTAAAATGAAGGGGTACCCATGGGTACCCCAAATCAATCCAAATCATCCAATATTGGGAAACCCCCACTGAATATATGTCCACGCTACCCATTTCTACGTTGATTGTCATCCAGGAGGAGACGGCGCATTTTTATCGGGCAATTCGGGGTTAGCAGCCAGGCTGTTTTGTCATTTAGCCATACCCGAGCCCCAACACAATCCAACATGGGAACGTATACTGTAGTATGTGATGAATCCTAGCCACTTCTGTGTCAACTAAGTGCTAAGCGTTTGTGAACCGGCGAAATTTGGAGTTTGCAATTCATTACGATTTGACCGTACAGTTAGTGTATACTGTATAATATCTAAAAAGCAGAAACGACAAATATATATATATATAGATATCGTTACGTTGTTTAATAATATATATATATTATGTATTGTTACATCGTATCTATACTGATATGATTATAGATGTATATTTGCACATGAGTAATAATATTCTACATCGAGGGGGAGGGAGACAGATAGGTTAATCCGATCACATCCGATCACAGTTCTTTTTAAATATCACAAAACACAATTGTAGCATATTGGAGCAATGGTTTCAATGGTGCATTCAGGCACCTAACATGGAGGTACTGCGCCACCATTAAGGCAATAGTTTGGGGATATTCCCTCAGGACACAGCCTGCACTCGTGGTCCACACCCTCCATGGGTTTGAAAATTGACGTATCCCTAAATCCAGTGATTAAGTTAATGTTCTTTCCCTATCATAGTTGCCATAAAGGGGGAACCCCGTTTTTGACAAATCCACATTGGCTGTATGTATAATATTGCCCATTTTATCCCCCTGAATCTCCTCACACTGTAAAACAGAAATATCCATTATTTCTGCCAGTTGGATGAGAAACGGTAGCTCAACGGCTGCAGTCTCCCAGGAAAAAGTTGCAGCTTGCGGAGGCAGAGGCCTTCCCATCCTGGTGGCTGGTTTCGACTCATCCTGGGCATACGCCCAAGTTTTGGCCGTCAAAGAATAGGAACACTATAATCATCAATAATCAATAGTGCATCAATGAAAAGTGGGGATATTTGTTGTTTAGACAAAACTACATGAAAATAAAGATGAACCCACACGAGGTTGAAAACAAGTGTGATTCCCCTCTTGCAACCCGGCAGCTGGGCATTTCATTACACAAACTTGATTTGAAACCATCCACCAGATGGTTGTTCCTGGATAAATTGTCATATCTAGTACTACACCATCCAATTTGTCATTGATTTTGAGCCACGCCGAGGGTTGTAGCCAGGAAATTAGCTTCAAATCTTGCAATTGAACAATAAACATTCAAGAACAAGACTAACAAATGTGTGTAGATAAATGGATGGATGGATATATATATATATAGACACAGATAGACAGGTAGACAGATAGATAGATAGACAGAGAGACAGAGAGACAAAGAGACAGAGAGACAGACAGATAGATTAGATTAGATTAGATTAGAAAGATTAGAGTAGATTAGGTTAGGATAGGTTAGATTAGATAGATAGATAGGTAGATAGATAGATGATAATGACAATGACAATGACAATGACAATGACATATATGTTTACACACCTATCTATATAGCCATAAACAATATGTGTTTGAAGCAAAACATAGGTCATGAACAGGAAGCAAAATTACCAGCTAGACACGTCATGCCCCCCTTTGATTCATCCATTGCTGTTTGGGGTGCTACATTGAGAATCTCCTTGAGGTTCAACAAGACAAAGATTGGTTTGGAGAAAAAAAACATATTGGAAACGTCTATATTTGGGTTATAGAAAGACGGTTTCTTGAAATTATTGTTTTCTTGATTGCTTATATATCTCAATCCATCTTTCCAATCCCGCTCCAGTGCAACCGTTTGGCCAGCCAGGAAGCTTCCAAGTTGCAAGAGATGGTGATTCAGAAGGACCGATCTCAGTCCTGGCCATGGAAGCCATGGAAATTGGGAAACCCTGGAAATTCCATGGGAAAGACATCCTGGTGAATGGATGGTGAGAATATTCTAGCCAGCTACTCTGCGGTGTATGCAGGGGTGAGGGTGAGTCCCAGTCTTTGTGGGTAAAATATCTTTCTTTTGATCGGTATATCATATATCCCGACTCTGAGTGGCTGTGGAAATTCAGATTTGTTGTGGCTAGGTCCCAGTTGTTCATAGCAAAATCCTTTCTTTTGTGGCGAATTCCAATGCTTTCCGGTCTGAAACGGGATACGCTAATACACTCCCGATCTATAGTTATTTTAATGCGGAAAATGATGTTTCAAACCACCAAACCACTGGATTTTGGTTTGTTCCCCTAGATTTCTCGAAAAAAACATCTTCAATTCCGATCTTTAATCCCAAGAATATCCTCATTATGCCACCGATGTTTGATTCCACTATTTCATGGTGATAACCAGGAAATCCCCATTACTGACTTTGCTCCTGGGTGAATTGTCCGGTTATCACTACAAACCTGGGTGCTAAACTGAGTCATTTGACTTTCGGGGACTCCTATAATGTTATAAGATGTTATAAGTTGGTCAAGAAACCCCATGAAGTAGATATATCTCCCATGAGCCATAGTTAGGCTAGTTATTGATAACCATCAACCGATTCTTAGACGTTACAGAGACCGAGAAAAGAGGACCAGGTGCTGTCGACGCTGGGCCAAAGCCTGGAGCAGTCACTTGGAGTCCTCTCAGTTCGCTGGGGAGGTGTGGATGGGACAAAGAATCAGCGAAAGTTTCGTTGACATCAGCAGCAGTGAAAAAGGTAGGAGTTTAACTTCATATTTGTTTGATTTTAGCATCAACATTCGGGATTTCATGAATCAACAAATGGGATGAAACCATGAACAATGGGCACTGTTCCAGCAAAGAAGCCGATTTTAACCAACAAACACTGGGATGTAATCAACAAAAACGGTGACTTCACCAACAGATAAGATGTTAACGAAGAACATATGGTGGTATAAAGCCAGGATCAGAAGGAATTTTGTTGGCATTTAGTGATTATTAGTGTTTATGAATGGAATGATTGTGGGATTGACGGAGTATAATCGAAAAAACATTGCGATTTATATAACCAATAAATTGGGGTTCAAGAAGGGTTTGTCCGAAAATGGCAGGTATAACAACCAACCATCATGAGGATAAACCAAGAGAACCAACAATGGGATATGGGTTTTTAGTCCACAACAGGATTTCATCCCGCAAATAGATACCAGTAGTACCGCACAAGGCGGTGGCGGAAGTTTCAAGGATAGGACACTATAGGAGAGGTGAGTTGTTGTGATGCATGGATGGCAGAGCGAATCCACTGATGGACCGAAAGGTGGTTGGAGTTGTGCTTTTTGGAGTGGTTGCAATGGTTGCAGTGGTCACCTCACTCACAACTCCTGCATGTAGTGTGGTGTAGTGCAGTAGTTGTAGTTATAGTTGTAGTTGTGGTTGTAGTGGGGTTGATGTTGTTGAAGTTGTAATGTTGTAGTTGCACTTGTGGTTGTAGTTGTAGTGTAGCTGAAATTGTAATTGTCTTAGTTGTAGTAATTGTAGTAGTTGCAATAGTTGTAGCTGTAGTTGTAACTGTAGTTGTAGTGTAGTTGTGTTTGAAGTGTAGGTGTAGTTGTGTTGCTGTGTGTAGTGTCGTGGTAATTTTTGTTGTAGTAGCGTAGCTGAAGTAGTTGTAGCGTAGCTAAAGTTGAAGTTGTAGTTGCAGCTGCAGTTGTAGTGTAGTTGTAGTTGTAGTTGTAGTAGTAGTAGTAGTAGTTGTTGTTGTTGTTGTAGTTGTAGTTGCATTTGTAGTTGTAGTGGCACTTGTAATTGTAGCTGTAGTAATTGTAGTTGAGTTTGTAGCTGTAGTTGAAGTGTAGTTGAAGTTGTAGTTGTGGTTGTAGCTGTAGTTCTTGTAGTTGAAGTGTAGTTGAAGTGTAGACGAAGTTGTAGCTGTAGTAGTAGTGTAAGTTTAGTTGAAGTTGGAGTTGTAGTGTGGTGTAGTGCAGTTGCAGTTGTCTATCTGTTTATCTACATATCTGTCTATCTATATATCTGTTTATCTATTTGTCTTTCTGTTTATCTATTTGTCTATCTATCTACCTGTATCTATCTATCTATCTGCAAGTTTGAAAACGAAGCTATTCTGCGAGACATCCTCATTTTTTCAAGTTGACCACATCAAAAACGAAGCAATTCTGTGAGACTTCCTCAATTTTCGAAATTCACAACATCAAAAACAAAGCAATTCTGGGAGACATCCTTCAAAAATGGAAAGTTGAGTGCAGAGCAGATGGCCTTGTGCCAATGCGTTTTGTGTTGTTTCCATTCCATCTGTTTAAAGTACTGCGGCTGCCACGAAAAAGTGATTCCAGGTCATACGAAGTGCTGCACCTGTCCCGCAAAATCATGCTAGCAAACCTGAAGATCTCATGCTCCAAAATGCAACCTCTCTCAGGAAATCAGGACCCGGACCTCCTAACATCTCTGATGAACATGTCTCTTGTACTGCGCCTGCCACGGAAAATGCATCTTTGCAGATCCTCTTCAAATGTCCCACGCCTGCCATCGTTTTTGGTCATGCTACAAAACCCTCACGTTTTCCTCATTTTTGACAAGGTGCACAATCCCTTGCGCCTGTCATGCGAAACCGCATCTGAACGTCCAAAAGTGGTCCGAACCCCTCGTGCTTTTAACATTTGACTACGAAATGTGCTTCTCGCCACAACAGCGTGCACTTTTTCGAGATCTTAACTTCGAAAAGCGGTCCGGAGCTGGTGTTTTTTTGCACATTCTGACTTGGAAATGTGCTTCGCGCCACAACGGCGTGCACTTTTTCGAGATCTTAACTTCCAAAAGCGGTCCGGAGCTGGTGTTTTTTTGTGCATTTTGACTTGGAAACGTGCTTCGGGCCACAACTGCGCGCAAATTTCATCTCTCTGACCACATGGCTCCGCACCCGCCGCTTTAAAGCGAGCCTACTTTTCGACCCTCCGGAGCCAGAAATCATTGGAAAAACGCAATGAATCGCGACTTAGCTACCTTTTCGCGCATCTGTGTCTTCTTTCTTTTGACACTTTCTCTTCTCTGATCTTCATTCTTCTTCTCTTCTCTGGCTCTTCCCACCTCTGCTTTTCCATCTGTCCATACTGTCGGAAGTTTGACTTCTAAACTTCCTTCGGTAAATATATATATATATATACGGATATACCATGATTTTTTGTATGCACCATTTTTCTAACCATAAATATTATATACCATAAATGTTTGCAAAACCCGTGGATTTGGAGAGTGCAGATGTTTAGGCAAACCCATGGAACTTATCTAAACATGGACCTAGTGGGGGTAGATTGGTTTGTCCAACATGTGGGATATAGACATATGTAGACAAAATTCTGGCAGCTCGTCAACAAACATGATTTTCTTGACCCTGAGATCTTGGCACACCCAAATTTCAAACGAACCCACATGGGATCTGAACAGTTACATATTTAGTTTCCTTTGGAAATGGCAAGTGCTTGAGTACCTTGATTTACTGGTTTGAACTATTTGTTCGGGTTGCGATAGTTTTAGATGGTGTTGAATGCTTGACCAATACGCATTATTGGCAGATCGAATGTTTTTTGGTTGACTCCTCTTTTACTCCAGGATGATGCGCACCATTTTCTCAAATAAGGATTTCATTGGTTTTGGTCTTTCAATGGGTTGTGATTCATTGTCATTCGCTAGAAAGATGCAAGGAAATTTTGCGGGGCTGTCTGGGGGGCTAAGGGGATGCTGAACAAGTCACACGTCCATGTCATTAGTTGAGTCATCCAAAACATGCAGGGGATGGTACAAACCTTGTGGTTGGAGAAATGGTTCCCTTTACCAGTTCTTGTGGAGGGTATGAGAGTGGATGTGTCTCCCAATTTTGTTGGATTTCCACTTGATGGCCCTAGGTACTAGTTAAGGGTGCTCATTTAAGTTCTGCAGTTTGAGGAATGAGTTGACACCTGAGAGTTGGGTGTTTATTCAGCTGGCGTCGAAACAAAATGTTTTCGGGTATCAATGGTTATTACTCAAGGTGTATTTGCCATCAGTGAATACATCATTCATAGAACTGGTCTATGGGAATATTTACTGAAACTCCTTCTATTTGGGAGTATATATTGCCAGATTTCCTGGCGTCCCGTACTTGCTCCAATAAATCAACCCCTTGGATGATGCCAGTTACCTCTGGCACCCAGGAAAAGTGTGCAACTGAAGGCAGTTGGGAAACAACTCGACAAGGTCGGTCTGCTGAAAGGGCCATGGTTTCTTCTTGGAGAGAACCAGCTCATGGATTTGACAATGAATAGTGAATAGAGTCTACTCAGTTGATTTTCTGAGTGTCTCTGAACGCTAATTCCCCAGCAAGCACTGATTCGCTTGTCAGCACATGGAGGACCCTTCTATTTAGCAACTGGTGAGCAGCCCTGGCCCTGGCCGGTATAAGTTCCCAAAGTGGGGTTGTCCCATTCTTTTCACTATGATTACTAATCCCTTCCCCTATCAGCTACCACCCAAATATAACCTGGATTCATGTGGGGTCACTTATTGGTGGCATTTTAGCAGTTGGGGGATGGAAATTAATGATGATTTATCATCCTTTTCAACTAGCATAGATCCTGCCAAATAGATCAACATAGGTGGTTAGCAGGATTTTTTTCTCTCAACAGCGGCACGGAATTCAGGGTCTATCTTACAATCTATGGGAAAATAACTTCCCTAGTAGGTGTTCCCATATAAAATCATTGGTTTCCCCTGACTTCCAAAAAGAAGATGGCCGGACCATGATTGATTAACCAACCAAAATATATCAAAATATATCAATGGATATATTTAGGTTTGTTAAAGAGCTACCCCTCGCCCCTGTCAGGTGCTTCGCAAGGCTCAGCGGACAGAGAAAGACCTGGCGACCGCGGAGGAGCTGACGAAGCAGAGCGCCTTGACCAGCTTCATCCTCTATGTGGCCTTGGTGGCCCGTTTCTTGGCACCAGGGTTGTCCAAAAATACCAAAGATGGGTTGGTCCAAAACCAGATTTGTGAGGGTACAAACCGCAACCGCTCTGTTGCAGCCAACCAGACCTTAAACCCGTGTGAAATGCAACTATTGATGGATACATAGATAAGATATACGTAGCATCCTTGTGTTTTTCTACGGCAGCACAGGATTAAAGATGTTAGGCAGTCACATGCGTGAATGACTGTTCAAAATGTGTATACATACATACATTATCATACATTGTATACATGAGCAGTGACCAAAACCGGCAATGATGGTTGTCTATTGAGTTGATACTATGATAAAAAGGGAACCTATACCAATATCACTGCAAGGGCCATGCAAGCCTCTCCAGATGAGCCAGTAGAATTTCAGAGGATAAACAAGGGTTCTGGGCACTTCTTTACTTCTCTAGTGTGACACCTTTCTGATCTGATTTTGTCTTTCTGTGTGATCTCAAATACGTATTGTTTATAGTTCCATTTTCTGTCTTACCGTCCTATGAGATGATCACCCCAAGTGGTAACGATGATGGGGTGAAACCGGTGAAACCATCCAACCACCGCTCGCGAGCAGGAAATCTCTACATCCACGGCCGCTGGGTCTATGAAGAGGAGCTACGACAAGGGCTGCAGCAGGGGCAAGAGGAGCAGCACCAGCTGGAAGCGATGAAAGCGGTGATGGGAGATGGTGCTGGGAGCGGTAAAAAAAAGGGAATGTGAACCAACAGACTAGTGACACAGTGACATACATGTTTGATAATGTTTGATCATTAATACTGTAGTGGGTACGAACTATATAGTGACTTATATCCGTAATGGATAATTTATCTACTTTGTGATTTTAAATACTAATAAATCAGTATTGATGGATAGAATTTGCAGACAACACTGGGAATTCCATTTAAAACGGAACAAGGTAAAGCCAAAGATGATGGCCTACAAGTATAACAATGATGCCACAAGAATGGAATAGGATGTCGTCTACCCTATAGCCTATTATATTTATACCATCTACAATCTGTAATGCCGACACAAACTGGGTACAACTAGAAACAAAAAAAGATATTCTCATTGCCAGCAACCAGGGCAAGAACCAGTAGAATGTCAGCAAGAATGACAACATTTGATCGATGGTGAAGCTTGCTTTTGTTCATCCAGAATTCCAGAATGAGGGATGTTGGGGCCCCATCTTATGGAGGTTAGTCCCTTGGTATTCCAAGAAAGATGGTCAATAAGTTGGTCAAACCCCATGCTTTGTAGTCAGATCCCAATGGTTTGAGTGAAATCCACCAGGTTGGACAGTGAAATCGCAATTGTTGATAGTCAAATCGCATTTTCGTGAGTTAAATCAAATTGTTAATGTTCAAATCAACATGTTAGAACATGTTAGATGCTTCAATCAGAACTGTTTGATGATTTTTGATGTTTAGATCCACCATTTTTGAAGGTATCCATTGGAATGATTTGGAATGTGGGTCACTTCAACGTCAGGAGCTCTTGTCCGTCCGTGCCTCCTCGCCGCTTGGCCTGGTGAAGTGGTTGTGGTTCGGTAGCACCGGTGAAGTGAAATGGGTGTGTCTGAACCATAAGAAACCATGGGAGTTTGAGGTACCCTTATTTTTGACAACGCCGAAATACTCCCATCCCAGAAATATGAAACACTTAAACACCCTAAATGGACGCAAATATGTGAGAGCCACTTGCAAAACCATTGTTTCTGGAGGTTGTTCAATGTTTCGGGAAAGGGATTATTCCCATGGGAGGAATCATTGCTGACCTGGAAATTCTTGGACATCCTATATATTAAATGGGAAAGTTGCCTGATACATGTGGCAGGGTAACAAATTGGAGAGACATGGGAACATCCGGCAAGAATATTAACATACATATTAGGATATATTCGGGACAACCACTATGGGAGATGGAAATTAAGCCTGTGAACTTGTGAAAAGCTACAGCTTCAAGGGGATTTGATCTTCAAGCCATGGGATCTAGCATGTTCACTCCATCCACCGTTGCAGGCTTGGCACTGGAACCATCATATGTAAGTTCAAAAATGTGCTGTCAAAGATTTTATATAGTTGTTTGTTCCAGTCAGATTTCTCTCTACCATGAAACTATATCATGGAAGCTGATATCCCTTTCCCGAATGTTATGTGTGTTGATTGCATCCCCCGTTTCTGTTGATCGTCAATCTTCGCCATGACCCTGTACATCCCTGAGTTTCTTTGCTCTCCAATATCCACTTAGGTGTTTCTTGAAATGGGGGATCCCCAAAACTGGTTTCAGTACTAAAATGTTCTAATCTTGCATGATTTGTGGCTACCCGGCTACCCCCATGACTTAGGAAACCCCCATGTGTTGGCCATGGCTGTTGCATCCTTGCCTCAAAGTTCCACGGAGATCTCGCAGATCCGGAGGCGAATGGAACGGGAAGCCTTGGTGCACGAGGCGAAGACGCATCAAGCGAAGCAAAAGGAGAGGATTGCACTGCTCCAGGCTGGGAGTTGATGAGTTTCTGTCAGTTTCCGTATGGGACACAATTGGAGATTTCCCCAACATAAGGGTACCCCAAATCATCCATGTTAAGAGGATTTTGGATTGGCTGAATCTTGTGTAAGAACGCAAGTTGACTGGTCCTTTGTGGTAGTGAATATGCCCTGGGTACACCATGTTGGCGCATACAAAGGTAGCTGGGAAATCTTCTGCAAGAATACTGGAGTGTTGATATATGTTGAGTGGCATTGTGCAGAGAGGGAAATCAAAAGAAGGGCATCACGTACATTTCACGCACATCAAATCCACGGTAAACACGACACGCTCCAGCCAACCAAACATCTTATATGCTTGTACTCGTAGCAGTTCGCGCACGCAAAGAATAAGCATCGATAGTTTTTTTTTGTTTACTTGTTGCGCCTGCTACAAGACATTCCTTTTTTTTCGAGAATTTTGTCCCTATCCTCTAATCTAAATAAGGCACATACAGAAACATATATTGGTATGTCCCACCAACTACTGAAATGTATATAGACATAGATATACGTATTTTCAACAATGTTTCGACATGTTTTGACAAGTCTATAGAAACGGTCACAAAGTTCTTGAGACCCAAATGATGTTTTAAATCATAGTGTGGGACCAATCCATTCTCACACAACCTCCACAAAGACTAAGACTTTGTGTGCTGTTTCATCTTTTCTCGTTTCCATTCCTACAGATGGAATGGTGGTCGGGAATGGCTATATGAATGACTCATACTGTAGAAGGTTAAGGGAAGCGACGCAACGCAATCCCACACTATATATAGATTGAGCATTATCGATCCAAGACATGTACTGTACGGCTTGATTTTGTTTGCCACACACTTTTTGCGGGGAAATCACCCAGGAACACCGACGTACTCTGTATTGATTTATATTCATAATATGATGATAAACAGGCTATCATCTTTACATACAAACATGCATGCATACATACATACATACATACCTACACACCTACATACCTACATACATACATGCATGCATACATACCATAACTTAACACAACTTAAGATAACATAGCATAACATAGCATAACATAACATAAACTTACATTATATATATATACTACAATAATATACATATAATATCCATATAAAACAATAACATAATAATAGTGACTTGCTAGTGTGAAATCACCACTCTTTGGTGTTTCCCTGACCCCCTTGCAGGCCAAGACGTGCGAACTGAAAGATCAAGTGGCGAAGGCTCAACAGCAGAAGGATGCAGTGCACCTGTGCTTGCTGGGTCAACAAACTGGGTGGATTGTGCAAAGCTTCAAAAGGATGCCGAAATGTTTCTCCAGGATGGTAGCTCGATGATTCTTCCCTCATATTTTTAAGGTTTCACTCTGTTCAACCACTTTTTGGGGATTTTGGGGCTTGCTGTACTTCGGTATATGTTTTTGCGAGAAATGGTGCCGTGGAGGAAGGTCAGTCAGACTGGCAACTGTCCACCAATATCCGCCAATCATGTGTACGATAGATGGGGATATAACTGCGTTTTGCCCAATTCCAAGTCCCACTTCCTACACTTTTCTTCCACCATGTTCCACTGTGATTTTTCGAATCTGCTCTCTTGCTACCCTCTGGTAATTTATATAACATATCTATGGAAAGTGGCCCATGCACATGTGACTTCCCTCCTGAAATGGGTGATTTGCCATAGATATGTTAGCGAAGCTGTGCGGAGTGAGGTCTCCGTGGGTCCTAAAAATTACCATTTGGTAGTCAAACATGGCCAAATGCTCGCTAAAAGTCAATAGGGATTTCCCAGCCAGCCATGTCTGATGACACCGGAGGGGAATCAATCTATTGTTGGTATTTGCATGTATTTGTGGATGATATCTCCCAGATCCCCAAATATCATCAAATATCCCCAGTCATACATATATCTATATGAGAGGGGTGTTTTTGTTCGTCATGTATTGACTAGTTTAATGTGGCTTGTCACCCGGGTGTGTCGCCAGGGATGCGTCAGCTCAGGCAGCACGAAGCCATGGAGTTGACGGCTCGCTGCTCGAAGTTGGAAGGTGACGTGCCAAAGCCTCAGATGGACAGATGGAGGGATCCATGAGGATGGACAGATTTCCCAGATTTTTAACAGAGGGTAACTGTTTACTAGGTTCGCTACCCAGTTTAGGATGTGTAAAAACTGAGTAAATTTGGGGTACTCTCTGGTAAATTAACAGCTAGACCTGAAAATGACACATGTTGTTTAGTGGAAACATGTGGAAACTCAATTTCCAACCCCTATCTGGCAGGGGTCTATGTTAATTCACTGGAGGGTAAGACTAAGAATCTTGATGGGTAAGGATTTCCTATAACCAAGCTGTTGTTTCACGCTATGGGTAGGGACGTGCTATTTATCTTCCCTCATCTATCAGGTGGTTGGTGAAGGGTTGATATTTGAATTTTACTCATAATATAGATGAAGGACAATAAATAGTCTTAAGTTAGAATTAGATCCTTTTTGCTGGGTTTCTGAGTTAAATGATCAACATGTTAAGACCTGGAGACCTACAAATGGACTGAGTATGTTCTGGTTGTAATAAACCATCCGGCTTCATATATGCATCCCCTGACTTCATCTATCCAAGTGACACATACAAAAATGACACAGTACGTACAACATTCACAGTATCCATTTGACCCATGTTGGTCGATGAATGTCGATGATTTAGCGTTGGCTTGCCATGCCCAGGCACCATGTGCATTTAGATCACTGAAAAGGTGCTGAAAAATAGCAGATGTTTTGGTAGCATCAGACACTCATATTATTTTTCTTGGTGCCGAGCAATCCTAAAGCCTTTCCCGATGTTTACAGCTGGAAGAGCAAAACCGAACCACACTGCGGAGGATTATTTGACAGCACCCACCACCACCCACCACCACCACCACCACCACCACCACCACCACCACCAATCTAAATTGCTTGTACATTTGCAGGCATTTGTTTGGCTCCACGTTGCATGTCTGTTAGGTCATGATCCATGCTCCATGAAAACTATCAATCGAATGCCGCAAGGTCTTGCTACACAGCTCGGTATGCTGCAATCGAATTCAAATTGCATGCAGCGCAAAGCGACGCCCTCCAAAACGCCGAGGCGTGGGACCGAGGGACTCGCCGTTCTGTGGTGGTAAACCTGGTAAACCCAATGCCATGCAACTTTTGCCATCCCCCAATTTTATTAGAAATGGATGGTAAAGACCATGCAACACTGGAGGTTTATCAAATACTTGGCTTTACTGTACCACATTATTCAGGACAATAGTGCGGTTCTTTGACCATACGTTTAAATTTGATCAGATGTACCTGCTCCACGTTTCACGGTCAACGGACTCCCCCTGAATGGACCTTAACTTGGTCTTGGTACTGGCCCAAAGAGGTCCTTGAAGGTATGTGGGATCTATCTATGTATAATTTGTTTTTTTTTACACCGATGTGTATATGTATATTTATATAATTACATGTGTATTCTTAATTTATTATACGGACATATGTGGTTACATATGTTTACATTTATTACTGTAACAATATATATATATACATACATATGTATGTCTTCATGTGCATGTACACTTGTGTCAAATGTTTGGCATTTGTTGTTACTGTATGTTCAGTTTGTTTCACGGATGTCCAACACAAGACCTTGCGTTTCTGAATTGACTTGACACCCATTCAAGTATTATGTCCGGAATTGTTTCCTGAGTCAGTGAATAGATGACTTTCTGATAGGGAGTGAGGTAAACAAACTGGAATTGTGATTTTTAATTGTCCTAGCTAAGAAAACATAGCTCAACAATGACGGACATATCCAGAGCGTCACTGAAGCATTTCCTGTCCAAGGCTGCAGAGTTGGAACGCCAGAAGCTGCAAGAAGATCTAAGCCACTGGGTCTCAAATAGACCTGGGAATCTAACGTAACCGTGGCCCACTTACAGCTCCGGTAATTAGATATGGCGATTTGCCATAGCTATATGTCAAACAACCAGAGGGTACATGTCATGTCGAGTCATGTCCTTGTCTTTACTGTATTATACTGCATCGAACTATAGCTGGGCCAATGGCTTCCAGTTCGCAAAGTGTTACATCAGAGGGTATCCATATACCCACTATACACCCACTATATATCCATTCAGTGTGGCGCCCCCTAGATAGCTCAGTTGGTTTATAACTCCAATAACTATGGTGTATGATACTTACAGCTGTAGTCAATGCAAGTCAATGGATGTTAATGGGGTTTATAAACCAACTTATAACTGGGGTGCCCCACATTGTTGGTATCCATAGCATAACCAGCGGGCACAATCCATCGATTTTTCGACGATGGAGTCGATGGAGCCCTGCTGGCGAGGTGACTACCAGGGAAAGACTCGCATGTTGCGGCAGGATTTGGAGAAGGTGGAAACCCATGGGAAAGCTATGGGAAAATGGAGAGTGAACTAACAAAGAGTGGGTTTGAACCAGCAGAAAACGGGGCTTTAACTCGCAAAATTGAAACTTGAAACCATGCAATAAGTTTAGACACATGGGGCGATTTCACTGGCAAAAGATGATCAAACATGTGGAATTTTCGCAGCAAAGGATTATGTTTTGACCAACAAGCATGGGGATGAAACCAGCCCAAACTGTGAACAAAGATGTTATACAACCAAATTGTCCTTTTGCCAACAAAGATTGATGAATTACCAAGAACACACGAGGAAATTAAGCAGCGAGTTCGGGGTTTCAGCATCAGCATTCTGATTTAGCCATCAATATATAATCACTGAATCCTTGGGGACTTATGATAAATTATGGATTCATGCATGACAGGAATCCCGCTCTAGACCGTCCAACCTACCCGTTGCAACAGGTATTCAACATGATTTAACCACTGGTCTATACCCTATATATAACTGGCTTATAATATGCTTATTAATAATCAAGTAGAGGTTTTACAGTCTCAATTGTCCCTTTAACCAATTCTGGGATCAGTCTGTATTATCCTGGCCTGGGTAGGCGGAGCTACGATTGCAAGAGGCTGAGCAGCACGCCGCCCTTGCAGCAAGCGAACATCGGAATTTGAACCAAGAACTGCATCTAATCAGCAAGACATGAGATGTTCTACCAGCAAAAAGTGGGATTTGACCAGCATAGCGTGGGATTTCACAAGCAAAAAAACATGGATTTAATTAGCCGAACAGCAGATCTAATTAGCAAAAATGTGGATTGAATCGGCTAAAATATGCTGAACTAAGGCATGATGCCAAGAGCAAAGAGTCCATTTTGGAGACGGCATTGACCAGTCAGCGAGCCGAAAATCTCGCACTACAGCAAGATTTGGAACAGGCTGGAGATGGGGAAGATGGGACAAGGCCCCTGGATATCTGGCGTGGGAATGATGGTTTGTGCAAATGTGAGGTCCTAGAGAATGCAAAGTTTGGTTACTATTGTAGTATATAAACGATCCCATAGTAGCCAACTTGTTGCCTAAGTAAGTCTACGCCCCCAAAAATACCCGCCAGGGTCCCTAGGGTTTCCTTTTGGGTTTTGTTGATGATAGAACCACTGGTTGACACAACGTTGTTGGACACCTGGGTTTTGGTTCCTGCGCACATGCCCTATTCATTCCTATGCTATCTACTGGGTACTGGTAGATTTTTCAGCGGATGACCTTTCAATGATCCTTAAAAGAATTGGGTCTCAAAGCCAGGTTTTCTCGTCCAACAAGAAAAGATGGCATGGGATTATCCAAAATGGAGCCATACATGGACATCTGAGGAATTATATACTTGGATCCAAAGCTTTCTGGTTATATCAGCAGGCGGAATCAAATATCTTTGGTAGCAAGATGTTGTGATGGTCAAAGGATGTCAAAAGACTCATGTATTTTTCCTTGATCTAGCGATAGTCTACATATATTTAAAGAAATCCACATAAAGTGTATAACTTTCATATTTCGCAACCAACTCGCGTAAACATGTCTATAGTCTATAGAGTCTAGAACCATTTTTTTGCTGGGTTTCCTCAGGCTGAAGCTCGATCTGTGGAGCTTCAGAGCGATTTGATGAGAAGCGCCGGGGAGGTTCAACAAGCGAAGCAGGAAGTTTGGGGTGTCGCTCTCTCTTCCGAAGCTGTACAGGTAGCGAAGTATCATTGGAAACGTATGGATATGTGTTTTGTTGTTTCTTTCTCAACATCAGTGGGTGTGCCGCTTCTCAGCTGTAAAGGGGCTGTTGTCGATGATCCCTTATGATCCCTTGGGTTGATGGATGTTGGTTACTAGTTACTGGTTGGGTGTTGCCCTCGACAATCCTTGATGGGACGTATCACAATAATGAAGATCGGCAGGGTCATTCAGCGACTTCTTGAGCTGATCCCTGCATGGTCTATCAGGCTGTGTGTTTCACAATGTCTGACTGCGTATTGGATCCCATGGTTTTTGCTCAGTAACTGGGGGATCCAAAATCCTCCAGCATCCCCAGTTTGTGGTCTATTCAGTCTATTCTTGGGTATTCCCCGATTCGAGATGATTCACGATAGTATGTTCCTTGGTATTGTCTGTTCCCAAGCTCATGGCTTGTTCCATGAAGATCTCACATTACATCCACCTCTGTGGATCCAATCCTGGCAGGAGTTCTCCCAGCAGCAAGCCGAACATCTCGCACTTCAGCACGACCTGACTCAGGCGGCACTGTAAGCTGCCATGGATCTCCCAGGATTCATTGGGTTTTATTATGGAAGATAAAGATCCACAAAATTCAGCTGGCCATGAAGCAAATGCAAACTTGAAAATATTGTTTCAGTTTGTTGCCCAGCATCATGGAACCATTTTGGAAAGCTAACATGGCAATGGAATGGCATGTTTGTCGGGCCCCATAAAGTGGTTTGAATCGACACAAAGTCATGGGGAAGCCATGTTTGGACACCCAACTGTGACCCAGAGTCACAACTTAGTGGCAAATCTACAGAACCACTAACCACCATCCTTCATCCTTCATCGATTTTTGGATGATAAACAATGATAGTGCATATACACATTTTATATATATATATATATGTATATCACCCAGTTTGTTTTCTTGGATAACATTCCCTTTAGTGTTTTTCTTTCCTTTGGATAAATGGCCCAGTTTTGGGCACAAACCCATACCATTGGGGTAAACCCAGGCTGAAGCGCAGCTGCGAGCTGCTGAAGGACTGCTGGCGAAGAGCGATCTCGAGTGCTACGGGTTGAAAGACGACATACGCTCCGTGGCTCGAGGTGATGAGCTTGGGTCAACGCATAAAATGTGGCGCCAGCTTCATGTCCATGTTGGTGTTCATTAATTTCCGTGTCATTTTTTCGAAATTGGATATTATAAAGAACACGCAGTTTGGCGGTCATTTTGTCGGTTTGAGTTGGGGTCAAGCCATTGCCGAACTTGGTGTAAAATCTTCAGGACGGATCAGCTGTGGGTCATTGCGGGAATGTGTTCAGGCTCCGTTCAAGTATTGCAATATAGGTTCTGCAAAATTCTTGACCCAAATTTAGCATCTTTACCCAGTGGCACCTGATTGACCTGCGTAATTACAGTTGTCGCAGATGAGTCTTGCTAGATAATGGGGATCAAACTGTTTCCAGGTGGCACATGTCATTTTGATATTATTTATATTATATAGGAAGGACATCAACAGAGTGTAGCTCCATGAGGGTTTGGCTATATCAAGGCCACCATCGAAGTCCCAAATACGCCAGTTCTATGAGATTCGACCTCTAGAGGATTTGCACATGTCAGCTGCACCTCATTCATCCTCATTCTGTTCTTTGGGTTTTACGGTTTATAGATCATCAAACCTAAAAACAACTATAAAACCCTAAGAACAGATTGTTTCCATATAATCTATATTATATCATTCATATACAATTTGGTTTGTTCCTTTATTACCTTATTAACATCGTTTTAAGTATGATGTTTTAGAAAAGAAACTGTCGATGATGTCATGAGCTGTTTGTTGGGCGATTTAGCCACCAACCAGGTTCAGTTTTGGTGGTTGATAGTCCCATACAGTCCCATTTTGGTGGCCTTATGACCGAATTATGTCTTTGTTGTTCTTTATTCCACAAAGTATATTGCAATTCCTCTCAGAATTGTGTTTTCCTGTGGTCATTTGTTTGAGAACATCCACCAGTTCTGATATTGCCAGTCTTTGGAGCTCCTTCCAATATATAAGGCTATTTGCAGCAGAACCTGAAGCAGGCTGGAAAAGCTTGAATGCTGCAGTTTGAGCTGGGTATCAGGCAAACATTGATTCTTTAGGTAGCAGTTGACCAACGAAGATATGATTTTGCCGATGTTGCCTGTACAATGATATGGGCACATGATAAATCGTAGAGATTGACTATTGGAATATCATGGAAAAAAGGGCAAAGACCCCAGATCTTAAGGGTTCTCAAGGGATCCCAAGGGATCCGCAGCGGAGGTGAAGGATATGAACTCCAGGTCTCTCGGCCGTTGCCATGTCGTGGTTGGAATGGGTAAGGACAAACATCACATTACGACCGCAATATTGGAGAACCATTATATATATATTATATATATATATATACACAATCTTAGTTGAGGTAGATTACGGCGCTTTATTCCCATGATGTTAGGAATTCAAAGCATTTCATTCACCCAAGCCGTTTGAGGAATGTTAGTGTGCTTCATGGTCTATGTTAGCAGGGTTCCCCTAATGTTCGGGGGGGCCAACATTTCATGAGAAACCTATAGGCTATGACAAAAGCGGCTATGTTGGTTCCATGATATTTTGTGTTTGGAGTCCCACTGGAGGGGTGACTAGGCCAATGTAGATGCCAACCATCAATCCCTGGTTTTGGAATCGCGAAACTCCCCGGTTTCCAATCGAAGAGTGACGAGCCAATCTGCCGGCGGGGTAGTTCGGAGAGCATTGACGTGCCAATTTCAAAAAAAAAGCGAGAATGGCTGTGAGACGGCTATGATGGCTATATATCTGGTCAGTGACAGCCTTGTACCCCACTGAACTTTGATTTTGCATGATTTTGCTCGATGTAATTAAAATCTGTTGCTTGTGCCACCCCCCAAGGAAGAGTTTCATCATCAACAATAGGTCGGTCATTCTAGCATGTTGAGGCTGGCCAAAAAGATCCAAAACGTTAGTTTGGTTTCATGTTTGTTGGCCTTGGATGCTCATACTATACTATATCACACTATAATACTGTCATATATATTGTTATATATTTTTGTAGACCATTCAATTTGGCTCCATTTCCTCATTGTTGTACATCCATGTGTATCCTATATGTGTTCTGTTTTCACATGGTTTTGGCTGGTGACACGACATCGTGGCTCCTGTGCTGAGTCTGAAGATGAGCGTGGAGACGCTTCAGAAGCAGAAAACGATGATCGAAGAGGTGACCTCACCTTTCATGGAGATGGTCAATCAAGGGGAAGACCCACGGAAAACCAATTCCTTTTTAAAGTGGGGCGGGGGTTGGGATTATAAGGACCATCTTTGCTTTGAGCCTGATGCATCGTTCGGCAGAAGCTCGCAGCTTTTGTTTTAATGTGTTCCCTCGATTTTACTTGATCATAAGATTTCATAAGAATGAGAAAACGGATGCTTTGAGCGCCTGGTTGATGTCTGGGCCCATCATCATTGGTAGCTGATAGATGTTTATGGTTTCATGCATGGAATCTATGTACTCGTCCTGATTCTTAACAGGAACTCCAAAAGACATCCCAAGTGCTTCACGAGAAGATGGAAGCATTGGAGGCGCGATTCTCCGCCGGCGATCTGGGTGTTTTTTTGGGCCTTCCATTTTGTGGTGCGAAGCAAGCTATGTTCCGTTCAGAAGTAGAAACAACGATGTAAAACAACGTTATTGTTAGATATTGTTCGTATGGGTGATTCAAGATTCAAAGCAGTCGCATAAGCAAGAGTATGGAGGCTTTGAAACCGCCAGGCCCTCATATTTACAGTACACTTGTGTTAACTTTCAGTTGGTCAATGCTGATCGATTGTATCTTTCCCAGTCTTTCCCCTTCTCAAAATATAATATCTGAATCTTCAGATATATATATATATAATCCCTTTCCTTTAGTATTAGACACCCCCCTGAAACCCCGGTTTAGTACTGCCTCTATCATCCTCTATCTTCATTTTGGGAAGATGATCCCCAATGAGACTGGGGTCGCTGTTGGGGGATGGGTGGCTTTACCAAAAAAAGCATCAACCCAGTGAAGACGGTTCACAAAGTCATGGCAGTTTGGAAAGTGGCTTAAGAATGGCTAAGAATGGCTCAGATGAATGCAAACAAATCTGGCAAAGCCTGCAAATATGAAATCTGGGAGGTACCATTGAGAATTGCATTATATTACAATTATCAATTTTCACAATATGGAGATCCCCCATGATCCTTCTAGTAGTGCAGTGGGGTTCATTTATCTTGGATCACAATTCTACGCTTATCTACTTTGCCATATCTTGCCCAATAAACACTACAGTACAACAGTACAACTTGTGTAGTTAATGACCTCCAAGTTATTAAGTTCACCCAATTTCTACACCCAAGAATAAAGACTCCCACTGGAGGGTAAAACTACGCCTGTGAGGCTGAGAGGATGAAGCTGTCAGCTGTGACATGGTGGCAGGGCTATGCGGCCATGGCATCCCGGGAAGATAGTGGGTTTAAACAGAAAAACTTGGGATTTAAAATGGTTCAACCATCCTGAATGGAGGTGATATAGTAGTTTTGGAACCAAGTATATATGTTACATCCATGTTTTCGTAGTTATGTACCCCCACCATTTTTACAGTTGATCCATGGTTCCTGATCCATGGTTCCAGCCAAATCAACCTGTTCCACATACAGTCACTTTTCCGGATAAATCCAGAGTGTTTATTCATGAAGACCCAAAAAGATATGTGGAACAGGATTCGAAAAGATATTGTTCCAGATGTTCCAGATAAAATTCCATTCAAAGTCCCATTACATATCAGCATAAATCCCATACAATCCCATACAGTTCGACAAAAATCGCATAGAGTCCGACCAGAATACCATAAAGTCCGACTAAAATCCCATAACAGTCCCATAAAAAACCATTATCATGTCTTCCCATTTTTCCATGGTTAAAATCCCCATGCCCAAGGAGCAGTCCGCCAGCGCCCAGCTGCAGCGTTCCCTGCGCCGGGAGCAGCGCAGAGGCCGAACCGCGCAGGCGCTGCAGGCGGCGTTGCGGCAGCGCCTGGAGGTGCACAGCGGGGGATGGAGGGATGGATGGAGATTGATGTGGGATGGGGTATAGGATGGTATAGGTATTAGTATTTGTGTGAATCCCAATATTAATCCATAAATCCATATTATCATAGTATAGGGTATTAGATCTGAATATACTAATTATCTAGTGTTAGGTATTAGTATAGGGTATGAATTGATATCCTAACAATATTCGTATATTGTCGGTATTGATATCCAAGCAAACCATGTGATGGGGACCACAAGATAGCGTTCAGTTGAGATATGTTGAGATATAAGTGGACATACTATGGTTTATGGTAGATATAACGAACTAGTATTCATGTTTTTTCAACGAACTTATAACTGGGCACCATCCTGTATGGTTGATATTAGTATTAGTTATTAGTATAGATGTATAGGGTATTGAAATCCAACCAATATTAGTCTATTGTCAATACAACTAGTGGTTAATAGTGGTTGGTAGTTGTTCATTATTTAATGTAAATATGTTAATATCACCTGATGTTATCGCTATTATTAATAGTATGGTTAATATGGGCATGGTTTATACCACCAAACTAAATATGTTTAGTATTGGGTACCAAATTCGTACAGGTTTTGTACCAACCAAATCTAAATATGGTATTAGGCACCTCAATTACTAGTGCAAGGTGTTGGTTATTATTAGACGATTATTCAATGTTAGTACTATCAGAATTAGGTACCCCAATAGCATCCATGACAGTCGCATCGACAGTTAGGGTGAAGTAATTTGAGTTGTGTTTGTTGGGGCCTTTAGGCTCAAAAGCTGGAATGCAAGTTAGGTGCAACAAGTGTAAGGTTGGACTACCTGCTGAAGGTGATTCTTGGTGCACCGGCTGCAGCGCCTTAGAACTCGCGCAATCTCTCCTCGGGCAACGCTGGCAATCGCCGGGCGTCCGAAAGATTGCTGAGGAGGCGTTAATCACCTCAGCGAGGTTAGTCCGGGCCTTCTCTCAGTTGGATCGGACACTGCCTGTGGCGGCCGCTGGCTCTAGAGCCGAGTCGGCCAGGCCAAACCTTCCGACTCCACCACCGGCACCTCCTCGACCGGTCCGAGATCGCGTACGCGACCGGAGCCGAGATCGAAGAAGGAGGAGATCAAGGAGCAGAGGGGCCGACGAACGATCACCTTTGAGGCGACGCGAGACTTCACAAGCCTTGCAACCAAAGCGACGGGCAACCCCTCATCCACCTGAAGAGGAAGAGTTTTCTTTTGAAGAGGAGAGCGAGGAAGAGGAAGAAGGACCTGACGATACGGCAGTCCGAGATCCACCAACTGAGGTCAAGACTGAGAGAGGCCACGAACCTCCACCTGAGCCAAAGGATCCACCACGACGCAAGCGTGGACACAAGAAGAAGAGGAAGACACGAGGAGGAAAGAAACATCAACGGCATTACAGAGAGCAGACCAATCCATTGAAGAGGAGCCACAGGAAGTTGAGAGGAGCGGACCTGGAGCTTTCACGCTCTGCTCGGGACGCTCTAGAGAGGAGGATTTGAGGGCATCTGCCCTGAAGGAGAGGCGCAATGGCCTTTCCACCAGAAATGCCCCGAGGGGCGATAGATTGGGGTGGAACGCCGGTCGCTACTCCAGGCGAGATTGGAGAAAGCTTGACAGCCCAACAGAAGCCTACGATTGCCCAGGCGTACGACCTTGTCGAAGCCGACTTTTGGCGCCACAGGCACCTTCCAGCTGGATCGGTACTCACTTTTGCCGCTGGGTTCATAGAAGAATCCGCTGCGGGAGAGTGCGCCGTGCTGGTGAAGGAGAAGGAGATGCATGGAGACTCCATCTGGCTGAAAGTGCGTTGTCTGGGGACCGAAGAAAAAGATTTTCATGCAACGTTTATTCAGTTTTTCAAAAGAGGGAAGACCCAGATTCATCTCTGCTACGGCCCTGCCACAGACTGCCAAGAGTACGCCGACGAGGGTTGCCACATAGACAAGTTTGTGTGGTTTCCTCCAGGCGACTTCAACGCGCCATGGCTCAGCAGTGCAGCCAAGAAGGCAGTGAAAGAAGGTGCAAAGATGGCCGAAGAAGAGGTGAAGGCCGCTGGGGGCGGGGCGCCTCCGCGATCGGCTTTCACGAAGATGGAGGATCGATTGAGACGGCTGAAAGAGAGCCATCATGTCACCTTCGATGGGGACGTGGCGCGAAACAGTGGTCGCATGGCCGATGGCGAGCCGGAGACACACCGGGGTGGTGCTGGGCGTGGTCGTCGCCCTTGCACCTCCGGACAAAAAGCTTTGACGGACGGCAAGGTGAAGCAGGAGACAATCGCCATCGACTCGGATTCAGACAGGCCGCAGAAAAAGAAGAGGTCATCCAGTTCGAGGAATGTGGAAGACCGTCTGGCTCGGGCAGTTACAGAGAGGCTTCACCAGGGCGAAAAGAAGGAGAGAAAGAGGAGCCGCAGCAGATCACGCAGGAAGCGTTCCAGAGGACGGAGACGGAAGAGGCGACGGTCAAGCTCCCGGTCGGATTCGAGGGAGAGCAGATCAGGGAAGTCGGAGAGCTCGTCAGAGAGCCTGATACCACCCTTGAAGAAAAAGGCCCAGAAAGATCCGGGGTCTGTCTTCCGGCTATTGGAGCAACAAGCGATGGAACAGTTGGCACGAGATGGTGTGATGGAGGAGGACTACATGACCGAGTCGCGAGAGGGGCGGCGTCCGAAGATCTTCACCTTCTTCCAGCTGGCGTTGAAGCCGGGGCTGGACACCAAGTCGAGGGACTGCAGAGAGATCAGTCTCTTGGCGCGGTGCTTAGACATGCTAAGAGAAGGCCGCTTGGCCAATTTGGCCGACACGTTGGCCGCAAGGCTGCTGGCGGTGGAAACAGCCACAAGGCAAGGATGGGCCACTGCGAGACACCTAGAGGTGTTTGGCCCAGAGGAGGAGGGGCCGGTCCCGCCTCATATCCTCTTGTCGGCCCAACGCCACCAGAGGCAGGTGGAGAAAGCCGGAGGAAAAGGCAGTTGGCCAAAAAGCGGCCAATGGAACTGGGGCGAGTGGCAAGCCGACAGCCGTCCCAAGGGCAAGGCCAAAGGCGACAAAGGAAAAGGCAAACGAGGCAAAGGAAAGAACAAGGCGAAGGGCAAAGGAGATGCGGCCGCGGAGACAGAGAACAAAGCAAAAGGAGGAGAAGCTTGAATTCAGGCAATCAAACTGCTGAGGGTAGCCTGCCCGGTGACACGACCTTTGAAAGTCAAGTGCCACCCGTGGCGGAAGCGGCGCTGGTAAGTGTGCCGATGCGCCCAAGCAGCCTTTTGGAAGTGGAAGCCGCTGGACCGGGCTCTGGCGAGGTTGCGGCTGCCGCTGGCCTTCGTTGCCCTGCGGTGCCGACCTCAAAGGAAGCATGGTTCGCGCGGCTAACACAATGCAAGTGCTTGTCGGAAATCGGCATGGCACTGGCATGGGGGTTGAATGCAGGTTTTATACCCCTTACAGTGGGGTGTGCCAGGCCTACACGGCCGGCTGGCTCGAGGAATCGGACCAGCGGGCTGTTTCCCCTGCCGGTGGAAATGCCTGATGAAATTGTAGGCAAGGGTGACCTGTCGTTTTTAGACCATGGAAACCCTTCTTTTTCCCCGCTAGCTGTGAAATGCTGGCGTGCGGTGTCCAATGCAGCCCTGAATGCATACTATGGATGCCCTTTCACGCTGACTGGCGTCCGGGCCGGAAAAGTGCACGCGGCTGCTAGCAGGAACATGTATCAGAAACTTGAGAGGTTTCTCAAACATGATAGGGACTTTGGGGTTTGTTTTGATGATGTTAAGAAGGAGGTGAAAGAGAAAAAGGTTAGTTACACAGGTGAAGAAGTTTCCCAACCCCTTCCCCTTAGTGTAAACCAAATTGTTGGGGGTCTGCCGCCTCGAGGTCATGGCGCTTCCGTGCCTGTGGAACCCTTCGTGGTGGGCCGCACCAAGTTCCTGCTGGAGCACCCGCTGGAGTGCCTGCGGGATAGCTCCGAGCGGGCTGATACTCCCTGTCAGGCCCGGGTTCACATCAAGGCTGGGGAGTCCCTGGCCGTTTTCAAACTGCTGGAAGATAGAGGGATTGTTGAATGGGTTCCCGCAAGTACTGCCTTTAGTGATGATCGGGGTACCTATCTTAACGGCTTGTTTGGAGTTGTGAAACAGCGTCGGTTTACGGCCGAAGGAGAACCTGTCCTTCGAGTTATCATGAACCTGATACCGGTTAACGGTATCCTCGAAGTTATTCGAGGTGATATCAGTTACCTTCCATCACCTACTGCCTGGATCCCTATCTGTGCGGAAGACGGGGAGTACTTCACAATGTCACAGGGTGATATGCAAAGTGCTTTCTATCTATTTCGAATGCCGCCAGGCTGGGAACGATTCTTCTGTTTTAATTTTTGCGCTTCAGGAGAACAGGTGAATAAAACACCAGGGCATCTCTTCAGGCCAGTTTGCCGGGTATTACCCATGGGATGGTCGTCCTCGGTTGGGATCATGCAGCAGATATCCAGGCAGGTGCTGCTGATGAAAGGCTTGCCACCTGGCCTTGAAGTGCAGCGCGTACACGGTGTTCCCCGCTGGTTTACTCAAACCGTTGCGGAGTCCACGGGGGACAGAGCTTGGTGGCAAGTGTATCTTGACAATTTTATGTCGGGTCAATCCACCATGACGGCACAGCCTTTGATTGGAAAGCTGCTCCAAGAAGAGGCCATGCAAGCATGGTGTGATGCCGGCATCCTCACGGCCGAAGATAAGCAACTATTGAACGAGCCGAGCGTGGTGGAGCTTGGAATCAGGTTCGATGGAACGGAGAAGCTGCTGGGGGCTTCCCCCGAGCGTGTCTTCCGGACCATACTGGCGACTTTGCACATCTTGGACGCTGGGCGATGGAGCAAGAAAGACACTCAAGTTGTGTTGGGGAGGTGGATCTTCATCTTGCAGTTCCGTCGCGCTGGGATGGGTTGCCTCTCGCGCGCGTGGGACTGCTTGAGGAGCACGCAGCCCACCCCCACAGAAAGACAGCGTCTGTGCCAGGAACTTTTTATGCTGATTGGCATCAGCAATTTGCTGCAGACAGATCTTACCCTGGAGTATGACAACGAGGTCACCTGCAGTGACGCGTCAGAGGGGGGTGGTGCTGTAGCTCGAGCCACAGACTTGACCTGGTCGGGCAAGTCTTACGTTGACAGGGGCCTCCGAGCCGAGCTGGGACCAATTGACTGTCCCGTGCTGCTTATTTCCTGTTTTAATGGCATCGGAGGTTGCTTCCGCATCTACGACATCTTAGGTGTCAAAGTTATGGGCATGGTGTCGGTAGACGTGAACCGCGAGGCCAATCGTGTCACCAGGAGTACCTGGCCTCAGGTGGATGAACATGACGACATCAATGCCATCACACGTCAGGACGTCTGGCGCTGGGCTAACAGCTTCGCCCGTGCGCTGGAGGTACACGTGTGGGCCGGGTTCCCATGCGTGCACCTGTCCTCAGTGCGGGCGTTCAGACAGAACCTTTATGGAGAAGGTTCCAATTTGTTCTGGCGTTTATTGGAACTTTTGGGATGGATACAAGAAATTTTTGGAACTTTTGCAAAGGTGAAGTTTTGCATTGAGAACGTGGCGTCCATGGACGAAGCAGCCAGACGGCAGATCTCAGCTGAACTGGAAGTGATGCCGGTTAAGCTTGACCCGGCAGACTGCATGCCGTACTCAAGACCACGGCTGGCTTGGTGTTCTGAACCACTGTATCAGATGGAGGGCATCGAACTATGGGAAGAACAAGACTATATCCGGGCGTATGTCACCGCGCCCTGCCCCTCTACTGAGCAGTGGATACGGCCCGGCTGGACATGGCCAGGCGAAGAATGGGGAGCCAAGTTTCCCACTTTCATGAAGTCCATAAAACGGACATCGCCTCCTCCAGTGCCTGCTGGCTATCGCCGTGCAACGCCGGAGATGATCCGACGATGGACAGAAGACTCTTTCAGGTTTCCCCCATATCAATACGCGGAAAAGTTTTTGCTGACGCATCCGTCGCAGCCTGCGCAACTGCTGGATAGCTCAGAGCGCGAGTTGCTGTTGGGATTTGGCACACAGCATACAGCTACGTGCATGTCAGCTTCCAATATGAAGAAAAGCTTCGAGAAGTACGAAGACGCCCGGAAGACTTTGTGCGGGGACTCTTTCTCCATCTTGTCGTTTGCAGTGATGGGGTCAGTTATGTGCGCTGACCTGCTGCCAAGGATGCCACCAGCGCGCATTGTCCAACGACTAGGTCTGGCACCGGGCGCTTCGCTGCATCCGCAGGCGCTGGAGCCGCTGAATCGTTGGCTGGCTTATGGTGGGGATACAACGCGGTCCACGAGTTCGCAAACTTTAGTAAGGCAACTTGGCAGAACAGTTAACCATACAGGTGCTGATGTGCGGGTGGATTCAGGCTGTGTCATGGGGCGCAAGCCCACTTCCCATTGTTCTGTCAGGGCTTTCTGGTGGCAATGGAAACATTTATTTAAGCTCAGGTGGGTCCACCCGTCCCATATCAATGTGTTGGAGATGCGGATGATTTTACATTCCCTTCTTTGGAAGGTCCGTAAGGTTTCTTCTTTAAATAAGAGATGGTTGCACCTCGAGGATAGTATGGTTTGTTTACTAATTTTGACTAAAGGGCGTACGTCCAGTAGGATGCTGCAGCCCCTTTCGCGTCAAATTGGCGCCATCCAGCTGGCCACTGGGTCACAACTGCTGCATGGCCACGTTGGATCATCAGAGAATCCTACAGATGCGGCATCCCGAAAGTAGCCACGCCTGTGTTTAGCAGGAGGTTCCTGCTGGCTGGAAAGACAGCCGAGGAACGCAGGCAGCGGCGCGCTGGGTATCGGTTGAGGGATTTCAGTATCACCTCTAAGACCCGTGCGCGCTATGAACAAGCGGTCGGGAGATTACTCCCCTTCCTGGAAGCCCAAAAGGACCTCACCCACCTGGATGAAGTCCTTTGTGAGTGGATTGAATTGCAGTGGACCAGAGGGGAATCAGTCAATGCAATTGCAGATACACTATCTGGTTTACATTTCTACTGGCCCCAGGTGAGGGGTGCGTTACGAGAAGCTTGGCGGCTTTTCAAACATTGGCGCAGGATCGAAGCTCCATCCCGTGCGCCGCCTTTGACGGTACTGCTGGCCAAGGCGATCATTAGCCGTGCAGTCCAAAAAGGGGATCTTTGCTTTGCTTGTATTGTTGCCCTGGCATACCATGCCCTGTTGAGAACGGGTGAGGTGCTGGCATTGCGTTTTTGTGACCTTGAATTCAATCTTCAATGCGGTGTAGTTTCCTTACAGCAGAGCAAATCTGGCTTGCGCTCAGGCTCACAGGAAGCGGTCGCACTCCGAGACCGCTGTACATTACAACTTTTGGATACGTTGTGGACTTGTCAACGACACTTTCCTGGTCAGAAGATCTGGCCTCACTCGGGCCAAGCTTTTAGGAAACGCCTGCTCAGCTATTTCCGATTCTTTCGCGTAGTTCATTTTGGGTACAAAGGTTACTCACTTCGTCGAGGAGGAGCAACATTTTTGTTACAACATGGCGTACCCTTGGAAGCGATTTTGCTCCGAGGACGCTGGAAAAGCATCAGTGTCGGGCGTCTTTATTTACAGGATGGCCTGGCGCAGCTACCTTCCTTGCGTATTCCTCCGTGTGATTTGGACAGGATCAATTCCTTTGCGGGCGAAGTGTGCCCAACAGCATTTCATCCTTGAAATGCCGTGAGGGGGGCCGTGGAACAGGCCACAAATAAAGGAGTTGTCCTCTCTTCCATGCCTTTTGGAAGAAAAGAGAGGCAATCTCAATGACGTTCCACCAGTCCGTGCCTTTCGGAATGTGGACGTTCATATGTGACCGGTCATGCCTTTTGGCCGGATGTTTATATCTTTGACAAATCTTTGGCAAACGCCAAGTGGTTAAGATGACCTTCAGGTCTGGCACAAAACAAGTGCGAATTGGCTGAACCCTTGACAGTCGCATCGACAGTTAGGGTGAAGTAATTTGAGTTGTGTTTGTTGGGGCCTTTAGGCTCAAAAGCTGGCCCTCCAGCTCCCGCCCTAATTTGAGGGAACAGGCCACAAATGAAGGAATTGTCCTCTCTTCCATGCCTTTTGGAAAAAGAGAGGCAATCTCAATGACGTTCCACCAGTCCGTGCCTTTCGGAATGTGGACGTTCATATGTGACCGGTCATGCCTTTTGGCCGGATGTTTATATCTTTGACAAATCTTTGGCAAACGCCAAGTGGTTAAGATGACCTTCAGGTCTGGCACAAAACAAGTGCGAATTGGCTGAACCCTATAATTAGACGGTCAATACTAATAATCGACTAATATCCGTGGTTTTATGGGTACCGTATTGAATTTTGACCCAGAACCATATAGTATTAATACTGTAGTGGTTAAGAATATTGTTAGTCATGGTTAATGATTATTGCTTATTGGATATTGGGATTTATAGTGGTTAGCAATGGTTTATCATTGCTAATTATTAATGTCGATATGATGATTTTATAGAAATATTTATATAATGATGCTTATTGGGATTACCATCCGGTAACCAAACACGGCAATGGAAAAGTCTGTAAGCATTAGGCTGACTTTAACATACTTCAACCAGAGAGGACTATCCAGTGGTGAAGGAACAGTGAGCAAAATGGGTATCCATATTAGCGACTGCAGTAAATGGGGAACCATGAAAATTAATGTTTGTAAAGCAATAAACCATCCTTATTTTGATGCTTTATACATGTTAAACATCGACCCGTTGATGTTTGAATTGGGGACGGACCGGGGATGGTAACTACAAAAAAGCGTTCTATTGCTTTACATACATTAATTAGAGATTTGAACCATTAAAACTGGGGATTACGGGGTTACTAGATGCTACTAGTGTGTTCTATTGTTTTACTAACATTCGTGATTTGAACCATTGAAATGGGGGATTTAAGATAAAGTAGGAGGATTTCAGCAGATGTTCATGCGCCATTGGTGGCAACATGCATGGGATACCAATGACATTTACGAAAAAAAACAGCCACAAGAACCATGTGATTTCAACCATCAAGAATGTGGAAGATGTCGAGGGAACTGTTGAAATTGTGTGATTGGATCATGCAAAATAGGAGTTTGACCAACAAGATTAACTTTCAAGAATTAATCAATTGGTTAACTTTCAAGAATTTAATCAATTGGGTAACTAAATTAAAAGATTAAATGGTGATTAAACGCTCAATCATGTTGATTTAAGATGATTGAACCATAAACAATTGAGATGTTGAAAAAATATTAATGAGATAGCACGGGATACATTTGAGCATTTTGATATGATGTTAATGTTTGGGTTTGTCCAAAAATTGGGTAGTCGGTCGCCATATTTTTTTGGGAACATAATATTAGACCCATTCTATATTGGTTAGCAAGGATTTCCACATGCCTCATAGGGAGACCATGTCCAGAAGCCAGTACAGGTTGTCCTGTCAACAGTCCCTACAGCCAGTATATCAATAAGGTGTAAGCAACAAACTGATGAGATCACGTTAACTATAACGAGTGCTGGTGGGATATTGCATGTACTTTTGGGAGTGGTGTGTCCGTGTGTCAATGTGTTGCTATTTAGTATTTGTGATACATACTCAATTCAGTTCAGCACAGTGTCCGTGGCCCATGCTATCCTTTGTCTATAGTTCTTCATGGTGTGCAGACCCATGACTCTTGGATGAAATTGATGGTTTGTTTGATAATTAAATTCGATACTCAATTTGATTTTATCATTGTTGGTTTATAGTTTAAATCCCAATTTCCCTGTGTGTTGAATTCCTGTGTTGATTGTTTTTGCAAGCCGTAGCCATACGATCCATGTGAACAGCCCGCCGTGTCCAGGCTGCACACAGCCAGGGTGATCGCGCGCGGAATGAGTTGAGGGAAGTGCGTTGCTGGGGCTGCACAGTGGACATGAAGTGACGTCAGTGCGATGGAGAATTCATCCCCAAATATCCCATTGTCATAACCAACTTTCATAGGAAATCCCCAATAAAGCCTATGGTCAATGGTAACTAAGTTCATCCCCAAATATCAAATGGCCATTGTCATAGGAAACACAATGATTAACCATGGGACCATGGGATACCATGGGATACTCTATTTTTAGACAACCCATATCACTCCCAAGGTGGATGTTGAAAAAACACACCATCAGGAAAGTCGTAGATGCCAACCTCGTTGTGGCATCTTATGTTTATACCAGAATTTGTTGATGGTTCAAGCATGTTCAAGCACATTTTTTCTGATTCTGATCCGACTTGATTGGTCATAGTCACAGTTTGTCGCCATGCATCCCATGTGAAGGCCATCATCCCCATGTTCTCATGGGATCCCATGCAGATTCACCCCTTTATGGTTCCGGAGTATCCATATTAGGTGTTCTCCGGCAATGCCCATGTCACCGCTGTTGCTTGGGATGTTTGTTTGGGCTGCACAAATTTGGTGGATTCAATGAGGGAGGTCATCAAGAAATCATGCAGAAAGGACATTTAGTAAGGAGTCTTGTTTGTTTCAATCTTTAAGGGGGTTAGTTGAGACCAGTCTATCTACTTCTCTAGTCTTCCAGACATCAGCAAGATAAAAATTCTAATGGATTAGATCCCTCGGCTCTTAGTAATGATAGATTATAATCCCCCGATGGACTAGAACCCTCTACTCTTGGTAATAATCGATTATGATCCTCCAATTTCAGTAATACTATACTAGGTACGGATGAGATAGGAGTTGTCGGAGGGTCCAGTTTCTTTGATTTCCCATCTCATGAGTAAAGTATTGTTTTTGCCCTTTGAAAGTGCCAAACTCCTATCTCATGTGGTTCTAGTAGTCATTTGAAGGATACCTGCATCAAGTTTTTACATTCCCACGGTTTGTTTTTTAATGCTACAGGCTACAGTTTGGACACATGAGATAGGACTTAGGGCTGATTTGGGGCATGCTCACATAACCCATGTGTTGGGACTGTAGCATCTATATCCCATGAAGAATTCCCATCTCATGGGTTTCATCCTGAGCCATTTGGCAATATGGTAAAAAGCTACTGAACGTATTTTTTTTCATTTTCTCGTTGTTTCTCTAGTGTTGTTAGCTTTAATAACGGGCAGCGACATGGCTCGCGGAGAACGGACGGCCACGTGTCTCCCTGTTTTTATCTCTAACGGGAAGCGACACGGCTCGCGGGCCGCGTGTCTCCCTGTTGTTGCCTGTAACCGGTCTCGCTGTGCACCTCCGCAGTTTCCCACATGGCCTCCGGTAGCTTCCCGTTAAAAAAAAGAATGGGGAGTGGGAGCCAGGATGCCCTTCCCCGTGTAAAAGCAGATGAGATAGGACTTGTGGGGATTTGACGATTTGACCAGATAAATCTAATGGCACATGGGCGCGGCACGGGAAAAATAGCGACCTCTAAAAGCAGATGAGATATAGGACTTTTGGAGATTTGACGATTTGACCTGGGAAATCTGATGCCACATGGGCGCGGCAAGGGAAAAATAGCTACCACTAAAAGCAGATAAGATATAGGACTTTTGGAGATTTGACGATTCGACCTGAGAAATCTAATGGCACGTGGGTGCAGCAAGGGAAAAATAGCGACCACTAAAAGCAAATGAAATAGGACTTGTGGGGATTTGACGATTTGACCTGGGAAATCTAATGGCACGTGGGTGCGGCAAGGGAAAAATAGCGACCACTAAAAGCAGATGAGTTAGGACTTCTTGGGATTTTGCCTGGGAAATCTAATGGCACATGGGCGCGGCCAGGGAAAAAATAGCGACCACTAAAAGCAGATGAGATAGGATTTGTGGAGATTTGACGATTTGACTTGGGAAATCTATGGCACCAGTTGTGTCTCACCGGGGAGGCGCTTGGAACTGCTCGCCCCCACAGCTTCACTGCTCAGAATGGGCTGCAGGACGGTCAGCAGTTGCAAACGCCTCCCCGGGGAGGCAAAACGGAGAGACACAACGGGAGACACAACAGGAAAATGATGTAAACTGAGAAAAAGCTGAATAGCGACCATTGCAAAGCAGATGAGATAGGACTTGTGGGGGTTGGACGATTTGACTTGGGAAATCTAATGGCACATGGGTGTGGCAAGGGAAAAATAGTGACCACTAAAAGCAGATGAGATACGATTTGTGGAGATTTGACGATTTGACTTGGGAAATCTATGGCACCCGTTGTGTCTCACCGGGGAGGCGCTTGGAACTGCTCGCCCCCAAAGCTTCACTGCTCAGAACGGGCTGGACGGTCAGCAGTTGCAAACGCCTCCCCGGGGAGACACAACGGAAAGGCACAACGGGAGACACAACAGGAAAATGATGTAAACTGAGAAAAAGCTGAATAGCGACCACTGCAAAGCAGATGAGATAGGACTTGTGGGGGTTTGACGATTTGACTTGGGAAATCAAATGGCACATGGGTGTGGCAAGGGAAAAATAGCGACATATAGCGACCACTAAAAGCAGATGAGATAGGACTTGTGGAGATTTGACGATTTGACTTGGGAAATCTATGGCACCAGTTGTGTCTGACCGGGGAGGCGCTTGGAACTGCTCGCCCCCACAGCTTCACTGCTCAGAACGGGCTGGACGGTCAGCAGTTGCAAACGCCGCCCCAGGGAGACACAACCGAGAGGCACAACGGGAGACACAACAGGAAAATGATGTAAAATGAGAAAAAGCTGAATAGCGACCACTGCAAAGCAGATGAGATAGGACTTGTGGGGATTTGGCCTGGGAAATCTAATGGCACATGGGCGCGGCAAGGGAAAAATAGCGACCACTGAAAGCAGATGAGATAGGACTTGTGGAGATTTGACGATTTGACTTGGGAAATCTATGGCACCCGTTGTGTCTCACCGGGAGGCGCTTGGAACTGCTCGCCCCCAAAGCTTCACTGCTCAGAACGGGCTGGACGGTCAGCAGTTGCAAACGCCTCCCCGGGGAGACACAACGGAAAGGCACAACGGGAGACACAACAGGAAAATGATGTAAACTGAGAAAAAGCTGAATAGCGACCACTGCAAAGCAGATGAGATAGGACTTGTGGGGGTTTGACGATTTGACTTGGGAAATCAAATGGCACATGGGTGTGGCAAGGGAAAAATAGCGACATATAGCGACCACTAAAAGCAGATGAGATAGGACTTGTGGAGATTTGACGATTTGACTTGGGAAATCTAATGGCACATGGGTGTGGCAAGGGAAAAATAGCGACCACTAAAAGCAAATGAGATAGGATTTATGGAGATTTGACGATTTGACTTGGGAAATCTATGGCACCCGTTGTGTCTCACCGGGGAGGCGCTTGGAACTGCTCACCCCCACAGCTTCACTGCTCAGAATGGGCTGGACGGTGAGCAGTTGCAAACGCCGCCCCGGGGAGGCAAAACGGAGAGACACAACGGGAGACACAACAGGAAAATGATGTAAACTGAGAAAAAGCTGAATAGCGACCATTGCAAAGCAGATGAGATAGGACTTGTGGGGGTTGGACGATTTGACTTGGGAAATCAAATGGCACATGGGTGTGGCAAGGGAAAAATAGTGACCACTAAAAGCAGATGAGATAGGACTTGTGGGGATTTGACGATTTGACCTGCGAAATCTAATGGCACGTGGGTGCGGCAAGGGAAAAATAGCGACCACTAAAAGCAGATGAGATAGGACTTGTGGGGATTTGAACTGGGAAATCTAATGGAGCATGGGTGCGGCAAGGGAAAAATAGCGACCACTAAAAGCAGATGAGATAGGATTTGTGGAGATTTGACGATTTGACTTGGGAAATCTATGGCACCCGTTGTGTCTCACCGGGGAGGCGCTTGGAACTGCTCACCCCCACAGCTTCACTGCTTAGAACGGTCTGGACGGTCAGCAGTTGCAAACGCCTCCCCGGGGAGACACAACGCAGAGGCACAACGGGAGACACAACAGGAAAATGATGTAAAATGAGAAAAAGCTGAATAGCGACCACTGCAAAGCAGATGAGATAGGACTTGTGGGTGTTTGACCGTTTGACGATTTGACTTGGGAAATCTAATGGCACATGGGTGTGGCAAGGGAAAGCAGATGAGATAGGACTTGTGGAGATTTGACGATTTGATTGATTTGACTTGGGAAATCTATGGCACCCGTTGTGTCTCACCGGGGAGGCGCTTGGAACTGCCCGCCCCCAAAGCTTCACTGCTCAGAACGGGCTGGACGGTCAGCAGTTGCAAACGCCTCCCCGGGGAGGCAAAACGGAGAGACACAACGGGAGACACAACAGGAAAATGATGTAAACTGAGAAAAAGCTGAATAGCGACCATTGCAAAGCAGATGAGATAGGACTTGTGGGGGTTGGACGATTTGACTTGGGAAATCTAATGGCACATGGGTGTGGCAAGGGAAAAATAGTGACCACTAAAAGCAGATGAGATAGGACTTGTGGAGATTTGACGATTTGACTTGAGAAATCTATGGCACCCGTTGTGTCTCACCGGGGAGGCGCTTGGAACTGCTCGCCCCCAAAGCTTCACTGCTCAGAACGGGCTGGACGGTCAGCAGTTGCAAACGCCTCCCCGGGGAGACACAACGGAGAGGCACAACGGGAGACACAACAGGAAAATGATGTAAAATGAGAAAAACATGAATAGTGCAAAGCAGATGAGATAGGACTTGTGGGGATTTGGTCTGGGAAATCTAATGGCACATGGGCGCGGCAAGGGAAAAAATAGCGACCACTAAAAGCAGATGAGATAGGATTTGTGGAGATTTGACGATTTGACTTGGGAAATCTATGGCACCAGTTGTGTCTGACCGGGGAGGCGCTTGGAACTGCTCGCCCCCACAGCTTCATTGCTCAGAACGGGCTGGACGGTCAGCAGTTGCAAACGCCTCCCCAGGCAGACACAACGGAGAGGCACAACGGAGAGGCACAACGGGAGACACAACAGGAAAATGATGTAAAATGAGAAAAAGCTGAATAGCGACCACGGCAAAGCAGATGAGATAGGACTTGTGTGGGTTTGACGATTTGACTTGGGAAATCTAATGGCACATGGGTGTGGCAAGGGAAAAATAGCGACATATAGGGACCACTAAAAGCAGATGAGATAGGACTTGTGGAGATTTGACGATTTGACTTGGGAAATCTATGGCACCCGTTGTGTCTCACCGGGGAGGCGCTTGGAACTGCTCGCCCCCAAAGCTTCACTGCTCAGAACGGGCTGGACGGTCAGCAGTTGCAAACGCCTCCCCGGGGAGACACAACGGAGAGACACAACGGGAGACACAACAGGAAAATGATGTAAACTGAGAAAAAGCTGAATAGCGACCATTGCAAAGCAGATGCGATAGGACTTGTGGGGGTTGGACGATTTGACTTGGGAAATCTATGGCACCCGTTGTGTCTCACCGGGGAGGCGCTTGGAACTGCTCGCCCCCAAAGCTTCACTGCTCAGAATGGGCTGGACGGTGAGCAGTTGCAAACGCCGCCCCGGGGAGGCAAAACGGAGAGACACAACGGGAGACACAACAGGAAAATGATGTAAAATGAGAAAAAGCTGAATAGCGACCACTACAAAGCAGATGAGATAGGACTTGTGGGGGTTTGACGATTTGACTTGGGAAATCTAATGGCACATGGGTGTGGCAAGGGAAAAATAGCGACAGATAGGACTTGTGGAGATTTGATGATTTGACTTGGGAAATCTAATGGCACATGGGAAGGGAAAAATAGCGACCATTAAAAGCAGATGAGATAGGATGATTTGTGGAGATTTGACGACTTGACTTGGGAAATCTATGGCACCCGTTGTGTCTCACCGGGGAGGCGCTTGGAACTGCTCGCCCCCACAGCTTCACTGCTCAGAACGGGCTGGACGGTCAGCAGTTGCAAACGCCTCCCCAGGCAGACACAACGGAGAGACATAATGGGAGACACAGCAGGAAAATAATGTAAAATGAAAAAAAGCTGAATAGCGACCACTACAAAGCAGATGAGATAGGACTTGTGGGGATTTGACTTGGGAAATCGAGCGGCGCATGGTGCGACAAGGGAAACATAACAACGACTAAAAGCAGATGAGGTAGGACTTGTGGGGATTTGACCTCGAAAGTCTAACTGGCACATGGGTGCAGCAAGGGAAAGCTATTGACCACTAAAAGCAGATGAGATAGGACTCGTGGGGATTTGACGATTTGACCTGGGAAATCTGATGGCACATGGGCGCAGCAAGGGAAAAATAGTCACCACTAAAAGCACGTGAGATAGGACTTGTGGAGATTTGACCTGGGAAATCTAGTGGCGCATGGGTGCGGCATGGGAAAAATAACGACCACTAAAAGGCTAAAGCAGATTAGATAGGACCTGTGGGGATTTGATCTCGAAAGTCTAACTGGCACATGGGTGCAGCAAGGGAAAGCTAGTGACCACTAAAAGCAGATGAGATAGGACTTGTGGGGATTTGACGATTTGACCTGGGAAATCTAATGGCACATGGGTGCAGCAAGGGAAAAGTAGTCACCACTAAAAGCAGATGAGATAGGACTTGTGGAGATTTGTCCTGGGAAATCTAGTGGCGCATGGGTGCGGCAAGGGAAAAATAACGACCATTAAAAGGCTAAAGCAGATGAGATAGGACTTGTGGGGATTTGACCTCGAAAGTCTAACTGGCACATGGGTGCAGCAAGGGAAAGCTATTGACCACTAAAAGCAGATGAGATAGGACTTGTGGGGATTTGACGATTTGACCTGGGAAATCTAATGGCACATGGGTGCAGCAAGGGAAAAACAGTCACCACTAAAAGTGGGTGAGATAGGACTTGTGGGGGTTGATCCGGGAAATCTAATGGCACATGGGTGTAACTAGGCAAAAAGATGGGCCACTGAACGCATGTGAGATAGGACTTGTTTTTCTAGAACCATTGTAATTTTATCTCATCAGCCCTTGCTGCTGTGACAAAACATGAAGTCCCGATCATTTATCAAGGTGTTTTTTTCAGACTTGCATTCAGGTCTCAGAGCGGGTTCAGCGCACATGAGTTGGGAGTTTTGGCAAATCCCAGGTACCAAAACTCCTAACTCATGTGGCTATCCTAGCCAATTCCCCATAAGCGCTTCAAACAGTGGACACAAGAGATAGGACTAGACCCCAGCAAGTCCTGACTCATCCGGGGCCACAAGTCCTAACTCATCAGTACCCAGTATAAATTGCTTCATGTTGTAATCTAGTTGAATCCTCTTAATCCAATCTAGTATAGTAATAATTCTAGTAGTTTAATCCTGTAATCCTCTAAGCCTCTATGATCCTCTAGTAATACTAATCCTCTAAGAGCAATCTTGGATCATAATCCTCTAATCTTCTATATTGTACTATACTAGTCAATTTATATACTATAACTATATTTTTTCTTTATCATTTAGATGGAAAATGATGAAAACTAATCCTCCACTCAAAATTTGGATGACTTCCTATCCCAGGAGGCTGGGCCGAGTCCTTGGAAGAGACGGTCTCCAAGATGCAGCAGCGCCTTCGCTCCGACGGGCCATGGATCGATGGGTTAAATAAAGCATGGTAAAAAATTGGTTACCCTAGGGTAAACTAACCTAGATGTATATAGATAAAACATGGTAAAACCCATCGACAAAATGATGATTTGTAGATCATTTTCCGAATGGGAAACCATGGATTACGTGAAAATTGATGTTTTATTGGGTGAAGTTAACCAGCATTTTTGATGGTATGCGTTAGGGCTAAACTACAAGTTGAAGTATGTTTGGGGGGTCAAGATGATCAACTCCCCCTATATTGATATCCAATATATAACTCTTGAGCCATAGCCGTAGCCAGATGATTTGGCTACAAAATTGGGGACGTGTAAAGAAACCAGATGGCGTATTCGGCAAGGAAGGGCAATTCATAAGTTTGAACCATGGCTATGGCAGACTTCAGCAACAATAAACATGGAGATACAACCAGCAAAAACCGCAAAATATGCTTTGCTTTGTTGAACATGCTCAAAGAAATTGACCTGGAGACTGGTTGGGAAGTGCTTGACGTGCTGTCGGCTTTGCTTCATGGTGGCTCACAAACAATCAGCTGCACGCTGTAGATCGCACATGTTTCTAATGGTGCTTGTGGCTGTTTCCATAAGGCTATAACGGGTCCACAGGGGATGGGAAGATTGATGCTATCTTGTGGCCGCGAAAGAGTTGGTATTGTTATTGCAATGTTTATGCCTTTTTAGTGCCTCTTTGACATGATCAAGCGAACCAAGAACTGGGCTACTGCTTGAAAGGGTGTGTGCAGTGGGTTCATGGTTTGACGTTCCAGTGTACGTGAAATCACCCAATAGATTTTGGGTTCACACGGGCTTGCAAGGACCAACCAATACCGTACACCTCGGATTGGTTGTGTCAAGTTGTTTCTTGTTTTCCATTGCCAGTTGGCAAGGTCACTTCCAACACTCAGATGAGCACTGTGAGATGTTTGGCATGGTTTGAAGTCAACTCTGGCTGGTCAAAATCGTCATTCATGTTAGTGAATATCCAAATTATGTGCCCAATGTGGGTAGGTTATGTACCTTGTGTTTTCTGCTATTTATATATCTATAATTTTTGTTGGCTATGAAGTATATATATGTAGTATATACATTTATATATTTATTATTCATATCATATCATACCATATTATATATATATATATTATATCATATTATATTATATTACATCACATCATGTTATAATATATATATATATATTACATCATATTATAATATATATATATATATTACATCATATTATAGTATTTATATATATATATATATTATTATTATGCTATATTATATTATATCATTTTATAATAGATTATTTTTTTATTATGTCATATTATTGTTTTATATACACATTAGTGTATGTGTTTTTTAAATATTGACTTATACTATATTATGTTTTATTATATTTTGTTATATTATGTTTTTGTTGTTTTTTAATTGTATGGTTCATTTGATTAGTATTAATATTTATATTTATAGTCATAGTTATACTTATTTAAATATGTATACATGTATGTATATATGTATTTATTTGTATATATATATATGATTATATGTACATTGTTTGTAAATATCTCATGTTTTATTATATAAAATAAATTAAATCATATTATAGTTTATTTTATTATATACATATTATTTGGATTTTATTTAGATACTTTTTAGATATTATATAGATAGTATATATATATTATATAGATGATGTATACATATCATATACATATTATTTTCATATTATACATTTTTTTTACATATTATACACTTATATTATATACATGTTATTTCCATTTTATTAATAGTTATGCTTGTAATGATATGTTTTATCATATACAATTTATGTATTCAGACATTCCCCTCATCTTATTTTTCTCAGTTGGGATTGCAAGCTGCAACCACTGTCCATTACTTCATCTTCCTATTTCGCCTCGCGGCGAGGTGCGTTGATCAATTTGGCATGGAAGCCTTGATGGATTTGCCCACGCCACTTGGGAAAACATGTCTTTCTACCTTTGGATCAGAATGATTTACTGTATCTATATCTATATCTATATCATTTTGTATCTCTATCTATATATATATATCTATATCTTATTTATCTTTATATCTATATAAATCTATGTATCTATGTATCTATGTATTTATGTATCTATCAATATATCAAACAATCTATCTATCAATCTATCTATTTGTCTAGCTATTTGTCAATCTATGTCTTGAGTTCATTAAGGAATTGTCCTCAACATGGACTGATCTACCTATCCATCCTTCTAGATTTTATCCTATACATCCATGATCATCCACGCATGTGGTTACAAGCACATCTAATTACTTTCTTCGAGTGATCCCGCCAACTCATATTCTATCTGACACATATTCTGACATTAACTTATATTTGGCATTCTATCTGATATAGTTGCCATGGGCGCTGCAGGGCGCCTGGGTGTTTTGTTGTCTTTTTGGTGTTGTTTTTTGTTTTTCTGTTTTTGTTTGATGATGGGGTGGGTGGGGTGGGTGGGGTGGGGTGGGATGTTAACGTTCATGTTCATGTTACGCTGATGATGTTACGTTGATCACTGGGTGGGCTGGGGTGGGGTGGGATGTTAACGTTCATGTTCATGTTACGCTGATTTTTTCCATGGCTGAAGTAGCTTTTGAGAAGTGAAAAAGCAGACGTGCAAGGCTGCATGCGCAGTTACATTGGGAAGTGCACGCAACCCCCCTTAAAACCACCAGGCGCCTCTCAGCGCCGTTCCCATAGACATATATATATATATATATATATTGTTGTATTTACAGTATTCATATGTATCATATGTATATATATATTTATATATATATACATATTTATATATATATATTACATTCTATCTGGCATTTTTCCTGGCATATGTGTTGAGGCATTGCATCTGGCATTCTATCTGGCATTTTGTTTGGTATTCATCTGATAATATATTCCAAAACATTCTATCTGGCATTCTATCTCACGTATATTCTGACATTTAATCTGGAATTCTTTGTGGCATTCTATCTGACATCTGGTGCTCGCGGTTGAGGTCCGACAGTGCCTCCTGACATCGCTCGCGGTTGAGGTCCGGCAGTGCCCACTGAGATCTGGAGCTCGCGGTTGAGGTCCGGCAATGCCCACTGAGATCTGGAGCTCACAGTTGAGAAGGCGGAGGTGGAGGAAGGCAGAAAGCGGCGGGAGGCGGGATGCACCTCCGATTGATAAATCTAGAGACCCCCACCTGGCAGGCGGGGAACAAAGATATATAGATAGATATTGAATGATATTGACTGATCTATATCAGAACGTGGCAACGAAACGGTGATTTCCTGGGTGATCAAATCAATTTTGGTGAGTTCAAATGACAGCACCGGAAGGACAGAACCGGTGTTGCCAGAGTTATGTCAAACTCAGCTTCTCATGACCAACCCAATCCACATCGCTGCCTTTAGGACTTGTTGGAAACATTCAATGAGTCCTTGATACAAACGGATTTTTACAAATGTGTTAAGAATAAACACGGCCATTGTATAATAATATTCGGATACACGGTTCCTGTTGAGTCTTTGCCGCTTTTTCTTGGATTGTTTGAAGGAATCTACGCAGTCCAATCTCCATGTGACATCCTGTGCCATCCAATGTTTGATGATTATCTCATACTATCTCAGCAATGTTTGGTGTTCATATCTGCATTCTTCATAGGTGTGTTGTTCTCCATAATTGACAACAAATGTTCTCTCCGACAAACGTTGATGCTTATTGCTGAATACAGATGAACGAACGTCGAGGACTACTATCAGACATAATACTTTTATCAGTCTATCTATCAAGTTGATATTCATGCGTATGTGATCGTTTGTCAGTCCCCAGGAATCATATCCCATATCTAAGTGATGAAGTTTGATCCCAGCATGCTTGAGGACATCTCAAAGTTCTCAGGAAGGTCCAGCTCTGGATGCTTCGGAGGCGTGTCAGTGGAGATTGATATTATTAAGCATGGGTCCTATGGGTCGAAGCACCTTATATGACCTCATCAATAGTCAATCTATACAGCTTAGGTTTGGGTATGATTTGGAGGGGTTTGTGTTTTTTCAGGATTTAGTTGGATCCTTGTATTTGCATGCACAATGCATGTTTTATGCAAGTTAACATGTTAGATAGGGGTGTAATTGCAATCGCACACCTACATACACAAACCAACCAAAACAAAAATACCGCAATGAACTAAGATTGGCCATGCATATGGGTTTGCTCAGACAGGTGTTGTTTTTCTTTCACATATCCCAACTTCTGGCCATGACAATTTATTGAGAAAAAATGTTGTGTCCATTAAGGGCCCCACCAATTTGTCTACTGCTGGCATTTGACTGGTAAAAAACAAATGAGGTGTCCAAGTTTCTCCAATTGTATCCAATTGTCACACCTGATTGTTACATATTGCTACAAACCTTAGCTGGTTACTGTTAGTTACTAAAGAAAACACATCTACTCAATCTACTCTTTGCCTTAGGTGAGTTTCTCCAAGAGCTTTAAATGGACCCCCGCAGGCGCAAACTCCGTGCCCGATGATCGCGCTGTCCGGTTCTCCCGGCGACGTCGCGACACCGGTGACGGGAGGCGCCGTTGACCGTTGCGCCCAGGGGACGGAGGTTGCAACAAGAATGGAACCCAGTTGGGTGTTGTTGAAAATTCCCTGAGGCATCCTTAGATTGCAATGTTAATAAATGTTAATAGGGACATGTTGATACCTTCACAAACATGTAATCAAACAATAAGTGAGTCCGGTTTTTTGTCTTCGTTTGTGTCCAAGAGAGGAACCCAGTAATGGTGAATGCTGTCTCCAAAATGGGCGAGTGGTACAGTAACATGTGTGTATGTGTGTCCCCAAATGGAGGAACAAACATGCCCATGGATACCCTAAAATGCCCATGGTTTGGGTCATCATCTTCCCCAACGAATGGAGATGGTCCACGGAGTACTGCGTCGAAGCGCCACCGACAATTTTGGGCCATGGGTTTCTATACTCCTCAATGGTAAGCCATTCGACAAGCGGAGCATGGTTGATTTTGGGGTTTACTAGATCACAAGAGATGATTGACCAATACATAACTGAATGCATGAGAAATAATGCCACAGACAGATATGATCTAAAACCTCTAATAATGAACACCAGACATCCTAGGGTTTCGTAGTGGTCATGATAAGCAGTTGGTCAAGTTGATTGTGTATCCTCCTAAATCCCCAGCAACATCCCATTACATCTCCATTACACAATGTCCCGGTTTGTTCCTATTGGAGACTCGAGATGGTTCTGTCCCTATCATCCAGAACCCAATTGTTAGATATTGTTAGTAGTTTTCATCGTCAAATCCCATATTTTCATTATCAAATCATGTCAAATCCCAATGATTGATGTTTAAAACCCAGATCCCCATGATAACCCGCCATCTCCCTGTTGTAGTTGGTGTGATCCCCACAACCAATTAAGGTATTAAGTGAGTTTGTTTGTATATATAGTTGTAAACCAGTGTATCCGTTTATATCTTCTACAAGTGGTGTCAAACCACATTACTGTAATTATTTCCCCGATCCATAACCATAATATGCATGTTTAACTTTGGTTATATGATAGATATAGGGTAATTTAACATAATTTAACTATGGTTATATAATATGTGGATCAGTTATAGCTATACCACCTCCATCCATACCCCGCCAGTCCGCACCATGGTCCACGTGACCCGTGCTGCCGCAGAGATCTTGAGCGTGCCGACGCCTCATCGGAGAGGCGGGGCGGAGAAAAACATCGTGAAGACTTGGGGGAAAAAGTGGAGATGAACTGGAAAATCATTGGGAAAACTCATGTTTTTGAAGGTTTCAAGTTTCAATGGGTTGATCATTGCTTGATGTTTTTTGATGATATGTTTGACTGTTTTTGCAGTGACGTTTTTTTATTGATTCACTGGACAAAGGTGGGATGTCCCTCGCCTACGTGTTGACGTGTTTTCAGGTCGACAATGGAGCCTGACCCCGGTGCCTCACTCAGATTGGTGACAACCTGCGGCGACCATGGTATAATTCGATGATAACCACAATTTATCGTGCCCAGAGTGAATGTTACAAACAGTATTATAGTAACGCCCAAGAAGATGCCAAAAAGATGCCAAAAAGTGTGCAACCAGGATGGTAGTTCGATGATATTTGCCTCATAATTTCCAGGTCTCAAATTTGATTGTCTATCATGTTCTATCTATTTTGGGGTTGCTATACATCATCATGACATGTGCACTTAATGCCCACCTTTGATGGCGTTTGATAAGCCTCGAATTGGTGTAAGTCCATCGTTGAACCCCAGGTTTCAGGATGATCGAAGAACTCCCATGATATTTGGTCGTACCGCAGGTTTCACGTTTGTATGCACACTAAATTTCCGTTATCCATATTATATTATATATATATCCCCATGTTTGTTGTGCATACCACCATGAAGCCTGCCACTTTTCATGCCTGAGGTGCGACGACATCACCTCGCTGCCTGACAATTCAGAAAAGACACGGTGACATTCAAAAAGATCAATACAAGAAACTAGGAAAACTTCAGGATCCAAATTCTTCCTGCGAAGGTACTTGATCCTATATAAATCATAGCCAGAATACTTTCTGAGAAGGTATTTGGATAGTACATGGTTAATTACTGTACACATGTAAATCAAAGGAACCACTATTGTATGTAAATTAGATATGTATGTATGGCCGTGATTGAAACAGATTGTTTTTTGAATAAATCACTGTAGAATCTACCAAGGATTGGGAAACTATGAATAATGGTTCATCATGGTTCATCTATAAGTCTGTAAGCATCATTAAGCATCTAGATTTCTATAGTACCATTTTATATTATACCATATGATACCCAAAGACAAACAACACTCAAATGAGGACATCTCTCAAGTGCCGTATTTTTTTAGCGCAGCTGTGCTCAGGCCCCGCGGAGAAGCAACAGGGGGTAAATCCATAGACAGTGAGATATCTCAAGAACCCTGGAATCGGAAAGGAGATGTGCAAATCTACTTTTGAAATTTGTATATATTGGTGACGATGGCTTCAAGTGCCACGTTTTTTTTTCAGCCAGAACGGCACAAGATGAACTTGACAACAACACATCCTAAAACAGAGTGATACACAGACAAAAATTACACATGACAAAAATGGATTAATGTTTGCCACAGGGTATTCCATCACTAACTATGTGCCCACAATAACCAGTGATTTTTGATGCAGCCAAAGATACCAGGGTGAACTCCATACCTCTTGGACTTGGATCAATGAACACGCGAAAATCAATGAACTTCACAGCCATTCTTTCCATGTTCCTATCTTTCCTGTAAATTATCCCTAAAACCCAACCAATAGCCACATGATTCCGCTAGTGGAGGGGGCGTGTCTTCTGGCGGTTCCATCCCCACTTCGCGCCATGCCTGTTCCCTCTGCAGCTCTGACGTTGCCAGCACCGCCTACAGTTCAGCAGCTGTATGACGAGCTCCGGGAGGCCACTTGGAAGTCATTCATTGGAATGATGTACCCTCTGGTAATTTAAGATAGCTATGGACTCCGGACAATCATCATTTCTTCGGGGTAAATGATCTATAAATGGTATGTTTTCCATAGCTTCGTTACATGGGTCCCCCACTAAATATTATAATATGATGGTTTCTTGAACAGTTTTGCTTGTATAGACCAAATAGTAACGTCCCCTGTAAACATGAATGGATTGGGGGACATTCGAAATCTCCAAAACAGGACATGTACCAACCCTGGTTGTATGAGGATGTACCTCCAGAATTCTAGCATTTAACATGCAAGCTAAAGATACATTTTAAACATCCAAGAGGAAAGTGAATTTCAAACCCATTTGTCTTTTATCCTTCAGAGGTGCCATTTTCCAATTCATTCGGCAGGGAAAAACATCCTAAGAACATCCCATGTTAGACCCTGAATTTGGTTGATTACACCTGCATGCTTGGTTGATTACACCAGCCCCCTTTCGTTTGGCTAGTTCAACAGTTCAGTCAGTCCAATCAAGATGCTTGTTGCTTGCATCCCTTTCTGTGTTGGCATTTGTTGGCTGAAACCACACTTTGTTCACAAAATTATACTCCGCGTCGAAAATAGATGGCGCAAAACAAAATAAATAGCGACGGTAGATGGCGCAGCCTGGCCGTAAAATCGCTATTTTTGGCAGATGGCACAACCCCGAAGAGCATCGCTATTTTTGGTAAATAGCGATTGCTTTCTTTTTCTTTTGATTCTCACCAAATTGTGCACCAGGGCTACTGCCGGTGGAGCTGCCATGTTCCAACTCAATGCAGCCATATTCAAAGCCATGTGACTCACACACACACACACTAACTGCGCACTGTAGATAGCGCAATGCATTTTGGGAGGCAAAAAATACACAAGGCCATCCACCCTAGATCACATGCACGCACGCACACACACAAACCATGCACTGTAGATGGCGCGATTCACTTTCTCCTTTCTCCTTTCCCTTTCTCCTTTCCCTTTTTTTTTCTCCTTTCTCCTTTTTTCCTTTCCCTCCTCCTTTCCCTTTCCCTTTACAAATGGAATGCAGTGGTAACCTATAGATGGCGCAATCCAAAGTTATGGTTTTCCCCAAAAAATGGACCCCAGATCTTAATACTAAGTTTAAACTAACCTAGAGGAAACAGGTTGTTTTCAACCACGTGTGTCGGGAACCCATCCCTCAAGTGGTCTATAGATGGCGCATTTCAAAAATTAGCGCCATCCATTTTCTACGCGGTCCATATGTTTATTTTTAGGTTACTGTAGGTCCCAAGTGCTTATGTTTCCGTTCAATGTTCTGAATGGCGTCATTTTGCTTGGTGAAACTAAGCCCAACTATGGCTATGGAATTATGGAATTCCCCCATCTTGGCTTCAAATTCCACATTTTACGGTGTTAAAAAAGCAAGCAATGGTTACTTGGTGGTTTGGTTTGGTGGTTCCGGAATCCGAGGGTTCCACTGTGAAGGGGATACTATGGGGTATCCCAAGAAATCCAAAAGCACCAAGCGAAACCACCAGTTAACCATTGGTTGAATATTACTAATTACTATTGCAATTGCTATCCCCATTATTGGTTATAAGTATTTTATAAGTTATATCCCTGTTTATTTAGGGTAAAGCCTCCATTGGGATTCGGATATACCTTTATGTTCTTGGTTGAATAGCCATTGTTGTTCGTTCAATCCCATTTTGTGTTGGTGAAATAACAATGTTTAATGCTTATTTCACCACTTTTCCTGGTTATATAAATCGCCCTTTGATCACGTTTGATCATACTAAGTCCCCATGTTTGTACCACGAAAGACCGTGAAATGCCACGTTTCTCCAGGAGTTTCAGCTGCTCCGCAACGAGCTTCGCCAAGAGCAGCAGGAGATCCTCGCGCGCGTCACGGCGCTGGAGCTGCGCACGCTGACGGGAAAGCGCAACTCCCATTCCGTGCCTGGACGATTGGTGTATAGATGTGATATGTGATACTAGTATGTATGATCATATTTGCTTATATGTATGTATAAATATGTGTAACATACAATACATATGTATTATAACAATTTATAACATATATAATGTCAACCCTGGATTAATAAACCCCTAGGCTGTTTAATTGGGAGGGTACCATTTAAGTATTAGATTATGACTATTGGAGGAGTACCCTGAGTACCCCCTTAATTACTAAACCATTGTTGATTAATCCGGCGTTGACATTATATATATATATATTTACACATATATATATATATATACGTGTAAATATATATATATATACGCAATAATATTTTTTATATGCACATGTACACGATGTTGAAACTATATAATTACATATAATTACACATATGTATATGTATTACACACCTATACACTATATACATACATACATACATACATACATACAGACATACAGACATACATACATACAGACAGACAGACAGACATACAATTGCAACTGTATACATCACGTGTATATATATATATATACATAGCCAGTGATAAACCATCCTGAGTCTACCACAGGACAATTATACATGATATACAACATTTTTTGGGGCATATGCCATGGGGTGGGTGATGTGGGCTTGGAAGATGTTGGGAGAAGAAACAGACAACATCTCCTGGTTGAGAAAACCAGTTTCCCCAGCAACATTCCACGTGAGGACAAACCCATATCAGGAGTTCATAGCTATCAGGGTGAGAATTAAGTTGGCTGTGTTGTTGCACAGATCTCCCAACATCACCAGGGCTGTTTCAGTTGGCTTTCACTTTATGGGTTGGTGCTTGGTGACAGTTCGTTGGTGATAGCTATTGCACACTGGAGAAAGACGAACTGGTAAGTAGATGCAAGGCTCAACTTCGGGTACTTCATGCAAAGATCCTTAAGAAATTACACAAAGCAATAGAAAATAGCCGAAGTAAATTACTTTACTTCGTGTGATCCCCATCATGACATTTATACATTTTCTTACTGGCAAATCTTCTGGCATTCTATCTGACATATCTTCTGGCATTCTATCTGGCATATCTTCTGGCATATGTTCTGGCATATCTTCTGGCTTTCTATCTGGCAAATCTTCTGGCATTCTATCTGGCATATCTTCTGGCATTCTATCTGACATTCTTATCTGGCATATCTTCTGACATTTTTTCTGGCATTCTATCTGGCATATCTTCTGACATTCTATCTGACATATCTTCTGACATTCTTTCTGGCATATCTTCTGACATTCTGTCTGGCATATCTTCTGACATTCTATCTGACATCTTTTCTCACATTCTTCCCGTTGAGGTCCGGCAGTGCCCACTGCGATCTGGAAGTCGCGGTTGAGGTCCGGCAGTGCCCACTGGGATCTGGAGCTAGCGGTTGAGGTCCGGCAGTGCCCACTGCGACCTGGAAGTCGCGGTTGAGGTCCGGCAGTGCCCACTGCGATCTGCAACTCGCGGTTGAGGTCCGGCAGTGCCCACTGGGATCTGGAGCTCGCGGTGGAGGTCCGGCTGTGCCCACTGCGAGGAGGAGGCGGCGGGTGAGGAGGCGGAGGAGCCAGAGGAGGCGGAGGAGAACAGCTCTGATAAAATCTAACAACCCTCACCTGGCAGGTGGGGAATTGAGGTTTTGGGAAACCTATGGAAACCTCATCCATTCCAATGGGCGTGTTTTTCCCATCGCCATGTTTGATTACCAGAGGCTATGGGTCGCCATGTTTTTGCTTTGATGCCCCTGATCTGATTGTGATACTGTTCACCCATAAAAACACTGTCTATACAGAAATTCTAGTTCCCATTTTTTTAAGGAATTTTCAGAATTCCTGATTGTTGGTGATAGTCCATTCTCACATGTTTTTTCCGTATCCCAATATTTGTGTCACCTTCTGTGTCTTCCCACGTCGCTGAGAGCCCTCCGTGTCTTCCTCAGTGTTTTCGAGGTGTGGAGAGCGGGATCGGATGGCTCCGAAGTCGCTGGGCTCCGCTAATCGAACATACGATGTAGCGATGGTATAAATGGCCCATTTAGTTCGATGGTTTACCGTTTTTAAAAATGAAGATTTTCCAGTTCGCTATGTTAGATTATCGGAGGGTACATGCGTATACACATACATATATATACATATATATATATATACATATATATATAATAATAGTTAGTTATATATATATAACTATATATATTATTATACATATAATCATATACATATATATATATATGGAATTATATCACAGTACAAGCAGGACTTGATACAGATAGTGACTGTGGCTCACTTTTCTCTGTGCCCAAAATAATCCAAAATACGTACCCCAATAGCAATTTGATGCAATTTGTATATTATGGTGGGTGGTGAATGTTTTGTCAAAAAAACAAGTCAGTTTTGGGATTTTAACAGATCTTGAGTTTGTTTTACCACACAAAAAGGCCATATCACCGACCTGAATTCGGAGACATGGAAATTCATGGGTTTCCCACGGAAAATTATCTAATCTTCAAATGGTGGGTCTTTCATATCAACGTCAATCTACTGCAGGGCACAATGCAAAATGCTGGGTTTAATCCTGTTTCATCGGCTGGAGCCAGCTGTGATGCCAGATGGGGATGGGTGAATGCCTCTACCAGAATGGGAAGAACGGAATAACATCCATGACTCACCCAGATGCCACCAGTTATTGTGATCCAGCTATTTTGACCCATATCCAGATGTTCCATACTTCACTGCTGATCTCCTTGGATAGATCATTAAACCATAACTTGGGATGGCTGCGTCTCCCCTGCTGTGCAACTCAGGCGAGTCCAAAGTCCAAAGGAAGCCGGCCCAAATCCATCTGGAAGACCAGCACGGATCCGTTGACCCCCCAGTCACACATGACGTCGGACACCAATGGGCCCAATGGTCCCAATGGTCCCAATGAGCAGCTTATCTGGCTGATGGTAAGAGTTGGGTTTCGGGGGGATTTAACCAGCCAAGGCAAAATAGGCCGATAATGAGCGACAACAAAATTGACGTATTCTTGGATGATCTGGGATATACCACCAACAATATAGCTCTGAGATGCTCTGAGTGTTTGCCCACTGGATTCTGCGGACTGAACCTCGTGGACAAACCCAGCTGTGAGAGTTTTTTGGAACATGCGTCAGAATTCTTTAAACACGCAAAGATAATATGAGCACTACATATCCCTATCCCATGTTCAAGGTATGTATATAAATGTTTGATATTTGATATATACCCAAATGCTATATTCTGCATGTGGGATATAGATAACTAAAAACCTCTAATCACTACTACTACTACCACTACTACTACTACTACTACTACTCCTCCTCCTCCTGCTGCTGCTGCTGCTGCTACTGCTACTGCTACTGCTACTGCTACTGCTACTGCTGCTACTGCTACTACTGCTACTACTGCTACTACTGCTACTACTGCTACTACTGCTACTACTGCTACTACTGCTACTACTGCTACTACTGCTACTACTGCTACTACTGCCACTACTGCCACTACTGCCACTACTGCCACTACTGCTACTGCCACTGCTACTGCCACTGCCGCTGCCACTGCCGCTGCCACTGCCGCTGCCACTGCCGCCAGCCGCTGCCAGCCGCTGCCAGCCGCTGCCGCTACTGCCGCTACTGCCGCTACTGCCGCTACTGCCGCTACTGCCGCTACTGCCGCTACGACTACGACTACGACTATTACTACTACTACTACTACTACTCCTACTACTCCTACTCCTACTACTCCTACTCCTACTCCTACTCCTACTCCTACTCCTACTCCTCCTACTCCTACTACTCCTACTCCTACTCCTACTCCTACTCCTACTGCTACTGCTACTGCTACTGCTACTGCTACTGCTACTCCTACTACTACGACTACTACTACTACTACTACTACTACTACTACTCCAAGGTTTTTTTTCCCAAAGTTCTGATTGTTCCCATTCCTCGCTTGTTTGATACCAATCTGGGTGAGATTCACCCTGGCCCAAGGAACAGACAAGCTCATGAAGCTGAAACCAATGAGCTTCAAGCAACAGATACAAATCTGCAGATTGATATGCCTGCCGATACGGCGGGCCTTGGCCTAACACATCATGTCGTTTAACCTTGCTGAATGATAAACTGTTGATGGATTCAGTCTTAGCCTTGAAAAAGAGGGTAATATTATTGTATCTGGGGCAAAGACAGATCGCAGTTTGATTGATATCATTTTGGTAGGGTCACTTCCCATACCATCCCTGAGTTCCTTGATAGAACTTGTCATTCGGATGACATACAACGGCTTCGAACGACGATCACTAAGCCCCATGAGTGATGGTTGAATCAATATTTTACCAGCCAAAATGACATGAAGTCAGAATTTCAACATGTTGCAACACTTTATGACAACAACTATGCGCGATTCTTCAGAAACATTGGTTTGTCTGAAAATGAGGTACCCAACAGCTATTGATAAATCCCCTGGAATTGAGAGATGGGAGTACCTTATTTTTAGACAAACCCACATTTTGAATTGCAGACCTTGAAGAGATTTCCCTGCGAGGTGAATGAAGCGGCCGTCTTCGATGATGGTCTGGAAGAGGTGGAGGTCCACTTTGAGGATAGCGCATGGAGCATTCCCATGGCGCCTCGGAAGTTCATGAACCGAAATGGAACCAGTGATACCTGAGGGTACATTTGCCTATAAATGTGCAAAAGATGAAGATGTTTGTTGATGATTTTCCGAGGGAAACTATACATGTTCTACATCTACGCTAGTTTACCCGAAATCAAAAAGCAACAAGACATTCACATCAGGATTTAAGCAAAGACCGACTGATCCAAATGGTTTTGGCCAATGACCTACTGGTACCTCTCTGCTGTGTTCTCGGCCGTGACCAGGGAGTTGTTTGATGTGCCCCAGTTTCACCAAAACTGGAAACCACAACAGGGAGGTTAGGTCCCCATGATATCATCAACTTGACAATCACAAGATCCAAATACTGTATACGTAACAATGTCTACTTGTATTTTTACGTATATGTGTATATATATATATACTACATACAGACATATGACATACAATCACAAAACATAATATATATTCTGTATTTGCCCCTATAAATAAGCCGTCTGTTGTTGTTCGTGGCTCCAGGTGCTCGGCCTGGTGGACGCAGGCAGGTTCGACACCGGTTACGCGGTGCTGCTGCTGTTGGTGAACTGCGGGATGCAGGTCATGTTCTCAGGCGCAACGGAAGGCGGTGAAAAAGAAAGGGGTGAAAGGTGGATCTAGTTTCCAAAGAACGTAGAATTAGCTATACTATGCCAGTATATTCTTAGATAGTTCTTATATATAGATAGACACAGACACGCGCACATATATATATATATGATATTATATGTATAATTATATACGAGCAATGTTTCCCATTGACTTTCTGTACCATAGATGTCCTTTTTTGATGGGTTGGAAACCCAATGGTTTTTTTGGGTCGGTAGATGAAGGTCGATGCGTCGATCGGGTGTCCAACCGGCCCCTCTATTCTTTCCAACAGGACACCAACTGAGAGATGCTATGGTTCAATGGATTGGTGAAAGGGAACATTAGAGCAAACCATGGTTTTTTCCCAGAAAGTATGCGGGGGCTCCTGAAAATTTTCCCTTAAACCAATCCGCTGAATGTTTCTTGAATGGGGATATTGCTCCACGAAGTTGAAGCCATTGCCTCCACGCTGTAGGCATTTTGTTATCCGACGGATTCATGGGGGAGGACTTTTCAGAGGAGAAGGAGAACGCAGAGATTTGGCGCACCAGTGTGGCCCATGACTACAAGTACATGGACTTGGCACAGACCAGTTTGGTATCTTGATTGGCAAAGATGGTGGTCAATCTGATGTTTCCGCTGGTTGGTGGTTTCAAAGTTTGAACATGTGTCAAATGTGGTATGATTCTCCAGTCATTCGTCGGAAAAACCCATGGACTTCCAGTGGCGCGTATTGGGGGATTCACCTTGTTGGGGGGAAAAACCATCCGACTGCCAAAAGGCATGCGTAGCGTAGCTTCCACAAAGCTAATTAACTGTGAAAAACCATGGAAAACCATGATTGAAACCGTTGCTACTTGCATTTCAGTGGTTTCCCAGCTGGGAAGATTTCGAGCTACAGGTAACTCGTGTGTGCAGCGGAGATGGTGCATTGATCCTGTCCACAGTGCAAGCAACCTTGGTGCGGCAGATCAATAGCTATTCGATTTGGTGGCTTCAGTCTTTTTAACGTTTGATCCTAAAATATCTGGAGCTGATGTATTGTTTCATTTTTCTATCCACAAAAGTGGTTGGTTTGAATGGTTCTCAACTTGCTTACCATCCCACGAAACATCTCATGATGTGGTCCCAAATGTTGTTTATTCTCCATCCCAAGAAATGACCCACATGGATTTGATGCAGATCCTCAGGTTATTTGGGTTTTCCAACTGGTGATGGTGCAAACTTTGAACTGCCCACCTTTCAACCGGGGTTGCTGCTCTGATCCTTGGTGAACATGGTGGGAAAATGTGGGAAAAAATATGGAAAACGACTGTTTGTTTTTTCCAACGGTGTAGAAACCTCAGATCATTTGTCGCATTAAAATTGCCGTACCTAGGTGTCTCCTCCACTTTACGGAGAGCCTCAAAGAGCATCGTGCGAACAAGTTTTTTTTTCGACAAGAAATGTCATTCAACTTCGGCACCAGCCTCCCAGGTGTCCTTTGCATTCTGTTGTGGAGCCTTTGTGTCTACAAGGAGTTCCGCGGTATCTCCCTGTCCCTGGCCGCTGCCTGTCAGATTCCCAGGGCGAAAAAGACGGTTTTCAAAGAGGGAACGTTCTACAGGACAGTTGTGGGAGGGGGGACTAAGGGACCAATTTCTTGATCAGGGTAGCGGGATTCATATGGGTTTTGAATGGATCTAATCAAAAACTGCACAACACCCACATGGAAAAAACATGGATGATTGATGTATATTTATGTCCATAAATAAGCATTGAAAACTCATGGAATATCGGGGGTATGTAGCTCCTTTTGCCATGGGACCATGGCCAAATGAACCTCTGATCTCCCAGTGGTCCGCTGTCTAAGATGGCAGCGACTTTGGACAATCTCTTGAAAGCCCTAATTTTAGATTTACTAGTTACATGATATTACATGGATTCCATCTACTACTAGTTGGAAATATCTTCGCAAAATCTAGGAACCGATTATAGTTACTACAGTTAATTCCGTAGTTGGTGGTTTCAAACATTGTTAAATGTTCCCAACGGGATCATGATCCCACTGCCTCCTCTATTGCCCTATATAAAGGTTATACTGTGGTATACTGTGGTCATATTTGGGTTTGATTGTCGTAAGTCGTAAGATAATCCTCTTATTGCCTTGGTTCGTCCTCAATATTGCCTTGAGATTTCTGCACATGCCTACAGACGAATGGTGCTTCCTTACTGCTGCTTCCTTACTGAGACATATGAGGGGTATGCATCCAAGGGCAGTTGATTTTTCTTTTGAAACACGGGTTTTGTCAGTGTCCATTTCAGCAACTTATATAATATGCCCTCGAAGGGTGGCTTTATATGGTACAGTACGTCCAGTTTAGATACCTGAAATGGCAATGGATTTTGCGGAAGGTCAATGAACATGTGTTTCTTTAAAGAAAAGCAATTTACGGATAGATAGAAATCGTGATTGTCCATTGGCAGATTTGATTGCCAGATGGCCAGATGGCGTTGTTTATGTCAAATATGTATTTCCATCATATTACAATTACAATACATTATATGATATGACACTACAATTACATACAATTACACTATATTCTACGTAGTATATCATATTATGTTAGCTTAGTTGTGTTGTATTGTATCGGATTGTGTTGTGTTGTGTTGTATTGTATTGTGTTATTGTATTTTATTGTTGTATTTGCTGGTATGATAGTTTTTGGTTGTATGATATTGTCTTAAATAAAAAATATATTATAATCATACACATCATTTTAACACGTCATTTTGTTATATGATATATTTTACGGTATATTGTATTACATGTTTTACAATGTATTACATAGTATTATATTATGTCATAGTATATTATTTTGTAGTTTAGTTTATCGTATATGTTTATTTCACTACACCATTTGATATGTTATGTTATATTAGGTTTTTTGTCATTTTGTGTTGTATTACAGTATGTTGTATTGTATTTTATGCTGTGTTTTCTTGGTATTTGGTAGCGTACTATTGTACATTATAATGTTTTATTGTATTGCTGTATTTTTGTGTGTTGAATCACATTGACTGGTAGTATTGTATAATGTATACTATCATATTGAGTTTTATTATTATTATGTATACTATCATATGGAGTTTTATTATATTAGATGTTATTATATTGTTTGATATTGTAGTATATTGTGGTATAATTTTATTGTTTATAGTTTTTTCCATCACAATGTATTGTATTGTATTTTATAATATTTTATTACATATTTATTTTTGTGTTTTATTTATGTACTCAACCAATCTCCACTATACACTATATTGTACATGTACAGATATGTCTTTATCTTCAGGTACTCTCATCCTTAACAGCGATTTGTTCCCTAACCATGTCCAGTTTTCAGGATCTCGTTTGGTCGCTTTGGTCTGCTACTCTTCACCTATTTCACGCGCCTGGCGGTTGCAACGGTTTTACTCCTCGCGGGGATCTCCTGGTTGGCGCGGACCACTTCGATCTCGGAGCTCTGACCGAAAAAAGGTGGGAAAAATCCTGGAAAGCCGGAACAATGGCAGAATGATACCAAGATTTTTGGAAACCTTGAACCGTTAAACAGTTTTAAGCACATACATATATATATATACAGGTTTTCCTGTTTAGGTTGGTTGATGTTTGTTCCTTGAATCTAATTTCACATCAACTTGAAATTTCTGATTGCCGAATCAACAGACAAACCTTTTGCGGTCACCCAAATGATCACTATCATTCTTATTCCATCTTATTACTATTACCACTCCTATTCTTATTTGTTTGGTAGGTCACAGAAAAGACCTACCATACCTGCCCTATTTGAGTGTCAGAAGCCTTGTTCTTTTACATGTGTAATGTTCAAAGCTGGCTATGGTGAGATGTGTCATCACTCCAATCACTCTCAGGAATTTCAGGTCGGAGAAAGGTATTGTTTTAAGTCCTGGACGGCCATCCTTATATAAACAATTTTCTCACCATCACATCCCAGAGTCCCAAAAATGGGTGTAAGGCATAAGCTGCTGAACAAACAATAACATATATATAATACAGCATAATACATAGCATAATTATATATATACACACTATGTATATATATATAATTATATATGTGTTTTCTTGAAAGTGTCCCAATGGTATGGTTCTTTTCATTTCAATCACTCCAGTGGCGGCGGGGTTAGCATCAAAACTTCTCCGAGTTTAAGGAGCTCATGCTGAACGCCGTAGCTCTCAATGCCATCCTGGACGTGGATGAGTGCCTTGGTCGGGCTGGGATGAGGAGCCATAGATCCATGAATTTCACCAAGGAAAATAGGGATTTCACATGATTTCACCACCAAAGGATCGGGGAACTACAGATAAGAGGTCAAAATGTTGAATCAAATGTACTCCCAATTGGATCCCATTGCTGGTTTCATTCGTGTGTTTTTCTCCCATACTGATGATGTTCCAAAGCGGCTACCATGCATTGAATGGGCAGCTCAAACGGTTTGGAGTTGCCCTCGGCTTTTCCCTGATACGGAAGTTGATTCTTTTTACTGTACATGAACTCTTTTCCTGACTACCCTACCACTGTTTGAATACGGGTCTTTTGCACAAAGCCTGGTCAGTACTTAAGCATGAACCACTTGAAAAACTAGGATTGTCTCAGCTAACTGCGTGAAAGTACCTTTAGGGCTGATTGCCAGGATAGTTCATCCTAGTCCTTTCTTCGCAAAATGGGTAACCTTTCTTGAGAACGGCAATATGTTGTATTAATATTAACGTGCAACATATTACCTTTCTTTATTAAACGTGTTAATATGTCACACCCTTTTCAGATATTATGTTGTTTGCCCAGCTTAAGCTTTGGAATCATTATCATTCAAAACCTCGTAGAGAATGTTACAGTATTCTTATTCTACCCACCCCCCACTATTGCCCGCTCTCTATTATATTACCCAACCGCGTCATTATTATTTGCATGACTATTGTTATTGTCATCATCATACCCATAATATTAATAATTAATAATAATACCCATAATATATTTGCCATTATTATTGTACCATTGTATCATACCCATAATATTATTGTCCCATAATATTATTGCCCAATGATACAATAACAATATGATGGGTATGATGATGACAATTATATATATTGTTATGGGCCAATGATATAATATTGCCCAATGATACCCAATGATACAATCAATATGCCATTGCCAGGTTTTTGTTCCTGGGACTGACACCCATGAAGTTTCAGCATGGCATTCAAAGCTTGGCCCCTCTGACGGTGACACACAGCCGACGCAGAAGTCAGTGGGAGTCCAGTGTTCAGTGTGCCGCGTCCTGAACGGTCAAGGGATACTTGGAGGATTATCATAGTGATTTATCAAGAAACCGGATTTGATGTTTATTAAGTAACTGTCCCTTGTATTACAATATTACTATTAACTGGTTAGGAATCATATAGTACATCATAGCTACAATTCATTTATATAAATGGAATAACCCGCAGATCGGGGACTTATTAGCCAGGGTTCTTATATACCCAGGGCGGCCCGAGGGCGATCATTCGAGCCCAAGAAACTTTAGTAGACAGCTGTTTTCCCTGGTGGATAGCTATGGCTGTTACATGAATTGATACCGTAAATACATCAATTACAATTACAGTCATATAACAGCTCATAATGGTGGATTATGATGGTATACCTGTATAATGACCATCATCTATGGTGAACAGCTATGGTCAGGCATAATTCGGTATAATCACTGCTCAGTTTACTGTATATCAAACCCTGTCCATAAACTAACTCCAAATATTTGTCGCTGGTAACCAACTCATCAAATCCCCGGACCTGTTGATCAAATCACTGGCACTACTTTTCAAAGGTCCTGGTTGTTGCTACAGCTGCTACAATCCTCATGATTTCTTGTCAAATCCCATCTCTTCCCACTGAAGTTTCGAGCAAATTTTCTTGATTCGAACCTTTTTCGATCCCCATATTTTTTGGTCCTCACGGCAATTCATCAACGCACTGATGGGTCCGGCCTCAGGTCTGATGCTCTTCTGTACCATGTGGCTCCCCTTTGGTCTCTTGCTGCGGCCTCTGTCGAAGACCATGTTGGAGGTGAAGGAGACGCTTTGCAGCTGGGACTTTTTTGCGACTTATCGATGCTGATGAGATGGGGATGTAGTTACCATTGTTACCATAGGTATCCATAGGTTACTACTACAATATATTACAATGATCATGGGAAAATGGACCTCTTATCATATTTTCAGTTGTTTTTTATTATATAATAGGACATGAGATAACTGGATTCCATAGTACCATACATCACCATAATGGACATGATAATTGACAATTGGATAAAGATGCCTTACAATAGGGATATGATTGATATGGGTCAACAAACTCCACAATGGCTGAAGGGAAGGTCACGTTTGCGCAACTTGTCCAGTGGAGTTCTATGATGGGAGTATGATCGAAATAATAATTTGAAAGGTTAGACTACTTAGCCAGAAACAATGCGGATTGTAAGGTGGGGAAAACCAACTTCTATGCCATTGTGTACCTTACAGTAAGCCCCAAAAAGATAGAAAAGTCAGGTCCCTCCAAAATAATTGCAAAATGTTGTTCTCTGTTTTTTTTGGATTACAATTATTATACCTTTTTTGATTGGTATCTAGATTGTAATCCTACATGCACAGAGGGTTTGGAAGAAACATGCACGGTTTCTGCCAGGTGGTGGGAACCAGGCGTTCGTCATCTTTCACAATGCTGAAACCCAGATCCTTGTCTATTTGTGCCGGTCACAATGAGTGAGTCTGGAAATATGCCTTTGCACCCTGAAATGACTCAAATATATTGAAATATGACAATATTTGTCATATTTACGAGGATTGTTTTTCATGAACCAACGAATTGCACTACCCTAAGTTCCGACAAAACTAGGTGGTGATTGCAAATTCGATAGTCAGGGCGAAACTTTATCAACATGTCTTCGTTGTAGGACTTCGCCTTTGACTGGAACGTGATGTCAGGTCCTAGGTGAATGACTCATGGCATTGGGCGCTGACATGTGAGAGAAACTTCAAGATCCCAATATAAGCCAATCCTCCAACCCCAAACAACAATTTGTGTAGGGTGCAGGGAGTACAGCAACAAACATTTCTTTACGGTTGTTCGGGTTCCAGGATCGACTTTCTTAACTTGCTATCGGCTGGATCTCTTCGATGAAGCAGTAGAAGTAGAGCGTTTGGTCACAAATCCCGAAAAAGCCGAAAAGAACAATACTTCTTGGTAAGGACCTCATTGCGACATCACCATATATCATATATCAAAACAGGGTAATGTTAGGCTCCGATTTGTGGGGCCGGGCCCCCCCAAGAATTTTAGGCTGCTCAATAACTCGGCATTTTCTGTGCCCCTCCCTCAACACTTTTTAGGATAGTCAACTTAAGTAAGGATTTCAATTGACATCAATCTAATTTCAATTGCTTTTCCTTTTACACCTCCAAGAAATCTATTGATAAGAACCGATTTCAATTGAAACCAATTTGCTCTCAATTCATTTGAATCTACTTTCAATTGATTTTCCTTTTAAACTTGAAAAAATGTATTGATAAGAAAGGCTTTCAATTGAAATCAATCTACGTTCAGTTGCGTTTCCTTTTAAACTTAAAAAAACAATATTTATAAGACAGGATTTCAATTGAAATCAATTTGTTTTCAATTCATTTGAACCTACTTTCAATGATTTTCCTTTTCAATCTAAAAGAAATCTATTGATAAGAAAGGATATCAATTGAAATCAATTTACTTTTAATTCAACTGAATCTACTTTCAATTGATTTTCCTTTTAAACCTCAGGGAAATCTATTGATAAGAAAGAATTTCAATTGAAATCAATTCACTTTCATTTCAATGGATTTTTCTTTTATATAAATTAGAAAAATGCCCCAAAAGTTTTTGCGCACAATAGGGTACCATCGAAACAATTACATTATTGAGGATCTGGGTCACTCATGGGGTACCCCCTTGAAAAAAATGTTTGGGTGATGTTTCTTTAATAAGGGTTTAATAAGGCTTTTTTTTGGCAAACCTTGCGTTTTTAAGGCTTTAACATGGATATGGCTTTCCAAAGTAAATGGACCAGCTTTACCCAAAGAAAGGTGGATAAAAGTTTTTTGTCTTTTCACCCCAAATGTTTTTGTGCACAATAGGGTACCATCGAAACAATTACATGATTGGAATCTGGGTCACTCATGGGGTACCCCTTTGAACAGTTGTTTGGGTGCTGTTTTTAATAAGAGCTTAATAAGGCATTTAATTATTTGGCAAACCTTGCATTTTCAAGGCTGTATCATAGATATGGCTTTTTAAAGTAAATGGATCAGCTTTACCCAAAGAAAGGTGGATAAAAGTTTTTTTGTTTTTTTCACCCCAAAAGTGTTTGTGCACAATAGGGTACCATCGAAACAATTACATTATTGAGGATCTGGGTCGCTCATGGGGTACCCGCTTGAAACATTGTTTGGGTGCTGTTTTTTTAATATGGGCCTAATAAGGCATCTAATTATTTGGGAACCTTGCATTTTCAAGGCTTTAACATGGATATGGCTTTCTAAAGTAAATTGACCAGGTGTGTAAATAAACAAGTGTAATTAATTATGTAATCATTTTTCATTGAACAATTTTTCCCTCCTGAAAAAAAATGGATCTGAGAAAAAACTTCTCACAATAGAGCTTCCCCCCAATCAGCAAGACGCTCAATTAGGAAGGGAAAACAATAAGGTACCATCACACTAATCGGAGGCTATCATTACCTATCCCAAATGGTTTTATTTCAGGTTGATGAAATATGATGAAATCAAAGTAGATACATGGGTTGGCGTGAAAACGGGCTACCGGAAATACAACAGATTTGATTTTCATCACTTCCACTGGAACTGCATGTTTGGGGTACGCCCCATTTTGTTGGCAAATCCATTTCTTAATCCAACAGTAACAACCATTAAATGCTTGACAATAAGATATGATATCAGGATCAAACATGGGGATAGAACTGTTGCAGCAATCAGATACCATTGAAAATGGACCCTGGAGATAGAAAAAAGGCTGCAACTACTGAGTAAAGACCACAGTTGTATTGAAAAAATGGATGGTTTTATGTAGATGTGTGACTCCGAAGATGAATGATGATGTCATTTGATGCACACTTTCTATCCAGTGATTCGGAGGTTGAGGTAAGGATCTATGGGCATCCATATTCCCCTATTTGGGGAGCTAAGTAGCTGCAAGAGTTTCCCATCCATATGATAGTCTTTGCTGACAGAAAAACAATTCTTGTGAAATGTTTTTTTCCCCGAAGATGTGCGGGACGACTCATCAATGTTGTTTTTGTATGTTTTTGTTTATTTAGTGCTTACATAGAATTTATCCAACTGGTAAAGGATGCTTGATAACAGCGTTCTTTCCCACCAAAACTTCTGATGATGACCTCTCAAAATTCCCTCCATCTAACTAGTATGAGTTCGATAGTGTCTGATACTAAAATCTACTAAAAGTGTCGAGTCCATTTGTAGTCTCCTGAATCTTAGATGTGTGCCCATTCCCACCCAACCCAACTGAGTTTTTTTCTTTTGAACCCTCAGACCTTGCCGATCGGAGTTCATTTGGTGAAATGTAGTCCCTTTAGTAGTAAGTGTTTGTAAATACACTCGATGGTCTCATTCTAAGTCCCATGTACAAATCCTTAGTATCCCTTAGTATAATCCCATTCTAACTCTAAACTATCACAATTACATACAATTCCACTTTATTCCCTTTCCAAACCCAATTTCTACTTCTATAATATTTAACACCAGTATTGTCCACTCGATTTGATTGAAAGTTCCTTAGGGTATATCAGAATATCCACAACCAATATACAGTAATCCAATCTCTAAGATATAAACATCCATATATAGATTCCAATATATATTTATATACAATATATAATGTTTGATGATATATATATATACATATATATATATATATTCCAATAGATCAGTAATTAATATAGATTCCAACCATAGAATCTCCACGGCTCAGGCTGACCTACGGCCTGATGACCTCACAGGACCGCGGCCTGGGCAACCTCTCCGTCAGCGAATTGGCGGTGCAGGCGACCGGGACCTGGTGGACCTGGCCAGGTCCCTGGCAACCCGGGGGGCCGGTGAAAGAAATGGGGGGTTCCATAGTCCCAATAGAAATGGATGGTTTATAAATGATAAATGATAACCCCATAGTCCATCCAGCTGAATTATAGCTCAGTCCAGCTATAGTCATCCATAGTCATCCTAAGTCTCCTTGCTGGATTGTTAAAATGATGGCTAAATGATAATCAAAAAAACACCATGAGTCATAAAGTTTGGATTGTTAACTGTTAGATGGCTGAATGATCACCATCACCATTCACCACCATTTATCATCTGGGCTTTCCTAAAATATGGGTACCCCAATAGCTGGATGGTTTATTTCATGGAAATTTCATCTTTAAATGGATGAGAACTAGGCGTACCCCCATTTTTGGGAACCTCCAAATGGAAAAATCATGCAAGAAATTGGGAGTTCATGGGGGATCTCATGGGGGCTTCATGGGAGATATCATCAACTTCAATGGGATTTCATGGACATATCATAGGATATCAAATAAATGGGATATCAACAGGGATATAATAGGAATATTAATGATGATACAGATGGGGATAAAAGGGACGGAACTAACATGAACTAACCAACTTTGACATGATATTGGGTGTGTCTGAAAAAGGGTTAGTTCCCAAGTGAAATGGCAACTTCAATAGGAGAGTCGTGTTAGTTGAAAATGATGTCGGGCTGATTATTGCATACCTGGGTTGTCTGAAGATGATGTTTTACACTCCCATCAGTGAATCCACCATCTGGGGAATCTATATACAAGGAATATGTTTTATTTTTTTGGATCCCTTCAACAAATCCAAGATCAATAGCATCTAACAGCATCTTTTTGGATGATATATAACTATGATAATCTGGGTTCAGCCATTCTGGCTGATAACCTGCATTTGGCTAGTTGTTCTCACCAAAATAGCTGGTAGTCATGGATTTGAATACCCCCGAAATATCCCCAAATATGGTATTTTAGATTCTGACCCATCCCCTCCGCCCGGTTTTTGTTCCCCTCGGAAGATTACATCAAATTCATTCACCACCATACGTCGCTGAAAATCTAAATAATGCGGGGTTTAACTCGGCTTAACCATCAAACAGATGGATTTGAAGCCACTCAACTGGGTATATTTGGCAATATGAGACATGATTTTTAGATATCTGTGGCCAATTGTATTGAAATAAAAACAACCGGAAAATCCACTTGAGGGAATAAAACCAAGCATTCATGGCCAGGAAAAAGTGAGGGTTTTTTCGATGATAGGCCACTGGATTTGGGAACAACCCATGGTGTGTCAAGATGAGGAACTCCTTCTGTGTATGGAAATTATCCATAATAGAAGGATAGCAAAATTACTGTACTTACTATTATAGTATATTGTATAGATAAACTAGAGTTGAGAGTAACTCCATAGGTATTTCCAAACCAACATTTTTATGGATATTTGGACGAAAATATATTTCTATACATCACCAACAAGTATTTCGGAACAAATTGAGCTGTTTTATGATGTTGTTGTTTCAGACGTTCGTCATTGTCCCAGATTTTCTCTATGGAACTTGCGACCAAACATGGCGGAGTACCCGGGGTAGCCGTGCAGGACTGGAAGTTCAGCTCGGAGCCAATGCCTGGGCGCCTCTGGCCTTGAGATGGGATTAGCGTGCTTCCATGAAAAGGGCTAATGATTTCAGGCTACCATTTGCTTAAATGTATTTTCCAGAATGGAAAAAATCCCAACTTTCATTGGACGCGTATGATTTTCACATGAGTTAAATGTTTATATAAAGATTATCAAAGTAGCAAGAAATTGCCAGGTGAAATTTCTGGCAACCAACAGAGCGCGGAGGTCGCCTTGACTAGTGAAAAACACAACGCTGATGCCACTCATGGCATCAGAGTTGGAACCCGATTCGAAGAACCCAGCCTCTCAACCACCGGGCCAGGACGGGCATAGAAAGAGACCAGTTATATAGTTATGACGAGTTCAAGCGGGCCTTAGAGATCCCAAAATATTGGTTTTATTCAAATTAAGATTGCATCGCGCTGCAGGTGCCCATTTTTCTGTTGAATCTCCCTATGTATTTTACATTATTTTACGTGAAAGAATCCTTTCTGAAATCCAGTCATGTCCTACGGTGAACTTCTGGGAAGTATCCCAATCCTTCTTGGTCCGCCTCTCTTTTGTGTGTATCCCAGAAATCGATCAATGCCACGGATCCGCTTCATGCCTCCTGCAGCCGGTCTCCCGTGGTCAGAGGTACATCCTTTTCTCGGCCTCAGAGGAGCTCTTTGAAGTGGAGAGAGTGCGGTCCATGACCGAAATTGGATCCAGTTTGCCTATGTGTGCCATGGTGCAGTGGGCCATGGGAATGGAAGCACTCATTTTTAATCCCTTCTGTTTATGTACATCAAAATAGCTGGTTGTTATGGATGGTCATCCCCTCAAATATATATATATATATGATATATATATATATATCATATTATATCAATATACATAATATATATAAGTAAATAAATAGATAAGTAAACAAGTACATAAATAAATAAATACCCCCAGGCCCGGGGGTGCCGCCCAGACTGAGGTTTATCATGTCACCAACTCTTTAGGGTTTGTTTAGGGTTTGTTTAAGGTGTATCTAGGGTCTCATTCAGGGTTTTTAGGCTGTTTACCATGGTTTTATATAATGAGTTTCACTTTCAAGGCTTACTTAGGGTTTCATGTCAGATTTAGGTTTTAGGTTTTGGATTTAGGGTCTAAAGTTCTTGACAGTGAGATTACTTCATTGGATTGATATATTTGGTTGCTTTACCCCTCTGTGCTGCATCTTCTCTTCAACGTTCACTCTCCCCCCTTTGCAATGGAGCACCACCCCCACAAATAATGTGGAAGGTATGAACCCATCAAATTGGGAGGATTAAACGACAAAAATGGGAATCAACCAAACCTTCGGTAATAAAAACCTTACAACCAAAAGCTACCATTGTTGATGGTAAGATCATGTAATTATGTAATCATGTAATCATGTATTCATGTAACCTATATATCTATTTGTCTAACTAACTAATCTATCTATCTACCTATCTATCTATCTATCTATCTGTTTATCTATCTATCTATCTATCTTGTCTTATCTTATCTTATCTTATCTTTTCTTATCTATCTTATCTATATTATCTATCTTATCTATCTTATATGTATTATCTCTCTTATCTATCTTATTTATCTTATCTATCTTATCTATCTTATCTATATTATTTATCTTATCGATCTTATCTATCTTATCTATCTTATCTTATCTTATCTTTTCTTATCTTATCTTATCTATCTTATCTATCTACCTTATATATCTTATCCATCTTATCCATCTTATCTATTTTATCTATCGTATCTATCTTATCTTATCTTATCTTATCTTTTCTTATCTATTTTATCTATCTTATCTATCGATCTATCGATCTATCGATCTATCTATCTATCTATCTGTCTATCTGTCTATCTGCCTACCTGTCTATCTGTCTATCTGTCTATCTGTCTGTTTGTCTATCTGTCTATCTGTCTATCTGTCTATCTGTCTATCTATCTATATTATCTATCTTATCTATCGTATCTATCTTATCTATCTTATCTATCTTATCTATATTATCTAGTTTATCGATCTTATCGATCTTATCGATCTTATCTATCTTATCTATCTTATCTATCTTATCTATCTTATCTATCTATCTATCTATCTATCTATCTATCTCCATCTATATCTATATCTATATCTATATGTATATCTATATCTATATTCTATCTATCTAGCTTTCTATCTATCTATCCATCCATCTATCTATCTATCTATCTATCTTATCTCTCTATATCTATCTATCTATCTATCTATCTATTTATCTATCTATCTATCTATCTATCTCTTTATCTATTTATCGTTCTATATATCTAGCTATATCTATATCTATATCTATCTTATCTATCTTATCTATCAGTTATATCTTATCTATATATGTATCTATCTATCCATCTATCTATCTATCGATCTATCTATCTATCTAATCTAATCTAATCTAATCTAATCCAATCTAATCTAATCTAATCTATCTTATCTATCTTTTCTCTATTATCTATCTTATCTATCTTATCTATCGTATATATCTTATCTATATTGTCTATCTTATCTATCTTATCTATCTTATCTATCTTATCTATCTTGTCTATCGTATATATCTTATCTATATTATCTATATTATCTATCTCCTATCTATATTATATGTATTTTCTTTCTTATTTATCGTATCTGTCTTATCTATCTTATCTATATTATTTATCTTATCGATCTTATCTATCTTATCTATCTTATCTATCTATCTATATTATCTATCTTATCTATCTTATCCATCTTATTTATCTTATCTTTCTTATCTTTCTTATCTATCCTATCCATCTTATCTATATTATCTATATGTTCTTATCTATCTTATCTATCTTATCTATCTTATCTCATTGAAGTTGATCTTTTCTAATCTAATGTAATCTAATCGAATCTAATCTAATCTATCTATATAATCTAATCTATCTATCTATCGATTGATCCATCCATCCATCCATCCATCTATGTATAATAAGTGGTAATTGAAACCCACCAAGCTAGCCTAACTTGTCAGAAAGTACATCCCCCACTGTTCCTGTTGAAATGGACATAAAATGGCAAACTGTAGATCTTTTTGGGCAAACGGGTCTCAGCCATTCAATGGGATCAAAAATAACTTGGGCCTGCTTTCTGCTTAATCAGTTGCATGGTCCATGCTTGTTTCTTAGAAGGGACAAGACCAAAAAACGATGCCAAACTTTAGTTCATCACTTAAAGGTGACAACCCAAAGTGTTCGGACTATCTTTCAAGGGCGACGGTCAGTGTAAAAGTGCGGAAAAGCCCGGAATCAAACCGTCTTCCCTTAACACCTTCTGAATTTTGACAGTATTTTCACTCAGCAGCACCAAAAAGGGGCTTGGATTCGAGGGGGTTACTTATGATAGATTTAGTTTTTGTAAAGGGTTTTTTTGTAATTGAATTATATAAAGGTTGTTGGCAAGTCAAAATGTCTTAAAAAGTCTTTTAGAGACAAGTAGAGAAGAATAGAGAAGGATAGAGAAAACCCAAGAAAGAAATGAATCGTTTTTAAATCATGTTTTCACTGATTGACACCAATGGAGAAACACAGTGATCCAGTGTTGTTTTCAGGTTTCAGGCCCTATCAAGTTCTATCCGGCGCAAATGCTGTCAAGAGTTGTCCAATGTTGTCACGTCTTTTCCAATGTTTTCAATTGTTTTCAAACGATGTCAGGTGTTGTCAAACGTTGTCAAGTGTTGTTAGTCCACCACCAAGTGCTGCCAAGTGTTAACCAGCAAGAGCCAGCCAGAAAAAATGATGGCTCCCAAGAGCCACAAGCCAACCACAATGACATCAGAGCAAAATAGAGAACAATTGAGAAAAAAGATACAGTTAGAGAAAAATAGAGAAAACTACAGAAAAATAGAGACATATGTCAAACAAATGAGGTTGTGTTTGTAATTGGTCTTTAGCTGGCAGAGAAGCATAGAGCAACATAGAGCAACATAGAGAAAATTTAGAGAAACATGGAGAAAAAATGAGAAAAATAGAGATAGCATTCACATCAGAAACCGTTCAGCCACCCACCCTGCAGGAAGGGAATCCTACCCCAAGACCGCTCAGTCAGCAATAGCCACCCACACCTACCAGGAAGCTGTTTGAAGATGATGAAGCCAACTAAACATGTTTCGGAATCCAACGTGCATTATGGTAGATACCTGCTTAGAACAAGTCAGCATTTGACACAACGTTTGAGTTGATATACATCACAAAAACCACCATCACTTGACATATGAACCATCATACAACATTGTCAAATCCACACAACATGGACTTAGTACAATGGCAGAGGCTCAAAGTAAATCCCCAATGTTCTCAGTCCACAGCTCATGTATTTCAATGGTTACACTTGATCCTCTCGAGTGCAAAAGGGCAGGAGTTTGATTTGAAAATGCTAAGTGTCTTTCTTGGAATTTCTCTATTATTCTTTATTATTCTCTCTTTGTCTCCGAAAGACTTTCTGAGACATGTAGAGTTGGAGACAGCCAATGCATAAAAATCTATCTTGGCTAAACCCCTACATGCTGAGCTCCCTTTCCCGAGTGCTGAATCACCCGCTCTACATTTTTTGTGGCTATTTGCCATCAGAATGGATCGCGCCCTCCTAGGCAGCTGCTAGCGACTACAATAATATGAGTCTCTTGCAGTTTGGAAATGGCCATCTTTGGGTTCCCTGCTACGTCGGGGGCTGAAAATGGGTATACCCCAGTGGCATTAGCCACTGGATTTAGGGTACCATAATGTTTTTGTGCAAACCGATTTAAGGTCTGTACCTTCTTTTTGTGCGAAGATTTTTCGGCTTTGCCCAGTAGTGACCAATGTGTAAATGTTGACGAATGTCCGGCGCACAACATGGCTATGTGGATCCATCATCTGCTGACAAAGTTGCAGTCGATGAAACTGGTGAAGTCGATCTTCAGGTGCTGTGCTTGACTGGAGAAGGAGTGACAGAATGTGTCCCTTGCTCTATGCTTGGATATGACCTGCGCAGATTGGTGTCGGAGAAGCTTCCATGCAAGCCAGGCGCCAAGCTCGCCGTGTATAACGGGAATGCCAAGGTGACGCTGAATCAAACCTTAGGAGAACAAGGAATTGTTGGAAAATCGGCATTGCTGTCCTGCACTTACATACCAACAAATGTGTACACTGCATGGTGTTATGTCTGTGGGCTCCCGACTTGTGAGAGAGAATTTGTGCTAGAAGGTGTAACAAACATTGAGGGAGCAACGAGTGGAGAGTATTTACGTCATTTGCCTCAAAGCCTTGCAAGATTGACTTTTTCCACTTCCTTCAACCAAAGCCTAGAGCAGGTGACATTGCCATTGAGTCTTCAAAGCCTGCGTTTTGGTGATCGATTCAACCAAAGCCTGGAGAGGGTGACATTGCCATCAAGTCTTCAATGCTTGAGTTTTGGCCATGGGTTCAACCAAAGCCTGGAGCAGGTGACCTTGCCATCGAGTCTTCAAAGCCTGAGTTTTGGCAGGGTATTCAATCAAAGCCTCGAGCGGGTGACCTTGCCATCGAGTCTGAAATGCTTGAGGTTTGGTTATTTGTTTAATCAAAGCCTGGAGCAGGTGACCTTGCCATCGAGCCTTCAAAGCTTAAGTTTTGGCTCTGTGTTCAACCAAAGCCTGGAGAGGGTGACCTTGCCATCGAGTCTTCAAAGCTTGAGGTTTGGCCACGGGTTCAACCAAAGTCTGGACCAGGTGACCTTGCCATCCAGTCTGCAAAGCTTGAGTTTTGGCAGGGATTTCAACCAAAGCCTGGAGCGGGTGACCTTGCCATCGAGTCTTCAAAGCATGAGTTTTGGCGTGGAGAGGGTGACCTTGCCATCGAGTCTTCAAAGCTTGAGTGTTCTTCATGAGTTCAACCAAAGCCCGGAGCAGGTGACCTTGCCATCGAGTCTTCAAAGCTTGAGATTTGGCTATCGGTTCAACCAAAGCCTGGAGCGCGTGACCTTGCCATCGAGTCTTCAAAGCTTGAGTTTTGGCTATCTATTCAACCAAAGCCTGGAGCGGGTGACCTTGCCATCGAGTCTTCAAAGCATGAGTTTTGGTCATGAGTTCATCCAAAGTCTGGACGACCTTGCCATCCAGTCTGCAAAGCTTGAGTTTTGGCAGGGATTTCAACCAAAGCCTGGAGCGGGTGACCTTGCCATCGAGTCTTCAAAGCATGAGTTTTGGTCATGAGTTCAACCAAAGCCTGGAGCAGGTGACCTTGCCATCGAGTCTTCAAAGCTTGAGTTTTGGTCATGAGTTCAACCAAAGCCTGGAGCGGGTGACCTTGCCATCGAGTCTTCAAAGCTTGAGTTTTGGCTATCGGTTCAACCAAAGCCTGGAGCAGGTGACCTTGCCATCGAGTCTTCAAAGCATGAGTTTTGGTCATGAGTTCAACCAAAGCCTGGAGCGGGTGACCTTGCCATCGAGTCTTCAAAGCTTGAGTTTTGGCTATCGGTTCAACCAAAGCCTGGAGCGGGTGACCTTGCCATCGAGTCTTCAAAGCTTGAGATTTGGCTATCGAGTCTTCAAAGCTTGAGTTTTGGTCAAAGCCTGGAGCGCGTGACCAAAGCTTGCCATCGACCTTGCCATCGAGTCTTCAAAGCTTGAGTTTTGGCGATCTATTCAACCAAAGCCTGGAGCGGGTGACCTTGCCATCGAGTCTTCAAAGCTTCAGTGCTTGCTATTCATCACGTATGGTGTCGGTCGGTATTGCCAGCTGTCCTTAGTTTTTTTCTGACACAATCGCGAATCACGCCAAACATAGAGTTGGAAACAAAAGAGGGTTGCTTTCCCTCGGATGTGTAGGGCGACCGACCTCTGGTGCTTGAGGCGACTTGGACTAGTTTTCTTTTGAGTTGTCAGTCGGTGAATACCCCCATCTTTTGGTAAAGATGTTGATTGCATTTTAGTTGGAGGATATTCAAATTTTGAGGTATGCTGTATGCTGCTGGGTGTCCTGATTTTTTTGGGGCCCCAGAGAGCACCACTCCACTAGTCAGGGTAGACCAATATTGATCCATAGCGAAATGGTGGTCATTCTCAAGAAAAGACGACAACTCTTTCACTTTTTTTGATACGGTTTTATAATAAAAGCATTTTTTGGACGTGCTGGAGACCCGATGTTATTTGATCCTCACCCATTGAGGAGATGAACCAACTTCAATGTCATGGGCTGCAATCCACTTTGGATTTTGATTTTGTGATGTCTCCTGAACTATCGATGGGACTGGCCATATCAAACTATCAGTGTTGTTTTGTTCTGTTAATATGCTTATATGATCTTATATGATCTATTCTTGGATTCTTGGATTCTTTTAGATTCACATATCATTATTTTGTCAAACTCTCATTTTTTCTTTAATAATCATGACTGATGTACTGGTTTGACTAGAAAAAGAACTCGTGGCCCAAACTCGATGCTGGCAAAATTCCCTCAACAGGTTTGGAGACGGAGGTGCTGTTTGATGGCGGGAGCCTGCGCAGCTGGGTGGAATCAGTTGTGTACCTCATTCCATCCATTGGTTTATCATCATTGATCCCAATATCCAGTCAATTTTGGTTATCCCCCATTTTCAGACCCACCCAAATATCATATCAAGTTGGTTAGTTGTAACCCAATGATATGCCATGAAGTGTGTTGAATGTCAAGGAGACTAGGAAATCATAGGTTGGTTCACACCCAGGTTCACTGAAGAGGTCTTCATGTCAACAGCAAAAGTGTTCCCCTGCAATTTCATCATCTGGGTGGCGGGTGGATCTGAAAATGGGGGGTACCCATAAGAAAAAAAACGGAAATTGACAAGGTATCATATTTTTGGGGACCCTATTTTCAATTAAAAAAGCGGTTCATTTGCATGTTTCCAGTGGGGCTAACCCGGCCTATTCATGAGACATACCGGGGTTCCCTTGGCAAAGTATGAGCTTTGTGCAGATTTGCGCACGACCGTAGGAGTTTTCTAGAAATATAATTATATACTGTACATTTATTGTTTTGTTGCTTATGTATACCGTAAGAGTTATAGCAGTACTGCAAGATCTGTGTTAGCAAGTTCACTCTCTCTCTCTCTCTCAAAGATCTCTATATGATGGTTCTGCAAGACTCTGTTGGAGCAAGATCTATGTAGATGTCCTCTTAGTTGTCACACTGCCTGAGTAAAAAATGAGATGTCGGCAGCACGGTTTTTGGTGTCTATGATGCAAACTGTGTCGGTAAACAATCCATGATTGCTGATGTTTTTTTGTGTGTCCATAGATTTCCTCGTCATCGTGTGGCCCATTTTCCCTTTTTCCAGCTACAGTGGCTTTGCAAGGAATCAATACCAGTTGATAAGCCATTCGTGGTGACAAACATGCCATTTGGACCACCATAGCCATTTGTTGTCAATTTCCACAATAGATCATGCAATTGTTGCCAATTGCTGGTTTGACCCTGTGTTTTATTTGTTTAAATTTTGCCCAAACCCAGTGGATCCTGGTCGATGCTATTTTGGGACCGTGGGACCCATCACTTTGTGTTTTCTTCTGAGTGAAATCCTTTCTTTCTTTGGTTGAAACGTCATCTTCTGTTGTGTTTGTTGGTCAAAAAACCCGGTGGGTGGTGGAAATGTGTCTGTCGCTTCGGGTGAAATCCGTGAAATCCATATGGGACCACTATTGGGGACCTAATTTTGACCCAATTCATCACCTAAAATGGGGGTGTCCCCCAAATCATCCAAACTTAGACCATGTTGATCCATTTTGATATTGAAACCTGTGGTTTTGGAGATCCCTCATTTTAAGACACCTCCATTGGTATTGTGGCTGAAGTCCCTTTCTTATCACCCAAGGTAATGATTCCAACATCTACGAGTCTGTCCTTCTGTTTCTTCGATCCGCGGGAGCGGCCATGGGACTTGAAGGTGCCCATTTGGTGCCGGGGACAATATGGACAACGTGGGGATGTGTCAAAACCCTGTGATTCTGAGCAATTCCTGCGCGCGGCCATGTCGATTTTCCTTTTGGCATGGACTCCACAACAAATTGACATCATTTTCTGGTCTGCGCCCCTGAGGTTTTGTAGCATTTTTTGGCCAATCGATCTCTCGCTACACTCTCGTTCACTTGTTCGGACAGCGCCAGATCGAAGCCCGAAACCGTGGAAACACAGACCCTACCTTGGCGAGCCCTGGAGCCTCCATACCTATAAAATCCTATCACTTCCATACCGGCAAAAATGCTGCTGGAGTGTGACCTTGATCTAATGTCTTCACTTCCCAGCTACTCTTGCTACCTTTCTGCGTTACATGATGACGAAAAATTAACCATTGACATTCGATGACATCCGTCCGTAACTCAGAAGTTTGCTAACCCCAGGTGCATCGAGCTGCTCGGAGCTCAGCCATTTATGTGGCCTGGCAGTGTCAGTCAGTCCCAATTACAAAGTGGAAGATATCATGGGAATATCATGGGGATATAGTGAGACATATTGAGATATGATGGTCTATAGTGGTCTATAGACTATAGACTACATAGACTCAACATGACCCAACAATATATGATAAAATGGGGTGTCATCGAACGTTGGCTGGGACATCCCTGCACAATCTCCCTCTTAATATCCCTTATAAACCACCAGAACCCGGGTGCCACTTTTTGGGATATTTTATGTTTTTTTTAGGGGTGTCAAAAATGCTTAAAAACGAGAGCGTTCTCCCATTTGGATGCGATGTAAACAAGAAAAAATGTCATTATATAAGGTTCCGGTTTGGCTGAACGCTACACCAGAATTGCCATTTTATAACCTTAAAGAATTGCCAACTTTCAAGGATGGTATATTGGAATTACCATTTTATAAGGAGGGGCATCATTTGATGAAGATTTGTTTAATAAACTGGCGGTACCCCGGTTCCCGGCCTAATTATAAGGGGGATCCCGCACAAAAAATGATGTTTTATTGTGGAAATATGAGGACATCATCCAGCGAAATGGGGGAATTTCCCAGCTTGCCATGTTTGGGATGTCAAGTGGGGATGCACAGAATGGACGAATCAGTTGTAACAAAAAATATTGGGATGGTCAACCGTTCTGACCGGGAAAAGCGGGGTTGAATCAAGAACAACATGAGGTTTCAAGGATGTTTTCGTGGGAAACACCAAAAATTGAATTTTAACTAACCAACAAACTCTGGTGATTCAACTCAGGAAACTGTTGGATATTGCCCAACAAATTTGGGACATACATGGCCATGGAAAATGAGGACACACCCGGCAAAAAGGGGGATATCACTGACATATCATTGGCAAAGATTCCATGTCACCTCTTTATATGTTTGACAAAGATTCAGATATCGGGTTGGCAAAGTGCCGCTGGTTCATCCAACAGCCGGATGGAGGCTTAAGCAACGATTGGGAGTTTCAATCAGTTTCAGAGGTCAAACAAATCGTTTAACGGTTGAACGGTTGGTTCCCATCGACCACAAAGAGTGCTAGTTTTCCACCCTTGTGTTTGACATGTTTGAAATCACGACGATCTATAATATGTATATATATATATATAATATAATTTTTATATATATACTGTAATATTATATATATACATATATATATCGCAACAGAAACTCCATGACCCAATCAGTGTTTGATTTCGAAAGTCATTTGATGGCTGGAAGTTTGGTGTGTGTGTTTTTCAGTGATAGGACGAAGTTTCCACTTAACGGTTGTTTAGGTGGTCAATGCAACCTGGGTGGTGGTTTGCGCATGGGCCCCAAAAATGGCAACTCACATCAGCTCAGCTGAATCAGCTCAGGTGATCATCACAATGCTCGGCTTTTGCGTTACACTTGTGGCCACACATGTGGATGCACAGAACCTTTACCACAAGAAAGTGGGCAGTTGTGGAGCCGGAAACAACCACAATCTAGGAATCTAGAATCTATAGAAAGGTGGTCGATTTTTGTCAGTGGGGGAAACGATGGGAAACCAAAGGTTGGATATGGCTACGGATGATCTCATTTAGGGGTCCTGGACTTGATCCCTTTGTCAAGCTATGATTCCTGCATGAGTCCCTGCACCCGCGGGATAATGAACACGGGTCAATGAGGCAATGGACCGGGGGATTGATCTCAAACCAGCCATTTCCCATCCATTTTCCATTTATTTACATCCAGTATATTCCACCATATATGGATATGTATATGGATATGGATATGAGATGATATGAGCCAATATTTGCCCCCAGCCATCTCCACTGCGCTTAGGATCCTGCAGCCTCGCCATGGTACAAGCTGCCCAACCAGGGCTGTGCCCCAACCTGCACTTGGCGTGCAACGATGCTACGGAACCAACAGCCTTGTGAGGACGTATCGGCCAACCACAGCAGCTGGCAGAAATTTTGGTTGGACTATGCGTGTCTTGGGCGTTCTGATGGGATATGTCGGATGTGGTTTGAAATTCAATGGTTTTGGCAGTTTTTTTTAATGAAAGACCGGCCACTTGTGGTTCAACTCAGTACCGCATTTTGAATCATTTTGATGCATTTTGGTGATCTCGGAGTTGGTGAAGATACCAAGTAGAGGTGTTCGTAAATTCACTGGCTGAGGTCCAGGCTTCTTCCAAGGGTTGTACGCATGTATGTAAACCATGCTACCACCTCGAATGAGCGACCTTTTCTGAAAAACACTGGTAGTATGAACAGTTCCTTGTAGACATTTCAAAGGTATCGGCACGCACTTGAGAGAGCCAACTTTGAGGATGGACCTGCAATGCTCATCCATTTAGTTAAAGATGGAGCCAAACGATTTCGCTTGTGCCTATATATGATTATAATTGATTATATATATATATATGTCTATACAATGTATCGATATATCAATCTACATATATATATATAATTATAGATGTTGCCTTTCTTCTCAATCCTCATCCCCATCCCATTCATCCCCAGGTCGGTGCTGTCCGGTCACTTCGGCACCGACATCACCAGGGCCAGCGTTTGGCCTGGCATCAACCTGACGATCCAAGTGATGCTTCGGACTGGCTGTGCCTCGCTGCTGCAGAGCCCCACGGATTTCTTGACGCAAGCCACGTGGTGTTTGGGCGACGACGAGTCGTTTGGTCACTCGAAGTGATGAACAAAGCTGTGACACTTGTGATATTAGCTGTGCTTCTTGTTATTGTTTGATGTTTTTTTGGTAAGTTAATGTAAGCTATATTTATATCGTTTTAACATGTTTTAACCCTACCCGGATGATAGTCCCCAATTGACTAGTCGACATGATTTTTTGATTATTGATTATTTGCAGTGGAATTAGTATGGATGCCTTCATCGGCAAGCAACTTGGGATGTTATGACATCACCCGCAAGCCCGGGCAATGTGGGTTTGGGATGGTTTGGGAATCTCGGCACTCAATGTGACCACCGGATGCTCTCTGAAATGTCGAAATTCGGACACACCCATTCGCATGCAGATTAATTCCATGCAGTTCCAGTTTTTCAGTGTTCAGTGTCTGAAAGTTGGTCAACGTGGGAGGCTCACGTGCCTGTGGCTCAACATTACCCAAAGATTTGTTGATCCCTGGTATAGTCCATATTTGGATCATAAGCATGTGTTGAGGATCGAGGATCCACAGGAGGACCCTGTGAGGTGCTGGCTTCCGAACATTATTACGTTGTTTGTTTGTCTGTCTGTTTGCCACTCGCCAGCCTTTATATCTTGCTTGTTGTGCGATTCTGCTGTGCTCCTATTTTGCTCCTGTTGTGCTCCTCCTACTTCTTTTTCTTCTTCTTCTTCTTCTTCTTCTGCTTCTTTGGCTATAGTTATTATAAACCAAAGTTATTATATACCATAAACCATATTATATAAACTATAAATTAATTACAAGTCTAATAACCATATTTTGAGTTTTCCTGCTGCTGCTGTTTCTGTTCTGGGAGCTGCTGCTTTTTTCACCATGCCGATGGGCGTTAGCGATGTGGATTCGTTTTTTCCCAAAAGCATCTCCGATGCTTGGGTTCTCGTTTAGTTGCACTCACCGCGGGGGAGCGAGACTGAGTGTTCGACAGAGATGTGTTGGACGGAAGGAAGGAGGAAGGAAGGAAGGGACTGAAGGGAAGGAAGGGAAGGAAGGGAAGGTAGGGAAGGAAGGGAAGGAAGGGAAGGAAGGGAAGGAAGGGAAGGAAGGGAAGGAAGGGAAGGAAGGGAAGGAAAGGAAGGAAGCCGTGGAAATAGGTTGGGGAAATAGCTTGGGGAAACTTCGCTGGGAGGGAGCGAGACCGGATGCTCGACGGGATGAAGCCGTGGAAATAGCTTGGGAAAACTGCGCTGGGAGGGAGCGAGACCGGATGCTCGACGGGATGAAGCCTTGGAAATAGCTTGGGGAAACTTCGCTGGGAGGGAGCGAGACCGGATGCTGGACGGGATGAAGCCGTGGAAATAGCTTGGAGAACTGCGCTGGGAGGGAGCGGGACCGGATGCTGGACGGGATGAAGCCGTGGAAATAGCTTGGGGAAAACTTCGCTGGGAGGGAGCGAGACCGGATGCCGGACGGGATGAAGCCGTGGAAATAGCTTGGGGAAATAGCTTGGGGAAACTTCGCTGGGAGGGAGCGAGACCGGATGCTCGACGGGATGAAGCCGTGGAAATCGCTTGGGGAAACTTCGCTGGGAGGGAGCGAGACCGGATGCTGGACGGGATGAAGCCGTAGAAATAGCTTGGGGAAACTTCGCTGGGAGGGAGCGAGACCGGATGCTGGACGGGATGAAGCCGTGGAAATAGTTTGGGGAAACTTCGCTGGGAAGGAGCGAGACCGGATGCTGGACGGGATGAAGACGTGGAAATAGCTTGGGGAAACTTCGCTGGGAGGGAGCGAGACCGGATGCTGGACGGGATGAAGCGTGGAAATAGCTTGGGGAAACTTCGCTGGGAAGGAGCGAGACCGGATGCTGGACGGGATGAAGCCGTGGAAATAGCTTGGGGAAACTTCGCTGGGAGGGAGCGAGACCGGATGCTGGACGGGATGAAGCCGTGGAAATAGCTTGGGGAAAACTTCGCTGGGAGGGAGCGAGACCGGATGCTGGACGGGATGAAGCCGTGGAAATAGCTTGGGGAAACTGCGCTGGGAGGGAGCGAGACCGGATGCTCGACGGGATGAAGCCGTGGAAATAGCTTGGGGAAACTTCGCTGGGAGGGAGCGAGACCGGATGCTCGACGGGATGAAGCCGTGGAAATAGCTTGGGGAAACTTCGCTGGGAAGGAGCGAGACCGGATGCTGGACGGGATGAAGCCGTGGAAATAGCTTGGGGAAACTTCGCTGGGAAGGACCGAGACTGGATGCTGGACGGGATGAAGCCGTGGAAATAGCTTGGGGAAACTTCGCTGGGAGGGAGCGAGACAGCATGCTGGACGGGACAAAACCGTGGAAAATAGCTTGGGGAAACTTCGCTGGGAGGGAGCGAGACCGGATGCTGGACGGGACAAAACCGTGGAAATAGCTTCGGGAAACTGCGCGGGGAGGGAGCGGGACAGCATGCTGGACGGGACAAAACCGTGGAAAATAGCTTGGGGAAAGTGCGCTGGATGGGAGCGAGACAGCATGCTGGACGGATAGGAAACCTTGAAAATAGTTTGCGGCAGAACTGTTGGCACGGGTTTTTTCAGGACAAATGCCATCATTGCGATTGGCCTGAAAAAATTGTGGACCCAAGACTGGTCAAATGGTCCCAAGACCGGTCAAACGGTTTGCAAAGGCTGAAAAATGGGACATGCACAGAGAAGCTTTTACACAAAAAAAGCCTTTACACAGAAACTTTGACACACAGACGCGTTTACACAGACACAGAGGAGTCTTGACACAGAAGCCTTTACGCACAGAAGCTTTTTTGCACAGAGTAGCTTTTACACACAGAAGTCTTTACACAGAGAAGTCTTGAGACAGAGAAGCCTGTACACACAAAGGCTTTTACAGAGAGAAGCCTTTTGTACAAAGAAGTCTTGACACAGAGGAGCTTTTACGAGAGAAGTCCTTACACAAACGGGATTTACACACAGAAGGTGTTACAGATAGACATTCTTTCGGCGCACAGAAACTTTAACACAGAGCAGCTTGTACACACAGAAGCTTTTACACAAAAAAGCCTTTACACAGAGAAGTTTTTCACACAGGAGCTTTTGCACAAGAAAACTTTTACACAGGAAAGCTTTTACACACAGAAACTTTCACACACAGAAGCTTTGTACACCGAGAAGTCTTACACAGAGGAGCTTTTACGCACAGACGCATTTACACAGAGAAGCCTTTACACAGAGAAGCCTTTACGCACAGACGCGTTTACACAGAGAAGTCTTTGCACAGAGGAGCTTTTGCACACAGAATCTTGTACACACAGACGCTTTCACACACACACAGGAGGTTTTACAAACAGACAACTTTACGGCGCACAGATTTTTTACACAGAGCAGCTTTTACGCAGCGAAGCTTGTACACACAGGGGGCTTTTTTACACAGAAGCTTTTACATAAGGTTTTTTTAATACACAGAAGCTTTTACACACAGAAACCTTTACACACAGAAGCTTTTACACACAGAAACTTTTACGAAGGTTTTACACACAGAAGCTTTTAACACAAAAAAACCTTTAAACAAAGGAGCTTTTACACACAGACGGGTTTACACAGAGAAGTCTTTACACACGGAGGCGTTTACACAGGAAAGAGTTTACACGGAAGCGTTTACACAGAGTAGTTTTTACACAGAGAAATCTTTACACAAAGAAGTCTTGACACAGAGAAGCTTGCACACACAGAGGCTTTTACACACAGAAGCCTTTTACACAGAGCGGCTTTTCCACAGAGGAGCTTTTACACAGAGGAACTTTTACACAGAGAAGCTTGTACACTCAGAGGCTTTGACACAGAGAAGTCTTTTACACAGAGAAGCTTTTGCACACAGAAGCTTTACACAAACAAAGCCTTAACACAGAGGAGCTTTTACAGACAGAAGCTGGTACGCAAAGAAACTTTCGCAAACAGAAACTTTTAGACACAGAGCGCGTTTTACACAGAAGATTTTACACACAAGAGCTTTTACACCAAAAACCTTTACACAGAGAAGTTCTTGCCCACAGAAGCTTTTACTTGCAGAAGCTTTTATGCAAAGAAGCTTTTGTACAGAGAAGTCTTTACCCATCTTTTATCATGTCTCATTTTTCATGATCATTTGCCATCTGTCACCTTCATATATATCTTCGTTTTCATGCTCTTTTGGTCAGCTCCCTCTGTCGTTTAATTTTCATTTCGTTCTGTCCGTCCACGCTTCGTGCTCGCTCCCTCTGCGGCGAAGCAAACTAAACGAGAACGCAGAAATAGATAGCGACTAGACAGATGGGATAGAGTTAATTACATTAACAGAAATAGCGACTAGAAGACTGTAGGCGTAGCTGACACAGCATGCTGTGGTGAATCGTGGCCCCTGATACCATCAGCGCGCACGATGTTTAAGTAAAGATCTTACGTCGATTTCGTGCAGAGCACAGCTGGCCACACCCCAAGATTTTCAAGAAAAGGCGTGCTGTGTGCCGTCTTGCTTTTGGGTTCTCTGGCCCACCTTGTTTGTCCACTGCTCATGCATTTCAATGAAAACATCACATATATTTTTTTCGTGCTATACATCACATAGATCCACTGCATCGTAAACTTGCAAACACTGACATTGTCACAATGCAATTCTCGAGATCTCACGGACACACCAAACGAACCAAGCTCCGCACGTCCTAGCACGGATACACTAGCAAGCATTGTCACCCTCAATCTCTAACAGTTCCATGTCGTGCGGTCAAAGTACACACAAAATCTTTTACACACAAACGCTTTTACACACAGACGCTTTTACACACAGACGCAACGCTTTTACACACAGACGCTTTTACACACAGACGCTTTTACACACAAAAGCTTTTACACACAGACGGTTTTACACACAGACGCAACGCTTTTACACACAGACGCTTTTACACACAAAAGCTTTTACACACAGACGGTTTTACACACAGACGCTTCTACACGCAGATACGTTTTACACACGCACACACGCTTTCACACACAAACGCTTTTACACACACACACACGC